TTTGAAGAAACAACTGCTTGCTTTAAGATAATAGGTTTTTTACAATGTTTTTCAAATACCATAAAATGCCATGGCAATGTCTAGGACTTGCTATAGATACAGATTAGCATTCCCAGTGGCTAGTAACCCTTAAATGCTAAGTGTTCTTGTTTAATGACACATTAAGCTGAACTGATTTTCATTTTCATCATGAAGGGGTGGACATCAGAGTTATGTCGGGCAGGAAAATGAAAGAGTTAGCAAGCAAACAAGCTAGCTGTCCTGATAGATACTCAGGTGCTATATTAGTGCTGTGCTAACTAGCGGAATAAAAAATGACGTAGGAACTTGAGAAGGTGGGAATTATGGAGGAAAATGAAAGCAAAACTGTAAATACCCCCAGACATCAACATTATTTTGTGTTTTCAAGGACACAACACGCTAAAGCACCATTAAGGATACCCCAAAATTATGAACTTTGTCATTATTGACCAGATAGAGGCAGTCAGATGATAAAAGCAAGATACATATGATGAACAAATATTGAAATGTTGTGGACAACTTGCATTTTCATATTGAATCTTCATCTCCATGATTCTTAAAGGGATGTACAGATGTGGTCCTGCATCAGTTATGGCCATCAAACATGGACATACATGCTACCCATTTGATGCAGCCTTTGTGTTTGCTGAGGTGAGTCTTTAAACGACATCTATCGTACAAACGGTATTCAGGTTCATTCCAGGGTTTTTGGAGTGTATTTATGATCCTTTCCTCCCCACAGGTCAACAGCGATGTCGTGTTTTATTCCCGCAACAGAGAAGGAACTATGGAGCCGGTCAAAGTGAACCGGACCCATGTGGGGCGCTTGGTGTTGACTAAAGCTCCAGGAAACATGACCCGCCGTGACATCACCGATCAGTACAAGTTTCCTGAAGGTCAGAGACTTTGTGCAACACTGAAAGCATGTATTTTAAATCAGACAGAAATTGTGATGACTAAAAGTTTGAGAATAGTCGTCCATCGCTACTTAAACATTGGAAGAATACAAATATGTGCTGGTATACATTTAACATGGATACACTTTAATAACTGAAATGGAAAAAGTAAAACATTATAGCAGATAAACATGTTAGCTTTTGGGTTTTATGTGATGTCCGAGTCAGTGAAATTTGTCTCTAGTAAATTTGTCTCTAATGTTGGATACCTAGAGAACTCTGTGGCTAAATCGGGCGCTCTTTCAGGGTTCTGGTACCACAGGGTCAGCCATGCTCCCCAATGTGGCCACTAGATTTGAAAAGGTTTTTGGGGTATGGACTTTGAACACATGTAAATGTTTGAACACACATTAATATATGTTCCAATCATCCAATCCAGGCAGTACAGAGGAGCGGACCGTCCTGGAGAAAGCCGAGGAATATGGCTGCAAACGGGAGAAGTCTGATCCTCCTCCAGCTGACGTGGACCTGGTCCTGCCCAGTCTGGAAGTCAACATTGGTGACGACTTTGAGCTGAGCCTGGAGTTCATAAACCACAGCGACCAGCACCACATCGTGAACACCTACATCAGTGGGAGCGTGGTGTATTACACCGGAGTCACGGCCACAGAGTTCCTGTTCATGAATCCCACCGTGAAACTCGGCCCGAACGAGAGTGAGTTTGAATTCTAACCATTTATTTCTAAACTAATGATGACAACCTGATCTTTCACCCTTAGCTTAAAAGATGACCCACTAGGATCCTTTCAAGCATCATTTTGGCTCCGTGGTCAAGTTAGAATATGAAACTTCGAGTTAGGTTGACCTCAAAACCTGATGTTTGGATGAATTCAGGTCCTGATGATGGGATGTGCCACGGCACATGAGTGGCATATGCCGTGGAACATGAGTGGACCAGACATGAGTGGCATATGCCGCATAGGAGAGGAATATTCCGCACCACACGAGTGGCATATGCCATATATCTGGTCCACTCATGTGCCGTGGCATATGCCGCATATGAGTGGCATATGCCGCTGCACATGAGTGGCATATGCCGCAGCACATGAGTGGCATATGCCATATATCTGGTCCACTCATGTGCCGTGGCATATGCCGCATATGAGTGGCATATGCTGCGGCACATGAATGGCATATGAGTGGCATATGCCAGTCTGGTCCACTCATGTGCCGTGGCATATGCCGCATATGACACAACATGGTTTTGGATGGCAAGAAATGAATCTATTTCTAATCATAATTCTAACTTCAGATATTTAAAATTGTATATTTGACTTAGTGAAAATGCTAAATGACATGCAGTACTAGTCACAATGTATTTTAGATATTTAAAATCACATTATGGATATCTGGAAAAAATAATTCCAATGTGAATATCTGAAACAAAAATTATGACTAGGAGCAATTTAATTTCCATCCACCTATCGCCCCTGATAAGCCCCCCAAACTCATGTTCACCCACATCACACCATGTTTCCTTCAAAGCCACATCGACACAGTTAACTAGAGGGAAGTTTACATAAAAAAACAACACAAAAGTTCCTAAGGTGCTAGATTAAGACGCTTTGGTCATCTGACCAAGCTGTCATTTTTTAAAACTTGGAAGTGAAACAGGGTGCTTTTACATTCAGTCATCACTAACAACAAGAAAGCCAAATGTAAATAAAGTGAATGCAGACGGAACAGGGTTGTTTATCTGTGTCCTCCAGGTGTGAAGGAGCTGGTGGTGGTGGAGTCAAAGCATTACATGAAGCACCTGGTGGAGCAGGCCAACCTCAACTTCATCGCTACAGGGAAGGTCAAGGAGACCGGTCAGATCGTCAGCGCCATGAAAGTCGTCCCTCTGCACAATCCCAAGCTCACCGTCACGGTCAGATATCACGCTTTAGATTCAAATTAGAATCAGTCAATTTCATTTGTTCCTAAAAGCCATAGGCAACGCTTTTTTTCCTAAATAGACCAACTTTATCTGAACTGATAGTCCAGTTTTTGTGTGTGTTATTTATTTCTGTTCTTCAGGTGTCTGAGAGGGGAAGAGTGAGTGAAGAGATGACTGCGACTGTGGAGTTTACAAACCCCTTCACCATGAACCTGGAGAACGTCTACATTCGTATGGAAGGACCCGGGCTCATGCTGCCCAAGCAGAAGTATTACAGGTGAGTTCAGCACAGAAGAAACAGGTCAAGTTTGTCTTTTACTTGTCTGAGAATAGTCAAAACTGTCTATTCTTTGTGTGATATATTTCAAACAAAAACAGGAAACCGGAGAGACAACAGAGTCTGACACATTCATGACCTTTTTTCCTTCATGTCAATACTCTTTGTAATTAGAGGTTTCCACAGACCTTAACAAGATTTATTACATACATACATATATATAAACCGGTTGTGCATCAGTCACAGGATATACATGACATCACTCCCACCGGCTCACTAGTAGTGATGTTTTCCTGACTTTTACCTGCAGTGTTCACACACTCGCACACACTGCCTCGGAAATGTATCTCGAAGAGGAGGAGTCAGCTGTTTGTGTTCACAGTGACAGCTCACCATGAAAATCTTAGGAGTTTTGTACATAGGCTATAAATAAATCTCCAGTCAATCACCAATTATTCCACGGGTAAAAAAAAAAAAATGTACACACAGTGGACAATTTTCACATAAAAGCTGTTTATCTGTATGCATGATGTGAAGCCCAAAACTCTCATTAAGTTAGTCGATTGTTTTGACTTGAAACTCCACAGTAGAGCATACCATTATTGTACTGACATTTAGTTTAGTTTAGAAGGATCTCCATTAGCCGCAATATTGGTGCAGCTCTTCTTCCTGGGGTCCACAACAACCTTCACAATGACTGTGTAATAAATTCATTACCCTCAAAAAAGCAAGTTTTTAAGTGTGTAAGTTATAATAGGAAAACCTTTGCGCATCCACTTCTTAAGACAGGCGTGTATGAGAGCAGTATGTCCCTCAAAAACGTAAAGGTAAACTCCCGCACACTGTCTAACTTGCAAACAAACATTTATTGGTACTAGACCTTCATCAGGCTAACAGTGTGTAAGTTATGAAACATGACCTTTTTGTTGTACAAAATTCAAGCTTGTACTTTTTCTTCAAAACAAACCTTGCACATGTGATTTAAGGAAGAAAAGTCTGATTCTTTGGTAAACAGTTATAACTACCGTATTTTCCGCACTATAAGGCGCACTTAAAAGCCTTTAATTTTCTCAAAAAACAACAGTGCGCCTTATAATCCGGAGCACCTTATATATGGATCAATTGGTTAATTGGTTGATCCATACTGGTTGTACACGGCGCTCAGCGACACTGACTCGGATAATGACGAGAGCGAGCCAGGCATGTTGGATGCCGTACTCGCCCAACTGTTCAATTCGGACACTGAAGAAGAAGAATTCGAGGGATTCGTGGACGGGGAATGAACTGAAAAAGTGAGCTTTACGTGTTATACGTAACTGAACAATGTTGAGTTATGCACTAACGTTTGAATTAGCGGTATCAGACTGTGTTTCTTTTACGTGTTTACAACTGAACAAGGCTGGGAGATATTGTGAATATGCACATTAACGTTTGAACAACGTTGAGTTATTGTGAATGCACTACGTATAAAACTACGTTTTGAGAGTTAAGAGAAACGTCAAAGAAATAATTTATTATTTGGGGAAATCGTCTTATGTACTTTTGTTTTTGTAGTTTTACACGTTACGTTTTATACGTATTTATATTTATATATTCACAATATCTCCCAGCCTTGTTCAGTTGTAAACACGTTCTATTCTATGCGCCTTATAATCCGGTGCGCCCTATATATGAAAACAGTTCTAAAATAGGCCATTCATTGAAGGTGCGCCTTATAATCCGGTGCGCCTTATAGTGCGGAAAATACGGTAACTGTGCACATAAATATTACTAACTAACTCTTCAAAAAAAGTCCAGGATTTATTGTGCATTCCTGTTCGTTGTTTTCTCTGTGCAGCATGACTCATGGAACGTTATATTTTGCACCTAACTGTTAATTGTTAAGACTTTTTGATTCTTCATTTCTTTTGCTGTCTTAAATATATGATCAATAATCACACCAGTCCCTCTTGCGTCTAACTCTAACCCCTCCTGCTGGTTTTCAGTCTGATCCCAGCAGGCTCCTCCCTGGTCTGGGTGGAGTTTTTCACCCCGCAGAGGGCCGGCAGCAGCAGGGTGATCGCAACTCTGGATTGTCCCAATCTCACACAGGTCCACGGCACGGCGTCCGTCACCATCGAGCCCTGAGCATCACTGAAGTTCAGCGTCTTTAATCACACTTACACTTAAACCCTTATATAGGCCAATAACATTCAATTAATACAACACTGTATGTTAACAACTCTTGTAGCCGCATCAGCATTTTTTTTATGTCAACAGTAGTGATAGTTTTACTTACAAGCGAGAGAGACAAACACATAAAGCCATTTTTAAAAGTGCAATTTCTTATTGCAAGTTCAACACCCTCATTCAGTCCCCCCGAGGGGCAATCTGATTTACAGAGACCTCCCTTTAAAAGCGTAAAATCTTTACTTTTAAAGTAGATCTCCATCCAATGTCACATTGCCACCAGCATATCAAATCTCTTCTTCACCTCCCCTCCATCATTGTTTAGACCAAGTGCAGCCATTTCCACGACTGATCATGATTCAGATAGCAGCAGACCAAAGTTAATACAGTTCTTAACTTTTTCCAAACAAAGTATTTTCTTCAGTTTGGAAAGTCCATTGGTTCTTCTTCAATTCTATGCCACCATTGCACCTCAACATAGAGCGTCCCAGAGTGGGCGGGGCCATCTCTCTTCCCTGGACTAGCTGACAGGGAGTGATTCACATGAAAGAAATGTGAAACATGTTTGAACCTCTGAGAAAAAAGTAAACAAACTGCATGAAGCCCCATCCAACATCATTGTAAACACAGAGCCGAGAACAACAAACCAAGAGGGAGTTTAACTTCACTATTTTAAGGAAGGCATTATTACTTAATGAGATATTTAGTCAGGCTGAATTTGGTATCTGCTAAATAATGTTTAAAAAGTTGCATATACAGAATTTGGACATTTCTTTCTGTTGATTTGAGATATGAGGGAGTGTTTAATCTTATGTTTCATATCATATCTGTTCATGCCGCTTTAACTTAATTTTCAAAATGTTGTCCCAGCATGCAACAACAACTATTCAACTGAAGTATCTGTTTCTTCTTCAGCACAGTAAAGCGCTTTTTACACCTCTTTGTTATCCATCATGATCATACTGTTTCCAAATGCAAATATCCTCTTAATAAAGATTCTCTGTAAGTGTGTGTTTATGTGAGTTAAGTGGTAATTCACGTTTGTCTTGGTGTACTAACTCAATGAGCAACAGAGTCTACTGAGTCTGGAACTTCTTGAAATAACAATAATGATTTAACCTTTTTTATGCTTCGATCAGAAGTAGTAACTTGATTCTCAAAAAGAAATGCAAAATCAGACAAAAATCTTTCCTGAAAAAATAAACAATTTACAGTCTGCAACGCCAGAAAAAACATCACATCTGGTAAGAAAAACAACAAAAGTCTAGGACAGTGAAGCACTGTCATTCTCATTAGAGTTACCCAACATGTAACAAAACAGCTTAGGTTAGTTCAACCTTTCTGGACCCCTTTATGTTTAGATTCATTGCAATTCAAACTACTTTAAGTTTAGTTAAACATCTCTGTATTTACAGTGTACACACAGATGATGATAATGAAAATGTAACGCAGGATTTTCATAGGTGAGACAAGGAAACATACTGAGAATGAAACCTATATTTAGAAGATTATCGTGGAGACACTACAAGAAATTGAAGACGCAAACATATGAAATTAAATCCAAAAAGGTCCCCTCGGTTGATGTGATGTCACCGGGAAATGAGTTTGGGAAGCGGCCCCCAGAGGAGGTTAGTTCCTGGACTTTATGTGTTTTGATGTAAGACCTTTAAAAAAAATTGAGAAGAGAGAGAACAGCACCACCCCTCAAGAAGTCCTGTTGTTACTACATCTAGACCCTAGATGTCCTACTGAAACTAAAAACTGTCTGCTGAAGCACAATCAGGCAGCAGCTTTCAGCCAGCCCATCTATACATGTTTAATCTTCGTTGAATATTCGGTCAGCGACTGTTTTGGCAGACTTGGGGGTTGTTGGATAAACCTGTGCAAAACTAGTGAAGTGATCAACAATCACTAATATATACTCGTAGCCTCCTGCACATTGGAGTGGAGAAAATCTATCGACACTAGTTCAAATGGCTGTGTGGTTACAATGCTGGTCATGGGTGCTCGAGTTTCTTTGCTTGGTGTTTTTGTTTCAAACAACTACATGTTTTTGCAACAGAGTGTTCAATTTCTTTTTGCATATAAGGCCAGAAAAACCTATCTCTGATCAGTGATGTTGTTCGATCGATGCCTTGGTGGCCCATTTCATCATGCAACTCTTTTAGTACAGTGGCTTTGTACTTTTCAGGTAATACAAGCTGTGTTTTGTTAGTTGTTTTTCTGCGAAGAATGCCATTTTCATCGATATGGAGTGTCTCCCATCCTCGCAGTAAACACTTACTTTGCATACTGAAAGCATTCAGTTCATGTCCAGATGGTCTGTTGTCATTCATTTTACACTGTATTACAGGACCAATGTCTTTGTCTTCTTGCTGTGATCTTCTGATTTTATCAACTGAGAATGGTTTGTGTGTCTCTTCACGTACTGTACACTGGAGAGAGTTAACTGCTGGGCACACCCATGTTGAGCTTGAATTTTGAGTCTCGCCGGCTTGGGTTGTCGCGGCCACACAATCTGATGTCAGCTCTTCAGTGCATTGTTCCATCATCATATCAATGTTTACAGGCATTCTGGACAGACTGTCAGCATCCACATTCTCTTTACCTGGGCGGTAGCGAATAGTAAAGTGGAAGTTTGCAAGCTCTGCGACCCATCTGCATCCTGTTGCGTTGAGCTTTGCACTGGATAAGATATGTAAGGGGATTATTATCAGTAAACACTGTGAAAGTGGGGGCATAGTACAGATAATCCCTACATTTTTCTGTAACTGCCCACTTCAAGGCAAGGAATTCTAACTTTCCTGAGTGTAGATGATAATTTTTTTCAGCAGCAGTCAATGTTCGGGAACCATAGGCTATCACTCTGAGTTTGTTATTCTGTTGTTGGTAAAGGACTGCACCGAGGCCTTGGTTTGAAGCATCTGTGTGGAGAACAAATGCTTTTGAGAAGTCTGGGAACCCAAGGACTGGTGGCTCGACCAAACAATCCATTAGCCGCTCCAATATGCGCTGATGTTCTTCCTCCCAAACAATCTGTGTGTTTGAAGGCACTCCTTTGTTTTTAACTTTAACTTGTCTCGTGTTTGGTTTTCTGTGTGGCACATTGGTGTCTCCTGTTGTTCCTTTCAACAAGTTGTAAAGTGGGCCTGCAATACGGGAAAAGTCTTTTATGTTTTGTCTGTAATAGCTTAATAAACCCATGACAGATCTAAGCTCTCCAACATTGCTTGGTCTTTTCTCTTTTAATGCTCTCACAGTGATGGTGTCAGTTGGATCAATTTTGCTTCCTTCAGCAGAGACAATTCTTCCCAGGTAACGAACTTCATGTTTAAATACTTTGCACTTGCTGGGTTTAAGCTTGATGCCATACTTTCTCAGTAGCTTAAGTAATTTTCTGACATAGTTTACATGTTCATCAAAGGACTGACTGTACACAAGCGTGTCATCAAGATAGAGGACACAGATGTTGTCTCGCACCTCTTCCAGACACTCCTCCATGCAGCGCTGGAACGCTGCGAGTGCGTTCATTAGGCCAAACGGAATCCTTATCCATTCGTAGAGGCCCCATGGAGTCACAAATGCAGTCAAGGGTCTGCTGTTTTCATCCATAAATCCTTTATGGTAGGCTTTCCCTTCATCTAGCAATGAAAACCACGAGTTACCTCCGAGACTGTCGAGAATGTCCTGCACACGTGGGATGGGCTGTCTGTCTGGGTGAGACTTTTTGTTCAATTCTCTGTAGTCTATGCAAAGATATAAACTCCCATCTTTCTTCCTTACACAGACAACAGGTGAGGCATAAGGTGAGTTAGATTTCTTCACCCATCCTTGTGCAATAAGATTATGCAGATAATCTTTCATCTCTTTATACAACGGCTTTGGCACAGACAGGTAAGTGCAATCCATATCTTTCAATGACTCACTGACACTTGGGGACAATGGTTTGGTTTCTCTAACACATTTGCTGGATACACAGCCTGGACATGCTGTAGGGTACCAACAACAGTTTTTCCTGAAATCTTGGCAGACATATCTGTCTATTTCAAAGGTTTTTAACAAAAAAAAAATCTTTAAGTGTTTTAAATCCTTCAGACTGAATCTGTTTTAACACTGATATCTTTTACAAATTATTAAACTTAAATGAACTTCTACAATTGTTTTATGACATTTTTTACAAGAATTCGCTGTTTTATGTCACTAAAATCATATTTATTTCTCCATGAATTTATTTATAACTTATAACTCAAATAAATTACACCTATCACATTCACAGCCCCATATTGACATTTTTACAAATCAACAGAAACCCCAGTTATTTCAATTCCATAAGAAAATGCAAAAGATGGCAAGTAGGATCAGTAACACTGCTACAAGTGCTGCTTCCAGGGTAAAAACTGTTGCCCTACACAGGATTAGAGAGAGAGTCATGTGTTGTTGTTGTTTTTGATGTTGTTGTTGTTGTTGAGTTTGTTGTGTTAAATTTGAAGCAATGGTGGGTGCCAGCATGGGGTTTTAAGGTTCAGTATGAAAAGTTGTAATCTACTAAAGGTGGGACCTGAATAGGGGAGGACGTTTACCAACAAGTCCTCGTAGTGATGGGGCATCCAATCCTTCTGTGGGGACAAAGGGCATCTGTTGCTTGAGAGTGTTCAGGTTGTCTAAGGTTTGCGGTCCTCCTGCAGTTATCTAGATACGGCTTTGGGCCATTTTCATCAATAGGCACTATTGTTCCGTAATGTGCCTGAACATGATTGCTCCCCCCTCCACTTTTAGTATCATCATTCTGTGATAAGCACACTTTGGTGTGTAAACAGTCCCATACAGTATGCCAAAGTTGGTTTGCAAGTCAGCCAAGGAGAGAAAAAAGAAGCAACCATGTCAACAACAGGTGTAACTGGAAGACTATAATGTGCATGTGCAAAAAGCCTGCTTAAAGGTGCCGTTTTCAAAACTGTGCACTGTATGAGCCCTGATTTCAAGCCAATTTGCTAAAAAAAATCGGCCTTGACATGTAGATGAACAAACACAATGTGAGGTTTGCCGCTTTTGTATAAATTCAGTGTCGTGTAAACGTGGCCCAATTCTCGAGTAAATCTGGGAGGCAACTAAAGAATGCAAAAGTAAATTATTTGCGGAGGTTGGAGGCTTACCAGGAAGCTGAGTTCTGTACACAAAGGATTTCTGGAGAAGCACATCACAGTGCATGTTAAAGAAGGCATAAACACAGGAAGGTGAGGTGGCAGCCGAGTGGGATGTACCTGTGTATTTGTCTTCATCCATCATGTTAAGATTTGTATTTAGACCCAAAAGCAGACACGGCAGCAAAATTTGAGGTTTTATTGCGGGGCTTGGTATTGGTGGATGGCTGACCGACTGCGTGGAGGAGACTTATGGAGTTTATCTGGTTCTGTAGGCGGACAGATAATTGGTTGAGTTGTCTGACGATGAAGCAGACTGGAGGAGATGTCACTGGTGAAAATCTGGACAACAAGAGAAAAAATCTGTTAGGACTCACTGAAAAAACACTAGGAACAAACTCTAACAAATGTTAAGAGCAGCCGATCACAGCTACCACTTCAGTAGACTCAATAATCTGGCCGTGAGTCGAGTCGAAAACCAGTTCTTGGCCTGCAGCAGATGAGGCCAAGACTGAGCAGTCACCAGGTGTTTGATTGAAGCCACGCCCTCCAGAGACACACATACACACGCACATACACACACACACACACACTGAGGGGGAGGAGACACAAGGGAACCATACACAGAGAAACAGCAACACAGCCAGAGCCGTGACACATCATATTTTATGTTTTATTTGTATGCCTTCTTAGTCTTACTTCTGTATTTATAGCTACTGATTTATGGCCTGTTAACAAGAACAAACCAATCATATTTGATAAGGAATTACAAACTATAAGGACTTGATCCAAGCAGCTGAATGGAATTGACAGGTGGGCGACAAAGGAGATAAAGAAATCGGTGGGGTTTTTCATTTGAAAGCTGTTTCCATAGTTACAATTTTTGAATATCCCTCTGCACCTGTTCACTACAGGAGGTTAATGTTTGTGATTTTATGAATGAAGTCAGTACTGTTATAATGGCCACATGGCTCAATGGGGCTAGGGTTCTCTGTCAGCCTAGCTACAGCGCTAAAACAGTATCTAGGATTGTTTTAATTTTCTTTATAGGTAAGAGGAGTAGGCCAAGGTTCTGCAGCAGCGCCTTGACGCAGTTCCACCATCAGTACGCCTTTGAAAATACACATTCATTGGATCGGTAACGTGTTATAATGGTGACCCAGTGTGTGAAGTGACACTGCTTTATGACATGGCCGAGAGGAGTGCTAACCAGATTACAGAAATTGTTCGGAGGGATTTTAAAATGAGTCCAAAAAAAAAGAGGTCTTCCGAGTGGATTGTTGGATTGGATTCAGTGGGGTGATGCAGTACTGGACCAGGAGCCAGTAAAGTAACACGAGGGTGGGTTTGATGTGCTACTATGGCTTGGTTGCCTGATACGACCAGACGTGCCCCCATGTAGGCTAGCTGTTACCTCATTTTTTTTTGTATTGTTGTTGTGGCTCTTATAATAACTTTACAATTGCCACCTAAAGTAGTAGTCTTTTACAAAAGTTCTAAATGCTTCAAACGGGAAGTTGGTCTGGTTGCTGGAGAGGTGCCAGGTCACTTCCCGAGTACAGCCGAGGTGCCCTTGGACAAGTCACTGAACCCTAAACAGCTCTCTGGTGTGCTCCCTGTGGTCAGTGCGTAGCAGCGTCACGCTCCCATCTCTCCACTAATGCATGTCCATAGGTCCTGTTTGTGTTCGTGTGTGACAAGCATGTCTCTCATAACAGAGTGTAAAACCAGAATTTCCCCTCTGGATTCATAAAGTTTAGAAAACTATAAAAAAAAAGAATGATTGAGAGGTTTGGGGCTGTTAATCCTCCGACACACAGTCTACTGTACATTCATTAGACCTGCAACAGGCAGAATGGATCAAGGTGTGGCACGGAAATATTGTAAAATACAACAAGTTAGACATTGTCTTCTGGCTGACACTCACTCTGCATTGCAACATTATAACACGCACACACACACACACACACACACACACACACACACACACACACACACACACACACACACACACTGAAAGTACTTGAAACAACTTTCTTTTCTCATTGCAGACACTTTGCTAATTGTGTTGAAACCACTCCTTCACTTTTGCAATACGTCATGTTGAAAATACTCGCAGTTCAGCGTTCCTCTATCAGAGAGGTTAAAAGGTCACAGTTCACATGAAGTAGAAAGGAGGAGATTCTGATCCAATGTCCAGTCACACAGTGCCTCAGTAATGTCAATAGAGATTCTTAAGACAGAAAGGAGAGTTTTTATACATAATACATTTTAATCATGACATGACAAGCTGATTGTTGATTGTTTGAAAATGTAGATATATGTATTAATAGGGGTTGACTGACAGGTGGGCGCATTGTAGCTTTTTGCCAGGAGGCTTATATTTCACAATATAAAGTATCAGTATCAGTAACATATTATTATTACAATACGTATGCGCAATCTTGCATTACACAAGACAGATGATGTTTGTTTAAAGAGAAATACAGAAGTGACAAGGGAAAGTGCTGTGATTGCTATCAGGATCCCTTTATCAACTTGACTTGAAGAACATGTTGAGTCCTGACAAAGGGAGGATATCTGAGAGGAAATGTAGATATATGCATTAACAGTCTTTTCTATTTTTGGTTTCAGCCGCTATGAGTCTTTGTAATGCATGCTGCATGAGTGGTACTGTAGACCACCAGAAAGCAGCAGAGGGGGTTCATCTTTTTTATTGTCTAGTGTGGAGGTGATACTGGAAATGAAACCCAGTCTCACTTTGTGTGCATCTTAATACAGAGGTTCCAATACGAGGGTCGCGAGATGCCCACATAAAGGTTAAAAAATGATTCAGAATGATGTACTTCACCCATTATTGTGAGCTGTGTCACCATGTGAGAATTCTGCTGAAATGAAAGAAGCATGTGAAAATGTCGAGTCTGAACATGACGGCAACAATGTAGGAGTCTGCTGCTCTTTTTTAAAGAGAATATGTGTGTTCTTGTAAACACACAGAACACATATTTATTTTAAGGTATATACATTAAATGCTTTAAACACCTCAGGAACAGTAGGGGGGTCCCTGGTCTCTAGCAGCTATTTTGGGGGTCCAGAGCTAAAAGAGTTTGGGGTCCCTGGTCTTAATAATGTACATCTTGGACCTGAGAGAAACAGTTCTCAATCTGAAAGGAGCACAACCTAGATATGTAATTTCTGAGCAGAGAAAGTGAACACTGGGGTAAGTTTTAAAAAATACTCTATGGCTAGAGCCAAAGGAATGTCTGAGTGCTACTTCATTGGTCACTTTATTGGCTAACAAATATAATGGTTATGATGTTATCAGAATAATAGTGAATACCAAGGAAATCCTAATGAGTCAAGAGAATAGAGGGTGATCTCACAGCTCTGCAGCTACAACGACACACTGTCAGCAATGAGGAATTCATTGACACTTTAACAGAGTTCAAGGTCAAGGGATTCAAGAAAGATAACAGTGAATGAAAGGATGTCCAAAGCCAGCTTTCAGGAAGTCTTTATAAGGAAGTGACAGCTGAAGAAAGTTCCATGGAAAGTGGAGGCATTTCAAAAGTTGTTAGACTGTGGGAAGAAACAATTCACTTCTCTGGAATCAGCACTCATCTTCAGTGTGAGAGTATAAAAAGGAGGTCCAGCTAACATGGGGTTCACAGTCCAGCACGCTCAGGCAGCACGAGGAGAGAAGAAGAAGAATTTGAAGAGGAGGAAATCGCTGCAAAACTAAATCTCAAAATGAAAACTGCAATCTTCTGCTTGGTTTTCCTGGCCTGCACTTCCATTTGCTTTTCAACACGTAAGTCTGCTAACTAAAAGGATTGCATGAATTGCATGAACCTAACATATCTTAAAACATAAACCATGATACCGCAGCTGTTTCATATGTCGTTGACACTGTCCCCCTTCATTTTTCCAGCTATATTGGATTGCCGGTGCTTTGGTTACCACAAGAACGTACGAGTTAAACGCATTGCTGATGTCGAAGTTCTTGAACCTAATCCATACTGCAGTAAAAAAGAAGTCATGTAAGTTCAAATACTTCTCTTTTAAATGTATGCATAATGTTGATTTTTCAGTGCGAGTACTTTACAAGTGCTTTTTTTCTTTTCTTCTTCTCCCACAGTGTCAAGCTGACAACCGGCGGCTCACTTTGTCTCAACCCCTCATCAGAGTTCACCAAACTCGTCCTGAAAGTCATACAAATGTAAGTCCAAAAGAAAAAGCAGTGTTTACATTCTGGGCTTTCGTCGTCCTTTCCACGGAGCAAGAACCGGTGTTTAAGTGTGACAGTAGTAATGCAGCAGTAATGCACGATATGCACAGATAGATATGCCAAGGAAACGTCTTCTCCATGTGTGATGGTCCCATCCATATAGGTTGAAACCTGGCAATGATGCAACACAGTTATGGACAATCCCCGCTTGTGTGTTTAGCCAGAAATCCTAACATGTTTTGAAAATGCAACAGCAGAAAATCACCGTAATTTGTCTTCAAATGTAGAAGGTAAAATCAGAAAATCTAAAGTAGAAATCCTATTGAAGTACACAAAGTCTGCTGACAAAGTTGATGTTGTGTGTTTCTCTTATATTGGTGATTTCTCTGGTTTTAGTACCACATTAGGGACTCAAAGGTAAACAAAAAGATGAAAACCAGATTGTTCCCATTGAGATTACGAGCCTCTTTCTCAACGGAGACCCGGCTAAGACCGTCAGCGGCAAGAACATAAAGTAACAGGGACAACAGGAGACATTAAACAAACACTAAAATGTGCATTAAGAAGAAATGCTGGCAACGCATGGTATAATCAATTTTCTGAATTGTATCCAATCAATTCACTTTGCTTGTAAATTGTTCAAGAATTTAAGAAAAGGCATGCTATGTGTAATCTGTGGAGAGAAGTTAGAAATGGCTAAAGCTTCCGTTTAAGGGGCAAAAGGAGAATCATTTCAGAAATCACTTTTTCTAAAGGCTTGATATGGAAATGATGAACATAATATGTTTTCTTCACAGGTCAGCATTTGGTAAGAAGAACACGGCTGGCCAAACAGCAACCCCTGCGTCCTCCACAGAAAAGCCAACAGCTTCATATTAAACTGTTCTTATTAACGATCCAATGGAAGTGAGGTATATCTGTTAATAAGAAGACACATGCGCACAACTTCAAAAGTAAGAGTCACTAAAGTACATAGTTACAAAAACTTAAAGAATTCATTTTTCTATATATACTTTTTTTTATAAGCAAAACTGGCAGCTGTATGTAAAAAATGTGAAATAGCATAAAACGCTGTCTTAACATGCGGTCAATGTTTCACAGTGATGGAATACAATGTTTTTAAATCTAAACACATTGTAACATATTTAATTTTAATTGTGTTTCTTTTGATTGATTCTTTTCTATGGAAGATGATTGAAATGGGATTTGATGTGATCTTGGATTTTGGTGGTTTTCATTTAAAAGCATTCCGATAACAAACACATCTGTACCAACTTGCACATATGTGTATCTAACTGTATTTTTGTCTTGTTGATTTCATTTTATTCTAATAATGATCTCAGATATATTATAAGAATAAATGTGGCATCATAAAAAAAAAATGAATATTTGACTTTTTATTGACTGGTGTGTGTGTGTGTGTGTGTGTGCATGACTGGTTGATTTGTATTTTACTGTTGCAATCATCTGTCCTGGGACAACAGATGGAAATAAGCTAGCTAGCTAAATCTGGTATAAAGCATCTCTTCTCCTCTGAGACTAATGTTTGTTTTTGTACACTGTCCCTGATTCAAATAAACTGATAAACTAAACTATTAGCCCAAATAATCATTATCCATCTGAAGTATTTTAACATACTGATGGTAAGCATAGCCTAATGTTCACCATCGCACTTTCTTAGTTTAGATTGTCAGCATGCTAATGTCTTGATAGTTTCAAGCAGACATGATTCTCTGATGTTAAACGTGTCTGTGTTGTTCATCGTGTTAGCATGCTAAAATTCCCACAGTCGACATGCTAACATACGCTAAGCAGTTATGTTTAGCATGCTTACAAAGGCTTGTACTGTTCACAATCCTGGTTTAGTGTCAAACAAAGTGTTTTCAAAGAATTCTGCAAAGTCATGGTCTAAAATATTATTTTATTTGTGGTCTTGAGGTTTTGCATGATGACCCATATTTGTGACCCAAACGTCTGAAAAAGACACATGCCTCTCATCATGAGGAAGCGATATTTCTCAAGTCAAGTCTGAATGTGGTTTGTCAGGGAAAATATGATCTTTGCCACTTATTATATATCATGTCACATGCTGGACAAAAAAAATAAAATGACCCCCAAAAAACGACATATTCTTGAGTCACAAATCTTAACAACTTCATAACAAGTAACCACGTTTGGTATAATGATTGCCTGATCGTGTGTGTTACTGTGTTATGGATAAAGTGTATAGCCTATAAAGCTAGAATAGATCTTTTATTGTCATTGCTATAAAGAAAACAGAAGACAGTGTAACTGCTCATGTCAGTGGCAGCACAGATAAAACACAGACATTCATTCACAAACATTAAAAAGACAACCAGATAGCATTAAAAGCACAACATACAAACACAAATGCTGTGGTCTAAAAATCAAAGCTAACATAAAAATTGAATTAAAGCCAATTAAAGAACAAATAACAGCTGTGTAGCGAGCACACCCATGGTTTGTTTAAATAGTGGCTGAACTGGAATGTTAAAAAGTCCTAAAAGGCCCACAAGGCAACATGTCACAACATTCTAGGTTACAGTATTAAAACAGCGCTTGTGTACTCAGCCGCATGATCACTCTAGTCAATTTCCTCTTTTTTTTGGCCGAGTCAGGAAAAACAAAGTCGAGTACTTCTGCAGAAATACAACAGGCAATAAATGATATGCTGTTGTCTGACTGTACATCCAGACTCAGTCCGTCTTCTATGTCTTATGTTTGTGGCCGCAAGCGCACCAGTCTGTCCCTGAATCCACCGTCCCATGACTACCTCCTGCTGCACATGTGAACGTACCAAAGTGAAACCAACACACACACGCACACACATATGCAAAGGTTTTTTCTGAAATGATCACACAGTTAAGGAGCACATGACCACTGTATGTATAAATAAAGGAATGAAAGGCTGTATGATAACAGTCCAAACTGCTCTAAGGTTTCCGTCTGAGTTAAAGAAGTGAACAAACAGCTGCTGTGAACAACATGAAGCTCTGCATCCTGTTGGTGTTCGGGACCCTGATTGTCCTCGTTAACGGTAAGAGCACAGCTACACGGTGAGAAATGTTCTTTGTAACCACACAGGTCTTTGAACCGTAGCCTATCTGACGTCACTGTAGACATGACTGCAGGCTCCTCAGCGTTGTTCTCTTGCCAGAAGAGAAAATAATCTATCTTGTTACATGATTTTACTCGTTTTTTGTATAAGCTGCCAAAAGTAAACATGAACTTGATCCAACACTGTTTTGCAATCATAAAAGAAAGAATTAATTAATTATTTTATTCCTGCCGCTATATCATCTACTTGGTCGAGCTCTTGGTGAAGCTGAATTTTGTAGGACATTTGTGTGCAAAGCTATAATGGGAGAAAGCCTTAATTTACACAACAGTGGAAATATCCTGCAAATTCTAGTGAATGTGCAATAAAGAAAAGGATGAGTGTGGCCATTACATGAATGTCGCAATGTTGAGGATTATGGCTGTGATGACTGTATCGCCAGTTAGAAAGTGGAGTTGTACATTATTACCACACACACACAGACCCCATGACTGATATCATCCATTTCAAAATGAAATTCTGAGTAAAAACAATCAGGGACCGAGGGGAGAGGGGGGGGGGGGGGGTTGTTGAACTTGATGTTGAAGAAACATTGAAAAAAAACCACAACCTTGCAATAACTTTTTATATTGTGCAGATTGTGCAGAGACATGAGCAGTATGTAATCCATGTGAAATATTTATTCTGACTGAGTGTTATGCTGGTCACAGGTATGCCGCCAATCAGCAGGGACTACAACACACACTGTCGGTGCCCCCAGGTGGAGTCGAGGATCATCCCTCCAGACAACCTGAAGAGCATCAAGCTCGTCCCCGAAGGTCCACACTGCCCCGAGACAGAAGTCATGTAAGTTTGAACAAAGGCAAACTATAGAGCTGAACCTAGCCCTTACTTACATTACATTGAAAATAAATCTGTGAGAAACGGCAAAAGGACCCTGAGCAAACAGGTTAGGGCTGATGTCCTTAATTTTCTTTGGAGGTGCTGCTGGGAAGTTCCATGATGAGAAGGAGAAATTGCCTATTTAATCCATCCTCCCTTCCTTCCCCACATGTGTTCTCTATTTAAATGCCATCAATTTATCAGGAAAAGGCACAAATCACAAAAAAGGCTTCATAAAAAACTGAACTCTGCTTTGATAAATGAAAAAAATTATTAATATGCACTCACTGCCTGTGAATAATCTCAAATATTTCTATCTGATTGAAATGGGAATGAAATAGAGATTGCTGCTGTCACTGAATTGTCCTTTGGGGTGAATAAAGCTGTCTCAGTCTGAGTGTTTATGGGCTGTTAAACCATAGATAACCTCGGTTATCTGCAGCTTTTTTTGATCATTAAATGCAAAACTGCAGTCATGCTCCTTAAGGATGCTTAAGGATGCTCCCCCTGTGGCAGCGGATTCAGACTAAGGCATCTGTTAGTCCGATAACTGTGCACACATATCTACTCTTTTAATCCATTTTGTCATTTAACTTTTGTATTTAAATTGAAACTTTCTTTATAATTTTGGTTTGAAATCATTGTTATGCTGATAGTGTCTTTTTTATTGTTTTTTTTGTTTGTTTAACCAGAGCTGGACTTGTGAGCGGGGAGAAAGTTTGCCTGAACCCTAAGTCCTCCTGGGTGAAGAAGTTAATCCACTATGTTCTTGAGAAACAGCTACATCAGCAGGGAGTGGCCGTTCCTAAGAACAGAGCCTAGAGTCTCATCTGAGTAAAAAACAAATGTAGCAAGGAAGTTCAAAACTGGATCTCTCTGCAACCATGAGCCATGCTGTCTTACTTTAATAATACATGAAACCAAATGTAACCCTGAATGCAAAATTATTTGAGTTTTTCTCTATCGTTTGTTTTGTTACAGCTCTTTTATCTTAAAGAAAAGTATTTCTCCAGTATTTTTTAACCAAGTATTTTGTACAACATGCCAGCTAACATGAATTCTGTTGTTCATATTCTTTACATGCAGACAGCTGTGTTGTATTGAAGGAAGTAAAGGTGATGTAAGCTGACATGTTAAAAGTGTTGGTATATGTGTGCCTATGGTATTTAATCATGCGTGTTGATATATAATGTGTGATTTGAAATGTATAATCATTGTGACGTGTAGAATGTTTAGTCGTGTGATTCTGAGAGCACATTCATGTAGCATTTTATATTCCTGTAAGAAACTATTCAAGTCTTATCTAACAAAAAAAGGGATGACTTCCTCTGAGTGGTCCCTCGTGAAAAATTCTAAAAGGTCCAATAAAAATTTTGTTTAACAAGAAAACTTTCCTTATGGTCATTTTTACAAAGCCTACATTATCTGTACATGTTCTCTTGAGTACACTGCTGCATGGCTGTCAGTCGTACAGATCAGTTTAACTTTATTGTCACATCTCAAAAGAAGTTCTATTCCACCCCATTTATATTATTTTTATTGAACCAGGTAATTAATCATGATCATGTAGAGAGTTGGTTACTGAAGTTAATGGATAAACTTCATATTCCCCTTTTCTACAATAAGTATTCATTCAAAATCAAGGATTTCTGGATTAGTTAGCCAAAGATCAATCCTAGATCTTGGGTCTTCCATTGGGTTTCATCCAAGAAAATTGTCTTGTGTTTGGGTTTTTCTCTCTTCATACAAAAATAAAAGAGTTACTGTCAATGAAATCCTTCATCAATCTGTTGTGGTGGGAATCATTAAAATTAGATGGACATCTGTCCAACCACTCGTCTGGCACTATATTAAAATCTCCACTTGTCCTCACTCCAATCCGGGAAGTCACCCGGGGCGGACGGATTTCCGGTTGAGTTTTTTAAAACACTAAAAGGTAAGATCAATAAATTATTACTTAGAGTTTTCAATACATCTATTGAGGACTCAAAACTCCCAGAATCAATGTATTTGGCCAATATAACACTTATATTAAAGAAAAAGAAAAATCCAGAACTCTGCTACTCATACCGACCAATCAGTCTGAGTGGACATAAAAAGGAGTAAAAGTATTGGCTCGCAGATGCAGATCAGACCGGTTTTATAAAGGATCGAATGTCACAATACAAGACGCTTAATTAACATCATTCATTATCTCAATCATTGTCAAATTCCTGGAGCAATTATATCGATGGATGCTGAAAAAGCCTTTGATTGGGTTGGATGGGAATACATGTTTGACATTTTTAAGAGATTTGGCTTTCAAACTAACTTTCTAGGCTGTGTGAAACTTCTGTACAAGAAGCCCACAGCTTCTGTCCTGACAAGTTTCAAGTTGTCAAGAGGTGCAGCCCAAGGCAGTCCTCTGTTTGCCCTGGCTATAGAGCCATTAGCAATAGCTATTCAACAAAATAATAATATTAAAGGAACAATGATCGGTACAAAGCAAAACAAAATTATGTTGTATGCGGATGATGTCCTGTTGACCTTAACAGACCCGAGTGTGTCAGTACCTGCTGTCATAGAATGTGTTAAAGAATTTGGACTAATATCTGGATACAAAGTTAATTTTGACAAATCTGATGTAATGCCCCTGGTGAGCGATAGACGTGTTGAACCTGATTTTGTTAGACATTTTGCTGGGCCCCTGATGGTTTCAGTTATCTGGGAATAAAAGTCACACCAAAACTCAATCGACTGTATAGTGAAAACATTAACCCGTTGATTAAGCACTTGAAAGAAAATATGATGAGATGGAGGAATCTGCCCATATCCTTTCTTGGTAGGATCAATCTCATTAAGATGACTATTCTCCCTAAGATAATTGATCCTGTATCTATGCTTTTTGTGATTTTAAGGACAGAAGATATTAGAGATAGTAATAAAGCAATATCAGACTTCATTTGGGCAGGAAGGAAACCCAAGATAAAATTAGAGAAGTAACAACTCCCTAAAGAAAAAGGTGGGTGGGGTCTACCTAAAGTAGAAAATTATGTTGTATCAATACATGCCAGGATTATATCTTCATGGGTGGTTGGAAACACTAGGTTGCATTGGCTTGAAATAGAGGCCATAATGTGTAAACCTTTTTCCCCTGTAAATGTATTAGAGAAACGATTGAATGAATTACCAATTCTAGTTAAGGACAACTTGTTAATAACCAATATCATAAAGACGTGGAGAAGCTTAAAGGCAATGTTTAAGGAAAACTGTCCCTTGAATGCAGTTACAACATTGGTGGACAATCCAGATTTATCAGTGGAGGGGGCAGGGCCTAACTTTAAACAGTGGCAGGAAGCAGGCTTAAAAAGGGTACATGATCTTTGCAGTAATGGGATCTTCAAAATGTTTGACTCTCTGAGAGGTCAGTACAATATACCTACCAAGGACAAATATCTACAAGTCAGGCACTATGTATTGAAGAAGGTAAATACCCTCAATTTCTTTAGTGGTTCGCATATGCTGGAAAGATTTTTCTTGGATCATACAAAAAATTAACATTTTGTATCAAGGTTTTACTCTGAGTTACAGAGTTTGGATATGGATAAACTTGCTTCCTTAAGAACATCATGGTCGACGCTGCTGAAGGTGGCAATAGATAAAGATACATGGGAAGAAATTCTGATGTTACCCTCCAAGATTTCAATCTGTAATAGATATAAAGGGATGCAGGACAATATCTTGCATAATGTTTATATAGCTCCATATGTTTACAGTAAGTTCACAACATGAGCTTCCCCAATTTGTTCCAAATGCAAAGCTAATACTGGAACTAGAATGCATTGTCTTTGGTAGTGTGAAAAGACTCAATTATTTTTGAAGGCAGTATGTGGAGAACAACAGGACAACAACTGCCTCCTGGCCCATTTCTATGCCACCTAGGAAGTCTACTGAACACTTTGAAGGAACATAAGGACATAATCCAATTTCTGTTAATGTTGGCTAGGAAGACTATAATGACAAAATGGGTTGGGGATGAATCCCCTACTGTTCACTTGTGGAAATCTCTGATATCTGATGTTGTGACGTTAAAAAAGTTAAGATACTGTATCTCTTTAAAAGGAAATGGGAGAAGCCCTTGAATCTTCTAAATGTTAAGTGCAACTTATCATAATGATCCCTGAATGATTATCTTGCTATTGTACAACATCACTGTTAATCACATGTATACCCATCTTATATTCAGTCATTATTTCTGAGAGAGATTCTAATACTTATTTGTTTTTAGCAATATTACTATATTAGCCTGAAGGAGATCCTTTGGATCCAAACGTTGCCCTTAATAAAGTTCCTCATTTCGAGCTGAACAGTGTGCGGACCTTTCCTTCTTTTCGGCAGTTTATTTTTAATTTTTCAATTATTTTATTTTAATTCATTTTACCCCAAACAATAGACACAATGCAGACAAGACAGTACCAGCAGCAGTAACATATATCTTTAACCCATCTTACAACAGCACCATACTGACATTTACATTCCCCCCATGTCCTGAGCCCAGTGCAAAGCAACATCTAGATGTCATCAAATTCATGTAGAGACAAGAATAATAATAGTAGTAATTGTAATAATAATACTAAAAATACTGAGCTAATGATGAAAGAAAGAAAAATAAATAAACAAAAACATTCACACACGACAACAACAATTTATATATAAAAAAAATACAACAGCAACAAAAAAAGCAACAAAAAAATAAATAAATAAATAAAACCAAAAGACATAATCATGGTAACACACCTGGTCTATAACAGTCTATAGTCTATAACACGACCCCAAACTTTTTGGATTTGCATTTGTTGTCCTTTCACAAAATACATGATTTTCTCAGGTGTACAATACGATAGCAATTCTGACCACCACTGCTTGATTGGGGAGGGGTTTCAGATTTCCAGTGGCATAAAATGCATTTATTTGCTGCAGTCATAGCCAGTAGGATAAGTTTCTTTTCATGATTGTCAAATTTTATCAGCACTGTAGCATCGCCCAGAATAGCCATGCGGGGGTTTGGGGTCAGCTCTTTCAAAAATATTTTGGAAAGTTGGTCAAATATAAAGTTCCAGTAATCATTCAGTCTTTCACATTTCCAAAACATATGTATTAGAGCCCCTGTTTGATTGTTGCACCTAGGGCAGCAGGGAGATGTCTCATGACTGAACTGATAAAGCCTTTGTGGTGTGTAATATATCCTATGAAAGATGTTATGTTGAATTAATCTGTGTTTTGTTTTAGTTAGGGTTTTTTGAGTCTTCTGGAGTAGAGACTGCCATTCATGCATTGAGTATTCATACTGAATGTCATTTCCCCATTTATTCTTGAGTTGGATCATCCTATCATCTTTCTGTTCGTTATTTAATACTGCGTATAATTTAGAAATGAGGCCCTTTTGGGTGCTGGTAGTCCTAAATATTTTCTCTATCGATGTTTCTGCAATACACGAAGCTGGGGTTTTTAATTTTGACCCAGTTCCTTATTTGCAAGTATCTATAAAAATGATTAGGTGGTATGTCAAATTGAGGTAGTTAAAATCTGCAAATACATTTTGATTGCACAGATCTCCGTTTTCTTCAATTCCCTTAAGTTTCCAGTCCTCGATGATTCTGTCTCTGATGTCTTTAGGGACAAGTGGATTGTTCCACAGGGGTGTGCTCTTTACCAAGGTGTTCTGAGACCCTATAAGTTTAAATGTTTCTTTCCAGCACTTAAATGTGTGATTTATGACCTGGTTTGTAGTAACAGCTTTGAGGTTTTTGACGGTTTCAATAAAAGGTATTAAATATAATGGGGTAGGATGCGTTATATGCTTTTCCAATTTGGCTTTCTCACTGTTAAGCTGGCACCAGATGTTGCGAAATTGGCTGGCCAGGTAATATAACCTGAAATTAGGTCGGTTCAAACCTCCTGTTTACCTGTTTAATGGAGCTTGCAATGATGAGAACTTAATCCTGGCACGTTTTTGAGACAACAGAAAACTAGTAATTAAATTTAAAAAACGGCAGTTTATACCTGTTTTGTACTGCACGTGTATGTAAATTGTTTGCATGTGCACACACTAGCCTTTGTACTCTTTTTGAATTAATATTATTATTGGCAAAAAAAATGTTATAACTACTGACATCAGGTGACTGACTGTTGGTGCCATGTTTGGATGTCACAACACAACCGTCCCAGGAGACCCGTTGAGTGGGAAAAAACAATCTCTGAGTTTCATCCCAACAGAACAATGACCTGGCACATTCTTATCTCCTCCTTTAATTCAACCCTGATGATCCGTGCCCACTATCTCATCCATCGTTAAGCCCTGCATTGTCCCAATCTTTTGTATCTTTCATGGTGACCTGCCCATTCTTTTAGGACGCTGTTTTGTTTTCAAGAACTGCCTCCTTCCCTTTACTTTACTGCCTCCTTCCCTTTACTTTACTTTTGCAACCTTTGAGTTCAGCCGCTGTAGCTGTAGTCCATGGATTCAATAGACTAGAGGATTCCTCGTTTGGTCTTTCACATGGGAGACTTTGGTTGGTGTGTTTACTGGGGAATCATTGAGCTCTTCTATGTTTCTTTTATCTGTTCCCACATTATTAGCTTCCATTGCATAGTCATGTTGACGAGCACATCAGGTGTAGCCTTCTGGTCGCTAGTTTTAATGTTAGCTTTGTTGTTTGTCGTCATTTCTTGTTCTTTTGTTCTGTTTTTTTTTGGTTTCTTGTCTTTGTTAGGCATTATAAATTGTAATCGAAATGTCAGGGGAAACCAAACGTTTTAACAAGTTTTGAGGAACTTTAGTGTGCACTCTGCTGGCCAACTCCTTTGGTGTTTTACCACCTGGTAAAATAAAGGTGAAATAAAAAAATTGAAATAATAACAACAAGGTGAAAGGAGTACAGAGTATTAATCAGCATTATCATTGTGGGGATATAATCATGTTCCAATATAATCTGTTTGTTTTTATTCATGTGCAAGATCAGCCTGTAAGATTAGAAGGCTCTTGAAAATGTGTATTTTAGTCACATGCAAGTGGGATCAAAAAGTCTCTTTAGGGGGTCTTGTACATTATTTGCCCCAAATTCTCAAACCTCCAGTTAAGAAGTTCAAATGAAGTTTTTTGCAGCTCACACAATCACACATAAAGTCAATTTAAAGTGTGGTACAGAGTAATCCGCAGTCGAGAATTGTTTAGCTAAAAGCCCTAAACCGTTTCCCATTCATTCTCTATGGTAGTGCTAAACCACTACGGATGTAATATACTTTTGGCCACTACGACTTAGTGGCGCTGTCCCGAGTTTTTCTTCAGAGCGAACTGCGGTGGAGACGAGACACTATCTACTTTCTTCGAATTCTCATCACGCAGTATTCACTAATCAAAGGTAAGAGACTTTGTTTGGCATAAATTTAAAACTATAGGGTCAATTTATTATTATTTATTTTCTCTGTCAGACAATATTGGTGCAATAACGTGATAAATTACACTAACAAACAAACGTTATCTATTTAATGGTCAAGTAAAGTAAACTTTTATCAGGACCATGGGTGTTACACTATCTTTCAGAGTCAAATTAAGTCTTAACTACAATATCAAATGTCATTTTGTTCCTCAATTATTTGATAGGAACTCCTCTCCTGCCCCATTTGCCCCTCTCCAAACTCATACACTTAAACTCAGGTGCTTAGGCACACACAGTTTTTTTCCCACATCTACTGCCCCTCTCACTCCCGCCCTCTATTCTTGCTCACACATGCTGTGCTTTCCCCCTCCTGCTGCTCCCACCCCACCCTCTTACCCTTTAGTTCTCAGGCAGACTCTCAGATGTACAGACACACACACACACACACTTCCTCTCCCTTAGATCCCAGAGTAGGTGAAGATCAGAAAGGTGTGAAAAACTATTGTCTTTTTAGCCTTCTGAACTTTTTAGTGAAGATCATAGAAGTTTTGCCGCTGTAAAATATTTAATTGGCCATTTCTATTTGAGTGGGATTAATATGTGATCTGAAATATTCTGGTATTTTTTTCACAAATATCTTCTCACTGTATCTGATTAAAATGAATCTAAAATTCTATTATTTTCTTTTAGGTAAAGATGCACAAGAAAGTGTTGTTCTTCCCGGGGAAAGTCTGTGTTGTGTTCCGCAAGGGACCACTCGGATTTCTCCTCTAGGAGCCGTCAAAGGAAGCCAGAAGAATTAAGGAGGACTCCACTCTGCAGGACAAGTCTGCCCCCATACGGGCTGACCTTGTTCAGCAGAATGCTCTGGCTGTGGTCCGTCGGAGAGGAGGGGATGCCTCAGACCGTACGGAGGTGCTGGGAGACTACATCCTGCAGTTTGGGAAGTATAAAGGGAAGTCTTTCAGGTGGCTTTTGGAGAATGATATAGGGTACACAATGTATTTTATTAAGAACTTGCAAAAGGAGGAAGCATCAGGTGACAGTGTGACTGCAGGGCATAGCAAGGACAGCCTACAGTCCTTTGTCAATTATTCCCTCAGTTTTGCTGAGATCCAGTCTCTCCGAACCTATGAGGCAAGTGGAGGGGTTGTTATGGCAGCCTCATTGGAAGATGACCAGCTGGTTGGCTTTGGCACTCGTGCTAAGAGCACCTGGAAGGAGATTTGGGACAGCAGAGCTGATGGCTATATAGCTGATAATATAATTTTTTTAAATGAAAATCTGCTTTTAAGATTTATACTTTCAGTCCTACAAGTTTTTAATGATTGGTGTGGGCTTTGTTTTGTGTTACAGATCTGCTGTCTGCTTCAGCTGCCTCTCTAAGTTCATTTTAAATGTTCACCTTTGATCTGTACTTTGTCTTGTTTGAGGCAACTGCAGAAAAAACTCTCACACATGTAGCATGTGGCAAAGTAAGGAGTGTAGCTATCTTTTCTAACCGCCGTTGTACAGCTAGAGCTGAGGGCAAGATATGACTTACCATATTTTCTTGTCTTTGTTTTCAAAGTTGTGACTTCTGCTGTAGATTAATTGTCATTGTCATTAACTGGCATTTACCTGGAAGTCCTACAACACAATTTGCCATGCTTTGCTGGCAATGCAAAACGATGTGGATTGCTTTTATTTAAGCTCGATGCCTTCAACTGTCATAACCATGGGCCCCACTTTGGGAATCACTGGTTTAAGAGGATGTTAAATTAACCTTGTATTTATAACTTTCACTGAATGTTCTGATGCTGCTTTTTATCTTATACCACCCTACTTCCACCACCATCCATTATAACTTGCTTGTAAATTAAACTATTTTCATGAAAAAATTGAAATTTATTGTCCTTTTTACTGCTTGGAATTAAAATAATATAGCTTCTTTTCAACTTAAATGTGCCATTTATATACAAAACCTTCTGTCTCATATGCTTTATGGGGTCTGAATAAAAATGCTAAGATGTACTGCTGCCAGTTCACCAACATGGACATTTTAATGCGGTTTCAAACTTTTATATTACTTTTTCGAAGGTGTGCATGATTTAATCTGTATACAAAACAAGGAAATCAATGACATATTCAGATCTTAGTAAATAGTAGTAAATTAGATTTTTAAACTAAAATGATTTATACATGTACTTCAGGTACTTCACTCTCAATAAACAAGGTAACAACAAAGGGAATCTATTAAAGTCAATATTAAACAATGTGTTTCATCACAACACAATAGCCTAAATCACATCTCAGATTTGTCTCAGTGGGGATTTGAACCTACACTAAGCAAGCGTTCGAACACCTTGGAAAAAAAAAAAAAGATACTTTAATCCTATTGGCTGATTTTCTGTTACAGCTATTCGCAACTTGCCTAATTAAGACAGCATTGTATAGTCATGCTAAAACAAGGCACTGATGGCCTAGCGGTTAGGTCGTACCTCTTGTACAGAGGCTGCAGTCCAGGGATGCAGGTGGTCTGGGTTCAAGTCCGACCAGCGCAGACTGGTTTAATCAGAGAAGATAGCTGACACCAGATTTAATTTGAAGCACGTTATTACAGATATCTATAAAGTCTCTCTTATTGTTGCATCACCACTTTTAATGATTTGCATGATTTAAAAGAAAATACATTAAACTTCATTAAATTAGAAATTAGGACTGAGCTACAAAGCTTTCTTTACCAACCCATAAACAAGTCTTTATTTTATTTAGATCTATGAATATCAATAATAAAACTAAGCATTAAAGCTAATAGACATGAACCTTCTTTATACCGTGGTCTGGGTGAATACTCAATTCTAATTGGCTGAAGGGTGTCCATTAACTTTTGAGATATGGACACCTATGGAAGTAGTTCCAGTTAGTGAATCCACTGCTATCTGTCAGACTGAACGCTTCCCTTTGATGTCACTGGAAATAAGATCTTTCAAAAATGAACAAGGAAGGAAGGAAAATATTTGAGGGAGATCGAAGATGAGATCGAAGATGAGATCGAAGATGAATATAGATTCAATCCAATTTTCTAAAGAAAAACATGGCTTCCCTGATAAATGTAAATTTTTTCCCCCTAAAAGTGAAATGATGCTGCTTGTAAACATCTGCAGTAAAACACACCAGATGATTAAAAACAGTTCAAATACTGCAACCTGTAAACATGCTGTAATGTTTGTCACCATTTAATCAACACATTGATTTTAGATTTCTGGTACAAAACAAGTTTTAAAAAATAAACAGACTTAACAGAAAAAAATCAGACTTAACAGAAATAATCAGACTTGACAGAAATAATCAAATTTAACAGAAACATGAGGAAAATACAGGACGTTCTCTGTGGTTTTTTGTTTGTTTTTGTTCTCAGCAGTTTTCTTATTTATTTTGATTCTTTGTACGATCAATGAATTACGTCTGTGTTTGAGAAACTGGAAGTGGTTGAGAATCCTCGGGTGTAATAACATAACCTTTGCCCTGGGGGAACCACGCCTGCAGGGCTTCAGTCCAGCTGCCTGTGCTGCAGAAAGTTAACAAGATGTCAAACACTGTGGGGGAGAGAGAGAGACTGGAATTAATTCAATAAAAAAAAAAAAAAAGAATTCTGCCTCACAATTTATAACAGATTTTCACCTTGATTGACAGCGAGGATCTTTGAGTGGAAGTTCTTGCTGTTGTTCTTCTTCACCATGTACTCGTCTATGGGCAGCCTCGCGGTGTGCAGGCTCAGCTCTGTGGCCCTCGAGAAGCTCAACCTCTGCGGGGGGAAAGGGAAAGCAGAAAGACTGGAAGGTTGCCTTCATAAAAAAAGCTCTACTTCTCTCTTTTTACCCAAACTGAAAGGAGGGTTATATAACCTTTTTATAAAATAAGACCGTTCAGTCATCATCATGCCATGCAGCAATAGTTCATACCTTCTGGATACTTTCATCTACAAGGCCGCCCAGGACGTACACCTTATCAGCATCCACTGTTTGTAAAGCTGAAATGAAAGATTATAGAGAGGAGGAAAAGAAATAGGTTAATGGATTCAAGAAAGCGGCACATCCGAACGCACCGTCTTGGCGCTCTAGTTTTATCTCCAGAGGGGACTCTTTAGTCCCCAAACAGTAATACCAACAATAACTTCCTCTGCCTTTATAATTACACATTTGTCAGACTCTACTGCCTCTAGTACTGCTGTTAGCTTTTTAACATAATTATATCCTGCCGCTGACTTTTTTTAAATCATTATCTTACTCTTGTTCAGCTCTACTTGTAGTAGTAAAAGTAGAAGCAGTAATAAAAGTTGTAGTGGAAGAACTTCATGAGCAGTTACGGTCATAATACGCCCTCTGCTGGTCAAAAAGATGCACTACAATTAAAAGAAAAAAAAGTATGACGTTTTTGTGACGTCTCTTCTGGAGAAGGAATACTTCTGAGACGGATCACGCGAACCTTCTTCAGCATCGGGTGTGAGGTAGATGATTGTTTCTGGGGGGAAAAGGTCCTGACAGCTTTCTTCTGTAATGTCCATCTGCAAATAAACAGAAGAAGGGATCCAAACGTTCAAAGTAACCTGAGTTTGTTGGTCGACATTTAGAATCCTCCTGCTCTCGATTGAAGAGAAAGGGTGTAACAAAAGTGTGAAGAAAAACAACACACTGACTGAAGTTCAGCCTCTCAAACGACGAGTGGATTTCTCAGAAACAGCCTCGAAGTATCTGTTTTGTGTTTTACTTTGAGTTCAACTAAATTGCATGAACCCTTTGAGTGGTTTCAACTGGAGCTAACGTACATTGTATGCACTGATTTGAAGGGTAAACAAACTCTTAAAATACTCGCCTGCTGGTTAATTCCCATTGTTTTTTTGTTTTTTTAAATGTAAACATTATTTACCATATAATTCAGGAAGCCGTCGTTCATCCGTATGCACTCCCTGTAGAGACGACTGTCCTCCCTCAGGTCCGTCAGGAAAAGACGAAACGGTCGAGTCGCCTTCTTGTTCGAGCCGTACAGTCTCCTTAACTGACCGGCCAGGCGACTCACCTCCTGATTCACGCACGGTTCAAAGTTGTTTCAAAAGGTAAGTATCAGGTGAAAAGCTATGGATCAAAAACTGTTCAGCACTCAAGAAAAATCATTCTGTTTAAGATATATTGACATGTTGAGGCTTACCTTGTCCGACATGCTGTCTGTCATACTCAGGTCAACGCAGAGTTTGAGCCCTGTGAACTGAGCTTCGGCTAAACGCTCTCTGGTGATCGCCTTCATCACCCGTTTTGTGAACTGAGGATTATCGCCGCTTACACCTGAATGTTCAAAAACACAGGAAAGAGGAAATCACTTTTAAACTCCCTTCTACCTTCAAAAAGGGACATTGTACCAATCTCAGATACCTAACACATCCAAGGGTGAATTCTGTGTGATCACGGTGGGTTCAATAACAGCCTGTCGAGTTATTTTAAGACATCACAGGCCCCGCATGTGAAAGAATGACTGAGACAGCATCTTATGAATGTATGCTGAACAGACTCAGTAACAGAAGGTTGGAGAAGGGGGTCTCCCTGGGACAGGTTCTGGGACTACATAAATTCCCAGAATTGTCTCTGCTGTGACGAGCATTATCTGTAATAATTTTGACGTATTTATCTTTTTTATTTCTATTTATTTGTTATCCTCTCTGGCCTGCTGCTGTGGTTTATGTTCACTGGATCTGTGCACTGAAGTCTGCCCTCATGTTTTGTGTAAGCTAAGGGTTGCTATATCCTTGAAACTTAATGCCATGTACCGTGCCTTTAAAAAGTTCAATGGACATTTGTTTGTCGTCGCCTCATCTTTACCTGACTCCTGCTCGCGGTTCATCCTCCTCCTCTGCTTCTCTTCTCTCCTCTTGTTTTTCTTTGCTGCCAGCTGCCTCTCCCAGTTCCTCTGCTTCCTCAATACATTCCTCTATTCATCAAACATACAAACACTAATAACAGTGCAGAACAAGACATCACATATGTATTAATTACCATCAAAAATATCGGGTGTATATACTCCTTAAGGACCTTTTGATCCTGTTCAAAGGCAGTAACACTATTTTATATGCTGAATGGTTTACAAAGGTTTTTAAGATCATGGGGAAACATGTATTCACTTCACCAACCACTCCGTGCTTTGATTGCATTTCATGAGTCAATTGTTCTTGTGTGGTTTTCACAATCTACCCAGACCATTAGTTTATTTGCATTGAAATAAAAACTGTATTTTACTTACTGAACACCCTGCATCTTCTCTCCCTGGCCTTTCTTCAGCCACATCAGACTCCACATCTATCTGAAGAAGATCAATTACCTCCGAGACTTCATCCAGCTGCATTTCACACTCTTCTGTTTGATGCTCAGATCTACTGTCCTTAAATGCATCACCTTTAAAGCATAAAATGAGTTATTTACATCTGTAAATGTGCAAACATTTCTGTAGTTTGTTTTTTGCTCTCCAGAGAAAATGATGATAGCCATACTCGTGTTTGTGGAGGTATTTGAAAGCACCGCCGTTATTAAACCTCATCTTTTACTTAAATCTGCTTAATTATCAGAGTAACATGATGGATTAAGAAGCAGAAACGTACCTGAACTGATAAGTATGAAGACATGTGAGCGGCGCATGGGAATGACGTCAGCGTAAACAAAGATGGTAGGGGTGTGTGTACGAGGGGAGAACTATCTATTTCTGTCACAAGAGGGCAGTGTAATATAACACTCTTTCACATTTTTTATTTATAGGATACTTTTTTTTTTGCATTTAAAAAAACATTAAAATATTATCTGATTATAGGGATCTATAAATATTAATGTGATGGATTGCAAATATTTCTAGTGGATTTAATAATAATAATAATAGTTAGTACATAATATAATTATTATATAATATACTACAATTCACTTAGCAGACGCTTTTATAATATTATATAATAATATTTATAATATAATAATATATAATAATATAATAATATTTATGTAATATAATAATATATAATACTATAATAATATTTATATAATAATATAATAATATAATATAATTAGTACACTCCTTATATGTAAGTAGTATAACGAATACCGTTTTTCAATGACTTCTTGCAAGCATGTATCATACAGTTTGGCAAAACCGCAATATTTCACTCCTCTGTGCTCAGAAAAAAAAGAAAATACAAAACATGAACGAATAATTAAGTAAAATGTAATACGAGCCTGTCTGAATTACGCATGCGCAGAGGAGCACCTTTGAAGTAATTCTTCGTTTGGTGAGTAAAAAGGTCGTTTACATCTATTTTTTTTAACCTTTCAACGTTCATGTATCGTTAATGTTGAGTTATTTATCTTATTATGCAGTTGGGAAGTAGTTACGACAAAACAAATGATGTGTAAAAGTTCAGTTTGGTCGTTATTGTGTCTAACATTAACGCTAATTAATATTAATTATCCAGTTAAAACAACTTTCCCTCCGAATTTCTGGTCAAGAAGAAAACGATTTTAACAATATTTCCACGACATGTGATGGTTCAAAGGTTTTAAAGGTACAAAAGTGAACTTATGTATAAGTTCTTGCATAAAATGGTGTCAATGACGGGATGAAATGACCCTGCTGGCTAGAGGAAGAGTGCATGCTTGATTTTCTTGTTTTAACTAAATAATATAACCAAGCTTTCTTCTATGGTGCTAGACAAATTATGGCCATTTCTGATTCAAAATTGTTGGCAAAAGTGTGATAATCAAAGATGTTTGTGCTTCTATTATAAGTATTCAATTTAATTCATTTCAAACTGTATTTAGACTTTAATGTACAATTGAAGAGAAGCTGATAATACAATTTTAGTCCTGCAAATTGAATCATACAAAAGATTTCACAAGACAGTTTGGAGAATATTGACTAGCCCTTGTAAGTTGTCTGTAGTAATATTATCAAAAGATCAGTCTTTTTTTTTTCCTGTACAAAAACGACCATGATTTTTGACCCTATCACAGATATCAACCTCAGGGACTTATTTTCTTTGGTACCAGGTGTTATATTTGATATCATGTTCAGCACCATAAACACAGCAAACAGACGGCATTTACTGGAGACGAGAACTTCCTGGACTGCAAACAAACAAGTCCGATTACAGGTTTACAACTGCAGGTACAAATCATCTCAGATTAATTGATTTCTATCAACAGTATGTAATAACATTGTAGTAGAAGAATCATTTTTGATTCATTGCTACTCTTCCACCATGTTATTACCACTTAGTAGTTTGCCAAAAATACTTCCAATGAGCAAAAAAATGTAAGTTTTCTGTAAAAAAGGAAGAAAGTTATTCTATGTATTTCAACATTTTCTTGTTGTCAAACAAACTGTGAATCCTGACTGAGTTTTTGCCATAGGTTTGCGTTCATCAAGCATGTTCGTGTCCTTTTAAAGAGGGGTTGTTTTACCCATATATATATAGATATATATCTATATATATACATATATTTTTTTTTTCATTTTTTTTTTAACCGTCTTTATTGACAAATTTAACATATACAAAAAACGTTTATACAAACTCTTTAAGAGGATGAACATACAACAGCAAAATACACAGGAAGTTAATTCAAACATAAATCAAGACTAGGGAGATTATATATAAAAATGAATAAATAAAAATCAAACTTTTCCAAAAGAAAACATCAGGCAAATGTACGCAGACAGCAAACTGGAGCAAGGACAACAACAAAAATTCAACAAGGCCCAGAAATCAAAACAACAAGAAATTTAGGTAAGTCATCACTAATCTTTCTAATCAATCCTGCTAGATTTCATTTTTTTCCAGAGATAAGAAAAAATATTTGAAATCATTTATAAACCAGTCAAAGGAGGGTTTGCTGTTTCTCCACTTACTACAGTGAATATGATATTTACTCATGAGTAAAATAACATTTACCATATAAATTATCCATAAAATAGAGAATACTATAAGTATCAAATAGATATTATATGTGTACCGCGATATTTAGCAATACCCAGGAACCACAATTTAATGTGGTTTGTAGTCGGACGCCTAAAGTGGTGCACACGTGGTTGTTAGCGGCTGTTAGCTCTTTTTTAAACAATGTTTCTGTTTTCCTGCCTATATCTCAACGGAATTATTTCTCACTCATTTTGTGTCATATATCGTTAAACGTGGACTCGGACAATGTGCCTGTCATGTGATGGTTTTAAATGTCGCATTTAAATAAGACGATCAAACCCCTGTTGTTGTTAGCAATTTGGGCTAACACGTTGCACGCAGTCTCACAGCAGCCAATAAGAAGCCAAGAGGAGACAGAGCCTTGTGGGTATTTTTTATCGACATTATTTATAAGAGTTTTTTAAAGGTTTTTGGAGGGTTTCACTGAGGAGGCTTTCTTATACAAACTGTGTTTTAATTATGAGCTTAGTGGGGATAAAATGTGTATTATAAACCACGTTTTTGCACTTTTTAATTATTAATATGTCAAATTATCCGTCCAGCGTATGCAGTAATGTATTCGGTGGTCCATTGCTAAACATTTCAGATGTATTTGTGATTATTTTCTCATTTAAAAAACATCTGATATAGCGTGTTTTGTGTCCGCACCGTGACTGAGAAGGGCTGCGTCGTCATACTAGTAGTGTCGCTGTAGAGTTGAGGAGTTAAGACTATACTTTCAGGGATCATTTCTATAGTTTCTGACTTGAGAAATGTGTTTCTAAAGTGTGTGGTCTCGCTAACCACGATGATGAGTTGGTGATACTCTTTCTTGAGCGCGAAGCGGGTAGAGAGACTTGATTCAGTTCTTATGCTCTCTTACTTTTGATGACCGTTCACTGTCCTCTCGGGGACAATGAGGGAGAGAGTATGATCAGAGTGGTAGCGTGATGATGTCAAAGCAAATTTATATCTTTAACGTGGGAGTGACGTTGTTAACCAGATGGGATGAGATGTGGATCACTTCTTGTTCGAGTGCACTACTTAAAGATTTAATGGCTTCCAGTGGTCTGTGTGTTAGTAAACATTATGGTTATTATTCCTGTATTTTAATCAACTTACAGTGTTTATATATTCAAACAGTCCATCTTAACACACAACTTCACCCCATAAAACGCTATCCTCACCACCTGCTTCATTATTATCATTACTAACGTTGTATTATTATACAATTTAATTCAATTCAATTCAAAAAACTTTAATCGTCCCCGGGGGGCAATACAAAGGCACACAGAGCAGTAAATTAACAACAGTGTAAGTAGACGAATCATTTTAACCTAAATATGAAGTGTCAATTCAAATACAACTTAAAGCTTAAACTTAACTTAAAAATATAAAGGAGTAGATATAAGTGGACAGTGATCGGACTAACAGATGTAAACAGATGTAACCATAACTATGTGCAGTAGTGACCAGATGTAAACAGAACTATGTGCAGTAAAGGAGAAATAAATATATATATACAGAGCTATGTGCAAGTAAACTAAATGATAAGTTATAAGGTGCATGGTGAATAATGGAACAACAGAACTATTATAAACAATATAATTGTAAAGGTAAAAATTAGATAAATAAAGTGACCGTAGTGCAATGATGGATAAGAACAACAGGAATAAAGTTAGCAGAACTGTATAAATACTGATATAAAATTGTTAGAATAAAGTGATGTAGTGCATGAGACCAGATAAAGCAGAGGCAGTTAAGTTAATACTGTACATTCTATATATTTTATTATAGTATTATACTAGTCTATATCATATAACATGTCATTATATTACACTATATTGTTCATATTGCACTGTATTATATTATATTATACTACATTATAAGTAGTCACTTTAATCATCACTTGTCACTTTATCTTGTCATTCTCTGCATAGTTAGCTTCATCATTCATTTTGTACTGTATATACCCCATGTTTTTATTTTTATTTATCTTATCTATTCTGTTTAATGTGTATTTTGAGCTTTCTTGTCTGTGCTTTCTGCAACGCCCGGATTTCCCCTCTGGGGATCAATAAAGTATTATCCTATCCTAACCTAAAAAGACACGTGGTGCAATATAATCTATATTTTTGTTTCTTACTATTAAATAATTATAAGCATACATATGGTAATTACGCAACATTCTTTAGTTTAATATTCATCAGTAAGTGACTTAAATGTGACTGAAATTAATGTTTATTTGTCAGTGTTGGAACTTTTATGAAAATATCACTGTTTGTAATAGCACCCCATTTTTAGTATGGAAGGTAACACAGTTGTTATTCTTTAGTTACAACTTTTTTTTTTACAATAAATTAATGTTGATACCGACTTCAAAGAGTAATTAATTACATTAAGATAATGAGTAATTAATAATAATGAATGAATTATTAATTAAAATTAAAATGAAATGAAATGAAAATTAAATGAAATGAAAATGATTAAATTCGTAATTAATGAGTAATTAATTACTTAATTACATTACTTAATTACATTAATCTCATTACAGTCAGTGCAAGTTCGTGATTTGTTGTTAGGATTATTGCCAAGGAAACGTGAAATAAGGTTTTTTTTCTCTCCAGGCTTTTTTTTTCCACACTCTCTCTCTTTCGCTTTTTGTTGGGAGCTCGGAGTAGTAGGCGGGTTTTTGGTCCACCTGCCAAGAAAACCGCTGAGACAAATTCCGCTTTACTGGCCTGGAGAAACACTCAAATCTTCTTTTTTTTGTAACGCACCAGAGAGTCTCTCCTCTCTTTGAATAACCCTTCACTACTCCGTGTCGGTGATTGACGTGAGAAAGTGGAGGAGGATTCTGTCTGCTCTTTGAGCCGCAGTTCAACTCGCATGCTGGTTGTCTGCATAGGAAAGGAATTCATTTTGGAGGAGCGTTTTCAAGGCTTTCTTTGCTGTTTTAAAATGCACCTTAATACCGCGGACAGTAAGTTAACACCGCAGTGAAAACATGACACGCAAATGATGTTTAACATTTCAATAGATGGAGGCTCATTCTCAAACAATTTGGAGGACTTCGACTCTATTCGCAGTGTTCTCCTTTACAGGTCAGTAAAGCCTTCACACTTTTAATAGATTGCAAATGTGTTAGTTATGTTTTCACAACCTGAAGTTGTGTGCTTTTGAGGCATTTCGCCAGAAGTTTGCTGAATACCTTACGGGATTTAACAAAAAACAAAAGAAACTCGTGCAAGTGTGCAGGGAGGTACAAATGGGAGTGCAACGAAAATGTACACGTGTGAATTAGAAACACACATTAGAAAAGACCAGAAAATATGTTCTGTGCAGGTGTAATCTTGCAATTCCTCTCTTGAGTCTCTTGTTTGTTGTGATATATTCAGATGATGGTTTGAAGGCACCGTCGGAACACACAAAAAATAAAAAATAAAATAAAATAAAATAGTTTCTACGGGTTTGAAATGGATTAAATTTTACTATAAATAAAAGTATGTAGTGGTGTCTGTGTGGTTACTGTATTATTTATTATTATTATTTATTTATTTATTTATTGGGATGAGAGCCACAGAGCAAATAACACTGCTGGGAAGCTTCTGCGTTGTCACGGGCAACCGCGTCGTCCACCAATCAGAGAGGGCGCGTCGCGTCATGTGACACGCTACAAACGCTTCTCTCAGTTCAATACAATATGGCGCCGTTTGTTCTCTTTAAAAGTTGACGCGTTTTGGCGATTTCGTGCGGGAAATAAGACGTCCTACAGACACAATGGCCTCCACTAATGGCCGCCGTTGTTCTGGAAACACTCTCTTGAGCGGGAAAACGAAAGAAGAAGAAGAAGAAGAAAAAGAAGAAAGCTCCGAGCACGACAGTGAATCAACATCATCGAGTTTCAGCAGCTGCGACTCTGAGTAAGAAGATAGTTTCACACAGATAAACAAAGTGTTTTCTCTTGCTGGGGGGGGATATAAGAGCCCCATAAACAGCTGCTTTAGATAATATGACATGAAGAAAGTTACCACTGTTATTAAGGAGGAGAAGATGCTGTAAATTTACACTTTAAACGTCATTTTGATGTTTGACATTGCATACACACTGCCTGTCCAAATAGGTAAGAGCCTCCCATTGGATAATAACTGCATGGGCGATTATCTTTCAGCTGGCAACAACTGATGCAATGAGTGGCTTCTCATTTCTTAAACTGCGATGTTGAAAGACCCATCCTGTGGTCGTGGAGAAGATGTTAAGTCTGTTTGAGAAGGGTCAAATCATTGGCATGCATCAAGCAGAGAAAACATCGAAGGAGATTGCAGAAGCTACTAAGAACTGTCCCAACACATTATTAAAAACTGGAAGGAAGATTCACCCTGTTTCAGAGTGACCAGGGTAAGAAGAGAGGCAGGTGAAGTGATGCACCCGTCATGCCTGCTGTACAAGCCTGTGGAGGGCACTGCTATGATCTGGGGTTGGTCAGGTCTAGGTTCAGCAACATTATGTGCCTGCTGACTACCTGAACATACTGAATGACCAGGTTATTCCATCAATGGGTTTGTTTCTTCCCTGATGGCACGGGCATATTCCAAGATGATTAATCAGGATTCATCGGGCTCAAATTGTCAAAGAGTGGTTCAGGGTGCATGAGACATCATGTTCACACATGGATTGTCCACCACAGAGTCCAGACCTTAACCCCATTGTAGAATCTTCTGGGACTTTGCGCAGTGGTCCGTCTCTCCAAATCATCAGTACGAGATCTTGGTGAAAAATGAATGCAACACTGGACGGAAATAAATCTTGTGACATTGCAGAAGCTTCTCGAAACAATGCCACAGCGAATGCGTGCCGTAATCAAAGCTAAAGGCGGTCCAACGAAATAATAGAGTGCGTGATTTTGTTTTTGGGTGGCGACTTTTTTTTTTGGCCCGTCAGTGTATAAGAGCAAGGTTGTGGTTTTTGGCTTCTTTTGGTAACATATTTACACTCATAATTTGGAAATAGCAGCTTTATGAATAGTTATAACAGTTCTTTAAACATTTGCCAAAGAGGGGTGGGTCACTCCATCCTCCTCCCATGTACTTTTTCATAGCCTTGGGGAGTGTTTTCCAATTTGGGAGGTAAGCCTTCATAAATAATTGTAGGCTTCTTGCAATACTCAGTGAATTTATGGACACTGACTCAAAGCTGCCCACCACACGATCTTCAAAGAAGCTTAAAAACAAGACAACCCAATACATTTATTTTTACTCTGTTATTTTAAGCTCTGTTCATAGTAGTTAAGTTGTAGTTGTGTTTCTTTTTTTAAAAGGGAGGATTATTTACAGCAAAAGTGTCAGATAAAAGTAGAAGAAAACCATCGCGTGATAAAACATAATCAGGAAACAAGTTGGGGATATTATCTGCCGAAATACTGAAAGGGTTTGAAAAGTCAGTAATAAAGAGCTACATCTCTGCTTGTTTTCTTTCAGTGACCTGGAACCAGAGTGGCTGGATGACATCCAGAAGAATGGCGAGCTTTTCTACCTTGAGCTGAGTGAGGGCGAAGAAGAGGCGGCTTTAGCCCAAGCCACCGCCAATCAGAATGCGTCCACCAACCACGTGCGCTTTAGCGATAAGGAAGCAGAGGTCATCACGGAGCAAAACAAGAAACAGCGATGCAGCTCACGCAAGAAAGGTGAGCCCGCGCTTAAGAAGCTGGCTCGGATCCTGAGGACGAAACGCCGGCCTTCTCAGCGTAAAGGAGGGGGAAAAGTTGGGAGTAAAGACAACTCATCTCCAGCGTCCATCCTGAAGAACCAGCCGGGTCAAAGGCAGGGCGTGACGGTGCGGCAGCAGCAGCTGAAGGAAGTGTGTGTCTACCTCAACCCAAAACGCCTTGTAGGTACATCAGCACCTCTCTCTGACAGGGGAGGCCTCCTGGAAGCGTTGCTGGGGGTGGTACACCGCCCCTCATGGGGCAGGGGAACAGGGGACCCCAGAGTGGTCAGGCAGGAGGAGAGACTGACTGTTCATGGACTGATACCCAACAGCCCGGCCATCAAATGTGGACAAATCCTTATCGGTAAGACCTTCATTCCAACAGGTTGTTGTTGGAACTATTATACAAAACAACACAATGCTATCATATATATTTATTTCTGTTCTTATGTCATCTCAATGACTGAATAATTCTACAGTTTAAACTACTAATACTACCTTCAAGAAAAACCTTTTTTCTTCAGAAAAAGTGAGCAGCTTCGATTGCATTAACAGTCATCCGTTGAGTCATAAACCAACTCTGACTCATTCATTTCCACACGTACACTGGCAGAGCTCAGGCTGCAATCAATACTCAAAGTCATAGAACACGATCTGAGTAATGAGATTGATGCACAGCCGCTAATGAAGACAGAGAAGTTTAGCCCTGTTAGTTAAGTAGATGCTTTGTGGAAGTAACTGGATAAGAAAGAAATTGCGAAAACAAGTGTTGAGTAAGAAAATGAAGCCGTTCTCATGGCCGACTCTGAGCAGCTCGTGAAACTTTCATCACAGTTTGGTAAGCAAATGCAGCTTCAAATACAGGTCAGGTCTGGTTCCCCAGTCTTGTTTGAAAGCCAGGCCTCTCTGAAGTGATTTCCTTCTATCTGCACGAATGATCGGACAGCTTTTACTAGCAGACCAGAGAACGCCGGTTGTGTTCTGCAGCCACAAATGACTAACCACATCAGTTAGAGTTTAGAGACGCTTTAATGCAGTGCTGCTGCTACATGCTTAAACAATTAGAGAGGTTGAATACCTGAAATAGCTCCGTTGCTGAGATGGTAATGAATGCCTGGATGTACACAGGCAGGTGGAGCTCTTTATAGACCCTTTAAAGGGCCTCTATAGTGCAGAGGAGGGGGGGAAAAAGCTGTCGAAAGTGTACAGTTAAAAAATAGAAGAGTAGAGTATAGAGTATAATGACTGCAGAAAAATCATTGGTGTACTCTAATTGACGTCTTTAATTGACCCATCTGTCACATAACTGCATTTTACTTATCATGTTACTTCAGCATCTTTTTGAACTATTCACCACTGCACTGTTTCATATTTAGTCATGTAAATATCAGTATATGTGTAAAGTTGATATTTAATGTTGTACCTGTACATAAGAGAGCACAGTTCACCGAAGTTAAATTCCTTGTGTGTGTAAGCATACCTGGCCACAAAATCTGATTCTGAGTATCTGCTGCAGAGGGCTTCGGTCTGCCGGTGCTGAGACGCAGCGCAGCCAAACTAGTGGGAGCACATACATTGAAAGTAAAAACCCATCAGCTCCACTGCCATAACGTAATTTAGGCGATATGGAACTAATTCCACCAGATCCAGGTCCCTTTCTTTGCCAGCATTGCGCTCACCTCTGCATCAACATAACCAGCATAATGATTCGTTGCTCTCCAAAATGTGAAGTTTGTGTGTTGTTAAGCTGAACTATATTTCCTTCTCCTAAAGGTTTTTACCTGATTTATTTGTATTGCTCTCATTTTAATATTTCCTTTCGTCCATGCTCTCTCCTCAGGTGACGTGCTCGTAGCTGTGGATGATGTGGACGTGACCTCTGAAAACATAGAAAGAGTTCTCTCCTGCATTCCAGGACCAACACAGGTAAGTGTGTGTTCATCTACTAGAAACCCCCAAATGCCCTGGATGTAAGGTATAATAAATGTTAACAGCCAACGGTTGTCATGGTTTCTGCAGCTACACCTTTAAAGAAGTTGTTCAATATCTCAGCGTGGAAGGTTTCTGTGTTCTTTGTTTGTTTGGTATGAAGTTGAGCTTCTCTTTGACAGTAAATATAGACCTTAAATTACTTTCCAATGTACTGGTTATTCTGAGCTGCTAAAATGTGAATGGAAAGCAGAAGTCAGACATTAGTAAACCCCTTATTACTGAGAAATGATCCTTTCATTGGTAAGCAAAAAAAAAAATCCATGCCTCAGTTTTGCATTTTTCACCAAAAAGCAGACCATCAAAAAGTAGGAATTTGCAAATGACAGAGTGTGTTGTGTGTCGATGGCAAACGCGGCGCGTAGACGGGACTGCGGTTCCGACTCTGTTTCTGCGCCACAGGAAGCTGTTGTGGGATTCAAAGCTCAGCTGATTAGAAGACACAGTCGGAAACAAAATTATATTGTGGGGGAAAGAGCAAGGAAGATATTTTTTTTTTTTTTTAGAAAAATATGTTTCCTCAGGCACCACGATGACTTTCAAAAACTAGAAATAGAGTTGTGTGCAGAAAGAATTGTGTTTTCAGCCAGTGTGTGTTAAAAGATCATTTTTTTCTGCAATGCAAGCTGTCTTAGATTTATAGATGACAGCATTCATTAAGAGCAAATATTAGTATTAAAGGCAGTCTACCATGCCCCTTACTAACCCTTATAACTTCACAAGCTTGAGTTTCTCGTTCATGTGTGTGTTGTCCAAGTAGTGCTGAATGACTGACATCAACAGACTGGAATCCAAGTGAAGGCACGCTCCAGTCTGCCCACATCCTTTCTTATTTATGATGAGAGAAAGCGCTGCAGTTAGCCCACTCTGACTCTTTAGGCAGTGATTTCCACAAATGTAGAGTTTGGCATTTGTAGTTTTCTGACTTTGTAATACCTTTGTTTGATGCCCACAGCTCGGTCTGATGAAAACTACCCCTGCATCCTTCATGAACCCCTTAGAAGTAAAGATACAGTTGATGTTTACCACTCAACTCAAGGACTGAGCGAGCCCGTCAATTGAAAGAAACATCCACATGGTATTCCACCAGTACTCTTCTCTAATAATACCTCTGACGTTGGCTCACATGGCCGACAGCCCAGATGTAGGCGCCTGCTGGAGAGAGAGAGTGGCCTGTGGTTTGTGCTGACAGACCTTGGAGGGTTCTGAGAGTGATCGTTGGATTAGAAAAATACTGTTTCGACATATTTCAACCAGGGGAATACAGGCTTTGTTTTTTTGGGTAGGCACCATATGCTGAAGGAGTGAGAGAAGAAGACTTGTCCTTGTTTGGAAAGTAATGACCACAACGCCAGTCTGAGCTGTTTAATCATAAACACACTTAATGGCCTTTATTAGAATTGTTCAAGACACACAAGAAACCAGAGATCGTCCCTTAGTGGAACAAGTTATGTTTCATAGAGAAATATAAATAAACAGCAAATTTCCAAATCTGTGTAGCAGTTGAAAACCAAAATATAAAAAGGGGCGTGGCTGGGTTAAATCTTATGCTTGAAGTTTATATCTGGATCCTTAAGATCTTTTGTGGTTTGAGGTGAAATCCCAACAAAACCTCCAATGTTCTGCATGCCCTTCTGCTTTTTTAGGGACCAACTCTTCTGTGTTTACTGGAAAGTTTCTTATATGCATTTTTTTGTAACACATCAGTATTCTTCATTGACATATCGGATTGGCTTGAGGGCTACTTCTCTGTGTTTCTGAATCCAAATCGAGAGATCTAACACACGTCCTTACAAGCCTGGACTTCCAGCGGTTCTTTCTCACATTTGGACTCTGTGTCTGATTTCCCCATATTAAAATCAGCACATCTTTGACAGCCTCTGTAGCGCTGACAGGTTTCAGCCTTGAGTCAGCACAATTTGTGTGAACAGGTATGCCAACATAGTGTGTCCGTAATTTGCACCTTCTGCGCTTTTAACGAGTCTGTAAAATGTGAGTGAGTTTAATTTTCTGGATGGTGTTTCTGTCAGTTATTATGTAAGTTTAACTCTATAATGCTTGGATTTTTGCATGTACATCTTAATCCATGTTTTATACCACACAAAAATCTGGTGTTACTTGTTCTGGACAGTGGTAATACAGACAAAACAGCTTCTCCTGTGCATCTTTCTGCACGTGTTACACTGCAGCTCTGTGTCTGTTCCTCGGTGACTTCGTATGAATGGCAGTGTAAAATAAGGCGCTGGGTATGGGAAGTAAAAAAAACTGCATGAGCAAGAGAAGATTGGTCGCCTCTTGTCTTGCCACTGTTTGTTTTGGGTTTCAGAGGTTTGGTTTTAATTTTGTCCAACACACTCAGACAAGCACACACACAAACACACACACACACACACACACACACACACACACACACAGATCCCTGTTATTTGTTAACTGCGGTTGGGCTGGATGCCCGTGTCATTTTCTCGCTGACAATTGCAACACCTCAATTTCTTTTTTATACAGAAGCACGATCATGTAGCTGATTTTTTGTAAAGGACAAGAACTCTGATAGAGACTGGTAGGCAGGTTCATGCTTTGGTCTGTTATACTTTTTCGCCCAATAAGCTGCATTCAGTTTGATTCTCCCTCTCTCACCTTGTCTCCTACCTCCTTTCTCTACCGCTCCTTGTCATTCCATTACTTGATTTTCATCACCATCTCTCTGCCTCTTCTTCTTCTTTTGTTCTACCTCTCCAGGTGAGGCTGACATTGGAGACGCTGGCTCTGGTAGAGGGCAGCATTACCTGCGAGGCTCAGACGGCTCGTAGGATGAAGGTCTCCCCACCAGTCAGCCAGCTGGTGCGTCTGCTGTGGGGGGAAGACACAGCCGAACTGCAGATGTCTATAGGACATATCCCACATGTCGTCATGTACCTCTCACTCAAACTGGACTCTGCATCCCCACAGGAGGAGGTGAGTCTGTGTGGAATTATGATGAGACATGAACAGACTTCTGAACTCATGCCATGGTTTAAGTTTAAGACAGATGTGGGCGGGGCTTGAAAATCAAGCCACACTACTATGGGCGTAACAGTCTCTGTGGCGCAATCGGATAGCGCGTTCGGCTGTTAACCGAAAGGTTGGTGGTTCGAGCCCACCCAGGGACGATGTGTTTTTCAGTTGGTGCAACACCTCAATTTCATGTTAATCAACAACTCATTGTCTGTAGTTGGGGTAAAACCAGCCAGGTAATTGTTATCCTCTTCTATTGAGTTGCACTTTGACAAAGCAGCACACAGTCTGTTTTCATTTCTCCATAGCCTTAAAACTCCTGCCGTATTCATCACATTACTAATTAGAAAAAAAGCCCTTAAAGAATCACAAAAGAGTAATGAAAACAACACAGTGTTAAGTTATTTTCCTTATTGTTCAGTGTGACAAAAAATAGATTGAGGAAGCCACAATAGCCGCATAGACGAATCTTTATAAAGAATACCTGTAACTGGTACAGTAACTAAGTTATTCTGTGTGAAACTCTGACATTATCCCGTCCGACTCTTTTATTTTAAGAGTGAATATTAATATTGCAAACTTGTCAGTCTCTGTGGCGCAATCGGATAGCGCGTTCGGCTGTTAACCGAAAGGTTGGTGGTTCGAGCCCACCCAGGGACGATGTGTTTTTCAGTAGGCTCAACACCATAATGTCATGTTAATCAATAACGTCTTACCTGTTGTCAGGAGTAAAGGTTAAGAAAATGGATCACGGGCCTGTTTCTGATAGAGGGTTCAACACACCCTTACTCTAACCCTGAGCTCTGAGTTGATTTATTCTCAGTTCGGAACCTCTGAGTTTTCGGTTCCAGATCAGCAGATTTGAATTTGTTAAATCAACTCTGAGTAGGTCCACTCGGTGTTCAGCGCGTGCACCACGATGATAAAAAGCCAACATGAATGGAGCCCCGATTCTACGATTTGCCATGGCAACAGGTGACAAAAAAGAGATCCTCCTGCTTTAACCATCTTGAAATATTTTTTTTTTAAAACACATCCATTTTTATTTTACTAACGATATGTGTTAGGCAAGTAGCTGACCTTCTTGTTTTGAAGCACATATGAATACATGTGACTGTCCAGTGATTGTCACGTATGACTCCCTAGCCCGCAAAGTCCACCTATCGCAGGTGAATGCATCTTTCACCTTTCCTGTCGTTGCAGCATAAAGAGCTAGAAGAGATTTTTCTTCCTAGCTAGAAAGTGGCGAGCGCATCGCATAACTTCCTTTCACCAGTGTCCGTCTTTAAACTTCTGTCTTCTTTCATTCTAAACACGCTGTTAAGTTCTCCTTCAGCCAATAACCTTCCTCTCATGTTGCCCTCATTCATGTTTTAAGCATCACTGCGAGGAGTCGTTTTATGATGCAGCTTTACATTTAAAGAGCAAATATAAGTGGGTGGGGCATTTGAGAAAAAAAACACACCCCCTAATCTAGACAGCAGTCTCTGTGGCGCAATCGGATAGCGCGTTCGGCTGTTAACCGAAAGGTTGGTGGTTCGAGCCCACCCAGGGACGATGTGTTTTTCAGTTTGCCTGGCAGTAGAAACTCCAGGATGATGTTTGCGTTCACATATACAGCTCCTCCTGGAACTTTTTTTTTTTCAGTGTGACAAATTTATTGAGGAAGCAACAGTAGCAGCATAAATGAACCATTATAAAGAATACCTGTAACTGGTACAGTTACTAAGTTATTCCGTGTGAAACTCTGACATTATCCAGTCTGAGTCTTTTATGTAACGAGCAAATATTAGTGGGTGTGGCCTTTCAAAAAAAAAAACACAACACTGGTTGGACCAGCAGTCTCTGTGGCGCAATCGGATAGCGCGTTTGGCTGTTAACCGAAAGGTTGGTGGTTCGAGCCCACCCAGGGACGATGTGTTTTTCAGTAGGTGCAACACCACAATGTCATGTTAATCAATACCATGTTGTCTGATGTCAGGAGTAAAGGTTAAGAAAATCTATCTGGTGTAGCATTAACACTACATTGTTGCATAATTAATATAACACAATATCGGTACTGATATTTTCTTGAGAATTGTTCTCTTGGTTTTATTTAAAGCTTATAGTGTATGTTAAGTGTGCATCAATGCATCTGTTAAACCTCAGGCAAGTAGCTGACCTTCTTGTTTTGAAGCACATAGAAATACATGTGACTGTCCAGTGATTGTCACGTATGACTCCCTAGCCCGCAAAGTCCACCTATCGCAGGTGAATGCATCTTCAGGTGAATCTACTTCTGGATTTGAAAGTGGCAAGTGCATCGCATAACTTCCTTTCACCAATGTCCGTCTTTAAACTTCTGTCTTCTTTCATTCTAAACATGCTGTTAAGTTCTCCTTCAGCAAATAACCTTCCTCTCATGTTGCCCTTATTCATGTTATAAGCATCACTGCGAGGAGTCGTTTTCTAATGACGCAGTTCTACATGTCAAGAGCAAATTTAAGTGGGTGGGGCATTTTAGAAAAAAAAAACACACCCCCTACATTTCCAGCAGTCTCTGTGGCGCAATCGGATAGCGCGTTCGGCTGTTAACCGAAAGGTTGGTGGTTCGAGCCCACCCAGGGACGATGTGTTTTTCAGTTTGTCTGGCAGTAGAAACTCCAGGATGATTGATGTTTACATTCACATATACAGCTCCTCCTGGAAACATCAGAAGTTTTCTGCAAGTGTCAAAGGCCTGAAAGAATCATGAAAGAGTGATCATGAAATCAGATCATAAAAGAGCTTTAAGCGGGGCCACTCTACTGAAACTGCACTACTGTCAATAACAGAATCGCTACGAGCTGCCAGATCTGCGTGTCAGTCCTCAGTTCTATTACTGCTAGACCTGTCTGCTGCCTTTGACACAGTCAACCATCAAATCCTCCTATCCACGCTCTCTGAACTTGGCATCTCAGGATCCGCCCTCTGCTGGTTCGTGTCCTACCTCTCTGGGCGATCCTTTAGAGTGTTGTGGAAGGGAGTCTCCAAAGCGCACAGCTTATCCACAGGGGTACCTCAAGGGTCAATGCTTGGTCCCCTTCTCTTCTCAATATACACTCTCATGGCTTCTCATACCACTGCTATGCTGACGATACCCAGCTCTTCCTGTCATTCCCGCCAGACGATGTTACAGGCTCCGCAAGAATCACATCATGCCTTGCTGATATCTCTAGATGGATGAATGAACGGCACCTTCAACTCAATCTTTCAAAGACTGAGCTCCTTGTCATCCCAGCCAGTCCCTCTATACAACCACAGATCAATATCCAGCTTGGAACAACCAAACTCATGCCCACAAAGTCTGCCCGGAACCTGGGTGTTATGATTGATGGCCAGCTAACTTTTAAGGTTCAAGTAGCCTCGATTACCCGGTCATGTCGATTTGCCCTGTACAACATCAGGAAGAGCAGACCTTAACTTCCTCTCATGTTGCCCACATTCATATTTTAAGCATCACTGCGAGGAGTCGTTTTTTTATGACGCAGCTTTACATTTAAAGAGCAAATATAAGTGGGTGGGGCATTTGAGAAAAAAAACACACCCCTTACATTGGCCAGCAGTCTCTGTGGCGGATAGCGCGTTTGGCTGTTAACCAAAAGGTTGGTGGTTCAAGCCCACCCAGGGACGAAGTCTTTTTCAGTTTGTCTGGCAGTAGAAACTCCAGGATGATGTTTACATTCACATATACAGCTCCTCCTGAAACTATCAGGAGTTTTCTGCTAGCGTGAAAGGCCTTAAAGAATCATGAAAGACTCATGAAAATAAAGAAGAATAAAGAATAACCTGTAACTGTTACAGTAACTAACTTATTCTGTGGGAAACTCTGACATTACCCAGTCTGACTTTTATATGTAACGAGCAAATATTAGTGGGTGTGGCCTTTGACGGAAAAAAACACACCATTAGCTAGACTAGCAGTCTCTGTGGCGCAATCGGATAGCGCGTTCGGCTGTTAACTGAAAGGTTGGTGGTTCGAGCCCACCCAGGGACGATATGTTTTTCAGTAGGTGCATCACCACAATGTTGTGTTACCTGTCGTGCACAAAAAGTTGTTCTATCAAGAAGAGCTTCCTTTCGGGATATGGTACTAAGCAGCTCTGGGTATGTGGGTAGGTGCATGTGCAGAGACACAGTCCTGGCTGCTTATTGCACCAACACCTGAATGTCCCTGAGCTACTTACTCCTAAAACCTTAAATCTACGTTTTATTTGAGTTGACTTTTTTAGAGAAAGAAAGGAAATGTAGATTTAAACTGCTGTGAATTAATTTTCTGACATATGTGGGCGGAGCTTCAAATTAGAGGCCACACCCTTAAAGGTTGTAGGAGTCTCTGTGGCGCAATCGGATAGCGCGTTCGGCTGTTAACCGAAAGGTTGGTGGTTCGAGCCCACCCAGGGACGGAGTGTTTTTCAGTTGAAACAACATCACAATGTCATGTTTATTCACGTGAAGTGCTGCTGTATACTCTGTAGACACTTCCTTTAACCCCAAGTTGCTCCCGCTTCTTTGGCGGCCAGGTATGAATGTTTATGAATGGATGAGTTACTTCTGAAGGCCCCTTGTATAGAAACCTCTACCATCATTGTGTGAATGTGTAGGTGTGACCTGTGTAAAATCGCTTTGAGTAGTCAAAAGAATAGAAAAGAGCCATACAAGCTCAAGTTTTTTATCCACTCTTAAACATAAAGATGGAATATAAGTGGGTGGGGCTTCAACAAAATGAAACACGCAATGTTGTCAAGCAGTCTCTGTGGCGCAATCGGATAGCGCGTTCGGCTGTTAACCGAAAGGTTGGTGGTTCGAGCCCACCCAGGGACGAATTGCTTTTCAGTTTAGTACAAAGTGAACCATCAGGTTAATAATTGACAATTGTGTTTGGTCAGAGTTACACAGACAGAGTGAAACTGTCGATGTTCCTTGAAGTGGAGGTGTTTCTGTGTATCAATGTAGAGTAACATTTCAACCTGAATAAAAGAAAGTCAGAACACACTACAAACTTGCAAACAACTGTTGAGAAGTACTTCTATAAACAAATCAGAGAGCTGTGTTTGCACCAGTTAAAAGACAGGACCAAATATATGAAACATTGATCACATGTTTCTTAATGCTTGGTTCAGATTCAGGATATTATGTCAATGTATAGTTAATGCTCCAACATGCTTGGAATTCATAAATAGATTGTGACAGATTTGTCAAAGTCCATTTAAAATAACTCAATTAGAAGTAGGAGGGTCTTGCACTTAAAGCCACACCTGCTTTTAGTTTTTCTAAGGCAGTCTCTGTGGCGCAATCGGATAGCGCGTTCGGCTGTTAACCGAAAGGTTGGTGGTTCGAGCCCACCCAGGGACGCACGATTTTATGATTATACACCATAGTATTATCACAAGTACCTCAATTTCCATGATCCAGGGTTAACCCAGGGTTCTGGCACAGCTTAAAGCAGTAAGGCCGGCTGTGAGCAATCTTGTTAATAATTGCTCTGCTTCTTGATGAGCCACAGCACGAATCAGAAGCAGCTCCCTGCAAGGTAAGGAGCCTGATCTATTTTTAACTGAGCTGCTGGAAAAGCTGCACAAAGCAGATGAGCCACACAGAAGTAAGACACAGGAAAGACATAATGATGCCAGTGAATTTTCAAAATAAAACACCCGTACAAAATTCTAAGGAAATGACCAAATCGACAATCACAGAATCAAGCTGACAAGGAAAAAAGACAATGTTTGTTTAAAGCAAAGCTAAGGGAGAGACGTGAGGGACGGGGTTTGTGGAATAGCTGCTTTAGAGTCAAATAAACAATGATTGAAACCATTTCATTCATCATCACTGAAAAAGCTTCAGAAAAGTCCAGAAGTTCTTCATAAGGATCTTGAAGTTCCTGAAACATGGAGGTAGAACTGTAAAGAGCGATTCCCTTCAGTTAAAATCCAGCATGCAGTGAAAAAGCACTACTTTAATATTGCCAACGACAACAGTTGAAGGAAACATTAAAGCTATTGATATCTTAACCCCGGATAAACTCCCATTTTTCCATCTTGTTTGAAAGATATATGTGTCTTGGGAAGCTGACCTGATCATAAATTTGAGGTCTATGACACACTGCCTCTGAACAGGCCTCTAAGACTGTACTTAAAACAATGAATTATAGCCAGTGGACCTTTTTAAATCAAGGCCTCATCAGGGTGGCCGCATTAGCGTCAACACCATGATTCGATTCCAAAGAGAATGCTAAGATCTGAAGCTTAAACCCCTCACAAGTTATATTCTTATTAAGTGTTAAGAATTACTCCAAATTCTGTAGGAAATCCTGGAGTGGAAAGTTTTTCTCAGGATTTCTCCGAAGTGAGACAGACTCTCTGAGAAAACTCCTGCTCTGGACGGCTTCCAACACCGGCGGCTGCCGAGAACCGAAAAACAGAAAGAGAAAGCTGAGGAGAAGTTAAGGCACCGAGTCGTGTCGATAAATGATCTGTCATTTTAACTCCCATGAACTTTTTTCTCTTTTGACGATAAATGGCACATTTCCTTTTTTTGATTTGCACAGTGCACGTTTTAATATCCCATTAGACAAAGTACAATCAGCTTGTAGTTTAGTGTTAATCCCTCATTGTGTTTTTAAACTTGGAGAATCTGACCCCTGGTTTGCACTGTAATCACATTTTCCCCTGTGGACCAGTGTTGGCAGGTTGAAGTTTGCTTTACGGTCGTTCTTCATGGTTGTGCAGTTCCTTTTTGTGTATTTGAAAGCCATACTTTTTTCCCTTTTTGTTTCTTGACCTAAGCTGCAGTGGAGATTAAAAGTACGGGTTGTCTGCAGCCATATCAGCCAGCTAGTCCGTTTTCTGCCCGCTAGGCTTTGATTTTTATTTTTTAAATACCATTTGATTGCAGGTAGCAACACGTTGGAGAAGTTTCAGCAGTTTTGGTATTTTTTCAGTTTTAGCTGTGTTATTTTGTTTCTGTATTTGCAGACAAGACGTGAAAGAGTTTCTCTGTGTTGCTTGTTCTTGTTGTTCTGGTTGCTAGGGGTGAAAAGGCCCCATCTCCCATCCTCGGCAGCTCAGCTATTATCCGTCCTGAATCTGTTGAAATAGCCCGTGTGCTGGAAGGAATACTAACATCACAAACAATGAAATGAAACGGCCCTGAACACTTTCTTTTCTGTTTGAATAATCTTTTTCTTCTGTGGGATCTGAAGGTCTGCACAGCTCAAACGAGAACTGAACTCCTGAGTTTTCTCAATCTGCTTCTCTTTGACTCTGGAAAGTGAAACATGTGAAGTATTTCACTCTGTTTTTCCACATCGCTTGGACTGTGGAACCGAAAACCAAACAGACATTGTTGAGGTGTCGGAAGAGAAACATCCAGCCGTTTTTTTTGTTCATTCCTCTTGTCTGTGGAGGCTGGAGCATGCAACAACAGATAGTTCACATTTTTATGTGACATTAATCTGTTGATAGACTAGACCACAGATATTTCTTTCTGCTGCATGTGGGGACTCTTATTCCAAATGAAACTCTCTGTGTGTGTGTGTGCAGGAGGAGATCTTGTACCAGTACCCGGTGTCTGAGGCGTCCAACCAGCTGAAAGGCGTCCGGGGGATCTTCCTAACTCTGTGCGACATGCTGGAGAACGTCACAGGGGGGCAGATAATCAGGTGAGAGAAGTGTTACAACAGCTACATAAACAGTTTGCAATCACTTTAAGTCCACAGTTTTAGTTAAACCAACAGATATTTATCAAAGCAGATAGTTAATGGTAGATGGACATGAGCTTGTAGAGGTCTTTTCCAGTCTTCTGGTATGAATGTTTATGAATGGATGAGTTACTTCTGAAGGCCCCTTGTATAGAAACCTCTACCATCATTGTGTGAATGTGTAGGTGTGACCTGTGTAAAATCGCTTTGAGTAGTCAAAAGAATAGAAAAGAGCCATACAAGCTCAAGTTTTTTATCCACTCTTAAACATAAAGATGGAATATAAGTGGGTGGGGCTTCAACAAAATGAAACACGCAATGTTGTCAAGCAGTCTCTGTGGCGCAATCGGATAGCGCGTTCGGCTGTTAACCGAAAGGTTGGTGGTTCGAGCCCACCCAGGGACGAATTGCTTTTCAGTTTAGTACAAAGTGAACCATCAGGTTAATAATTGACAATTGTGTTTGGTCAAAGTTACACAGACAGAGTGAAACTGTCGATGTTCCCTGAAGTGGAGGTGTTTGTGTGTGTATCAATGTAGAGTAACATTTCAACCTGAATAAAAAAAAGTCAGAGCACATTATAAACTTGCAAACAACTGTTGAGAAGTACTTCTATAAACAAATCAGAGAGCTGTGTTTGCACCAGTTAAAAGACAGGACCAAATATATGAAACATTGATCACATGTTTCTTAATGCTTGGTTCAGATTCAGGATATTATGTCAATGTATAGTTAATGCTCCAACATGCTTGGAATTCATAAATAGATTGTGACAGATTTGTCAAAGTCCATTTAAAATAACTCAATTAGAAGTAGGAGGGTCTTGCACTTAAAGCCACACCTGCTTTGAATTTTTCTAAGGCAGTCTCTGTCTTTTCCAGTCTTCTGATTACTCAAAGTGCTTTTACACCGCGGGTCACACCTACACATTCTCACACTGATGGTAGAGTGATCATCAGAAGTAAATAATCCACTTTGTGAGACACATCTTTCTCTGCCTCCCCTGCCATAGAAAAAACAAAACAATAAAAGACACTGTATTCAGGGCAAAGAGTCCATTTAAATACATGTGGTGGAGATAAAACCAGTTTAAAAAGGAGACCAATCCAAATGATTTTTGTTGTCGCGCCTCCAAATTCCAAACGTTTCTGCCAGTTAGCTGCGGGATGTTTCGAACATCGACACAGTTCACAGTTGGGAGTTTTAAAACAACGATGAGCTGGGAAAAGCTTCGGCTTCTTGATGTTAAAGAATGAAACATTTCACTTTGTAAACTTTGCCCGCTTGTTTCTTGTCTTTCTGTGTTCTTGGATTCCTCTCTGCAGTTCCTCTCTCCTGCTCGGGAAGCAGTGGTGCATGTCGGCTACTGCAAGGAAAGCAACAACCTGCTGGTCATCGGTCTTCCTGCTGAGAGGTAGAGACAGATAATGCCCGTTCAAACAGCGCCAATAAATGATTTTGATCATAGAAAAAAAGCAGCGAATGATCATGTGATCATACGTTTACTGAGCATGGCGTCTGCTCTAGAAGTAAACGAGAACTGTTCATGGTGAGGAAACACGTTTTAGAGCACGATTTGTAAAAAGAGATGAAAGTGAACTTCTGTTTCAACAAGCACAGCACACCAGCAGCGTGAATATCTCTATGCTCTAACTGTTTGAATGAATCAGTAGATGTGCTGAAGCTGAACTGACTCCAGATCTGCGTTTGACGCTTTTGTGTTTCCCTCCAGGGTTCCTCTGTTGTATCTGCAGACGGTGGTGGCAGATGTAGTCCGGACACTAAAAGTGATGTACGGCTCCTTAGACAGGTGGGTCAGTGTGGTGCTTTGGAGAGAGCTGTCATTAATGTAGAAATATACTGAAATCAAAACATTGTGTTTGAGCAAAATCGTTGTTTTCCAGTTACAGTCTTTATTGTTTTAGCCCGTTTAAGGCTCATTTCTTGCCTCTTTAGTTTCTGCTATTTCATTTTGTATTCCAATAATGTAATCTCCTCTGTATGGTTTCTATGAATTACTTTTGTGTGTACCTTTGTTTTGGTTTTGTGTCTCCCCCCCGACACACAGCGCGTTCTGTCAGGAGGACCACGCTCCCAGGTTGGACCACTTCTTCTGCCTGTTCTTCCAGCAGCTCATCCAGCCGTCTCGCTTGAGGGACGGCTCCTCAGCCCCGCCCTCCGACGTCTCAGGGACCCTTTTCCTCGACGGGCTGCCGGCAGTCCGATGGCTCACGCTTCCTCCAGAAATCAAGGTCATTTCCCGTCTTTTGTGAGGAGCATGTCTCCGGGATATTATTTATGTTCAATACAAAATAATATAAAGAAAATATCAGCTTTCTGTGCATCATGAGGGTTGTGCTTCTTTAAGTGCAGGTTTTTGAAGCTGAGCGTGATACGACTGTCAAACATGCAGCTTTGGTGCCCTCTAGTGTACAATGTTAGAAACAGCACTTTATCATTCAAACACCATTCCAGCTTTACATTTGATGATGTGGATGCAGGAGTAAAGACTAAAATGAACTCTTTTGTATAAAAAGAGTTAAACAGATCATCTGTGCTTGCCTGTATTACATCATTAATCTTGCACTGGCCTTTCTCTGCCTACAGATGGAGGTGGATACGGTTCTCTCTGATTTTGAGTCTTCTGATTTTGGAGAAATGGTGAGACACGGTCAATTCTACACTGAACAAGATCTTATTTTCATACATTAAGCCTTAAATTAGAGGTAAAAATGTAACTGTCAGTCTGCTCCTTTATCTTGTGTCACTACCAGCGTCTTTTGTTTACGCTGTCTTTGTTTCATTTTCTGTATTTTTATTTTTTAACTCTTTACAGTCTGAGGACTTTTTCGGCCTGAGGCGTCTGTATGTGATTCTTGGCTCCTGTTTGTTCTACAAGGTTGGTTTCCACACACACACATGCACACGCACAGACACACACAGCTTCAGTGCCAGCAGCCCTATCATATTTACACTCTGCCCTCTGCCCATGTTACCTCCCTGTCTAGACTTGCTTTGTTTAAAAAGTTACAAAAGAAGAGCAGGTGACGGTCGGTGTGTACAGAAGGTGACATCTCACAGGAGATAACACGATGAGCCTTTTGAAACGCTCAGTGGCAAATCATCAACCCTAATGAACCCTCTGTTCAAATATTAACATAAGGAGAGAGGGAGGGGGAGAGGACAGCCAGAGGTAGACTGTTCTTTTGTCTATAAATAATGAAACTATGCAGAGATGTTGTTCACATTTCAGGAACTGCTGATGCGCGGTTCTTTTGAACTTACCGTTTTACAGAATCCTCAAGTATAATTAGTATTTTCATTTTATTAAAAATCCTGATGGTTGGTCTTCATTTCCCTGTCAACAACTTAAGAAAAACTGTTACAATAGCTGACTGTTACCGTCATTTGTGTCTTTGTTGATGTGAAAATTCTGGATTTTGAAAATGTTGTTTTTATATTTTCCTGCTCAGCAACTCAAGTCACTTGATTTTCAACATGTAGATACTTGATTCTGCACAACCACTTTTGTATCTCTTCCTCGTTAGTATAGTGGACAGTATCTCCGCCTGTCACGCGGAAGACCGGGGTTCGATTCCCCGACGGGGAGTAAATCTTTTCCCCATGCGACAACAAAAACCATTAACCTTCTAATAACCTTTGTTTAAGAAGCACTTTCCAAAAATCAAGTTGCAAAGACGATAAAAAAAATCATCAAAGAAAATATTAGAAAAGTTCAAGTGAAATGAAGAAAGACAGATTCCTTAAAAGCACGGTTCAACAAAGGACTTCAAAGAGATCTTTGACTCAGCTGATCTGATAGTTTTTTGGGCTCGTGTTTGTTGAATTTGGATATTCTTTGTTGAATCATCCACGCACTGTGTGTTCACAGTCCTACCTGATTGCCAACCACCTGCCAAAAGAGGACCTGCTGGATGTTTCCCTGTACTGCCAGCATTACTGCCTGCTGCCTCTGGCGTCCGAGCAGCGGGTCGGTCAGCTGGTCATCTGGAGGGAGGTGTTTCCTCAGCAAAGAGCTCACGGCAGCCGAGCGCCGGGATACAGCCCGCCTCAAGGACGACACTTTCTCCTCATCGTGGGGCTGGTAAGAAGCAGGAGTTATTATGTTTCCTTCGTTTCCTCCAAAAAATACTCAAGAGTGTAAACAAACACAAAAATAGTTGTTACAATCTAACGTAAAATCTGGTGTGTAAGACCACTTTTAATACCAATCAGAGAAACAATAGCTTCTAATTTGAAAGAATATTTGATTTGTTTTGATGCTGATACAACGTCTAATCTCAGGAGTCAACAAGTTGCTGGTCAGTATGTTTTAGACTCTCTATGGTCTTCTGCAACTCTTTGTTTTATCGTTCTTTGCATCATCCTCATATCTCAGTCAGATCAGATTTTACAATCCAATTTTATTTGAATAACAAATTCCATAGAAAGGTTATCTCACTATGCAGCGTGTACACCAGCCTTATTGTCCAATGTGCTTGATATTTGTTCATGTCATGATTGTGTCTTCAGTATAAATGATATTTCTTCTTCTTGTATTTCTTCCCCCTCACAGAGACACTTCATGCAGTGCGTGCTGCTGGAGGCCGGGGGCTGTGCGTCACCTGCTCTGGGTGCTCCAGGACCCGATTGTGTTTACATAGATCAGGTGAAGATTGTTGAACTTAAATGAACATTCTTTGCACATGGTACAAACATATTCACCACGTTTCCAGTCAGCTCCTGTATCCAAGTGAAATGAAAATAAGACATCGTGTTGGTTGTGAGTAAAGGCTGATGTTCTGTCCCAGGTGAAGGCCACCCTGCTGCAGCTGGAGGTGTTAGAGGCGGGTATTGAGGAGCATCTGAACGCTCCTCCTGCTCCCTGTCTGTCCTGCGCTGACTGGTTCCTCCCCGCAGCCACGGCCCGGGACCGCCTGGACACCCTGGCCTCGTCCTCTCCCGTCCTCAGCAAGCTAGCCGGGGCAGTCAAAGGCTCCTCATCCTCTTCGGGGTCCAGAGGCCGCAGTCTGTTTGGGGAGAGGGCCCGGAGGTCCAGCCCTCAGAGGAGCCTGTCAGACAGCGGGAGCGAGGGACAGATGGATGCTGGATCAGGGTCTGGTTCTTCTGCGGCTCCAGGTGTTAGTCCTCATTCCACCCCGGACTCAGGGAGGAAGCTGGGGGGACGGCGAGACTCTCTGGGGTCTGGAGGGTCTGATGGGAGTGCAGGCAGCGGAGGCCTCTTCAAGGTGAAACCCTTTTTTTTGCTAGGCAAGAAACTAGTATCGCATCAAAGTTTGAAAATTCTGTTACCGTGACAACCCTAGATTAATATTATAATGTATTGTAATGCTCTGACATCAGATTCCCAGGATGAAGCACCCAAACCCGTTCCACCTGGGCACCCTGAAGAAGACCCTGACTGAGAGGGAGACGGAGGAGATGTACAACACCATGAAGTGAGTGACGGCCGCCGAATCATTTGAGTGATTTATACGTTCAGAAAGTGTAGAAACGTTTCCTCTCTGTGTCCTGTGTTTGTGGCAGACTGACCTCAGGCGCAGAGAACACCCTGTTCCACTACGTCCTGATGGAGACGGTTCAGGGGATCTTCATCGCGCCCACTCACAGAGAGGTGGCTCAGCTCAGCGGCTCGATCCACCCGCAACTCATCCGCAACTTCCACCACTGCTGCCTCTCCATACGGGCCGCCTTCCAGCAGAGCCTGCCGGCCCGGGTGAGACACAGTTACGCCGCTTCTCATGATTTTAGGTTTGAATACAGACGCAACAAAATTTGTAGCATTGTTGAAATCAAAAACAGATCAAAACCAATTCACACCAAATTCAAAGTTCAGTCTTTCCTCAGGTTATCAGAAGATAGGTTAATGGTTTATATGCTGCATGGGGAAAAGATTTACTCCCCGTCGGGGAATCGAACCCCGGTCTAGTTGTTTGGAATCATTGACGATACGGACCACAGTTTATTTATCTTCCTGAGCTCTTCACGAGTTGCAGTGAAGGAAATGAAAATGTAAAAAAACAAACAAAGAACAAATCTCCAACATCCATAAATTTCATATCACCAAAGATACAAAAGATTACAGTCAGGTCGTTGTGATAATACTCAGAATGCAGTGATTCAGGGCACGGTCACACTGGCCATCCGTACCGTGCCCAAGCACACTTCAACCCTAAAGTCCAGTTAGTTTGACCAGTGTGACCGCTCCGTGCCGTGCTCAGGCACAGTACACTTCATGCACGAGCACAAGCACGTGTACACAACGCTGACAGCCTTCATTGTGGAGAAATCCACAGTTTCATGTCTGTATCTGACTAAAATGACTCAATATAAGACACCAAGTAGCTGTCATGATCTCTGTGTTGTTCTCTGATGTGCAGCCGCGGACTCGGCCGTGCGTCTATTTTATTTTTTAATTTCTTTATGGCTGTGTCTGATAAAAATGGCTTAAATTAAGCCACAAAGTCAGTAAAGTAGCTGTCATGCTCTCTGTGTTGTTCTCCGATGTGCAGAAACGGACTCAACTGCCTGTCCTTTTCTCTCTCTCTCTCTGCTTGAGTAACAGACGTTTACAAGTATTTTATGTTTTTATTCAACGTTCTGTCCATTTGTCAGCTCACCAAACTCAACAGGCGAAAGTCTTTGAAATCCCATCGAAACCAGAATAAATTTATTACAAACCGAGAGGAAAGCTTTTAAATGAAGTTTAAACCTGGTTAAGTAAGGAGTACAAATCAAACATATTGATTCAGCTGCAAATATCAGCTGCAAAGTCCAACAAACACAAAACTCTCAGGAGCTCAGACCAGCTCTGATCTCTTTTTAAGTCCTTTTCTGAAACCGCTCTCTTCGCAACTTGATTCATGAGAGTTTTCTTTAAATACAGCTTCTTATAAGTCATGTTAATGGTTTTTGTTGCTGCATGGGGAAAAGATTAACTCCCCGTCGGGGAATCGAACCCCGGTCTTCCGCGTGACAGGCGGAGATACTGTCCACTATACTAACGAGGAAGAGATGTGAGGGTAGCCTGTGTGAAACATCAAGTATCTACCTGTTAGGAATCAGTGACTGACAGTGATGCTTTTCTGTTTTCTATTTTTTGATCCAAACAAAAGGAAGAGACTGAAGCCTTTAAACATGATCAAAACGTCCCGCAGCACTCAGCTGAGTCTCTCCTCTTATTGTCTGTCTTTAGAACCTCCTCTTTCTTTAAACCTTTGAAAATATCCTCCTCCTCCTCCTCGTCAATGTTTAGAAATGAATAGGATTGTCTGTGTGGTATTTTTTGTTCTGCAGGGTCGTCGGGCCGCAGACCGGCCTCGGGGCAAGGACTGGGGTCTGGGTCCAGTGAAGGAACACGGGGTCCTGTTCCAGTGTAAACCCGAGAACTGGACCGACCAGAGGAAACCTGCTCCCACCATGACCTACTGGGTCATAGGGTAAGTCAGTTTACCCTTAAATGAGAACCTTTTCCCCCCATTTGTTTTTGTTTTTTGTTGGGGGGAGCGGATTAATGTGAGACACGCAGCAGTCATGTGTGTTTAAGATCCACGAGAAGGGACTATTTGCGGCTCCAGAAAACAGGAAACCCTTCAGCTCTGACTCGGCTCACAGTGTTGTAATCAGAGGAGCAGTCCTTGTGGTGAAATTTGATTCTGCAGCAGCAAATAAAACAACAGCCAGGAAAATACTGGTAGTCCAGAATAAAACCAGAATACAAGAACAACGGTCGTGTAACCAATGTTCTCTTTTGTGTTTGAACTAACGGGGAGCAAACCTTTGTAAGCTGAAGGTACTTTGTCTTGGAGAGGTTACCGGGGTAACAGACATGGGGGCAGGGCGGTCAGGAATTTGAGAGAAGAAAAGGATCATGGGAGAGCAGGAGTCAGCGGTTGTTGTTGTGGTTTGCCCAGAGAGGAGAGTCTCTCGTGTAGTTTAAGTGCGGGTAAAGGACATTTTTTTCAATACTTTTGAAATGTTCTATTTGAGTGAAAATGTAAATCAAATGTTCAGCTCACTAAAACGTGTCCATGAAATCACATCGATCCAGATCAGGATCATTTGAATTAAACGATTTTCTGACGCAGCTGAAAAGAGATGAAGTCAGAAAAGGAGCATGTGTAAAGAACTAAACTAAACCTCAAAATATCAAGAACAGAACAAATGAAAACAGTGAGATATGTTTGTTAAAAAAAAAGATTAACTCCCCGTCGGGGAATCGAACCCCGGTCTTCCGCGTGACAGGCGGAGATACTGTCCACTATACTAACGAGGAAGAGATATGCAATAGCCTAAAACATCACATTATGTAAGTAAGCAGATAATGGTTTCATTATAGCTCTGTGTCACACTGTCAAATAAATCAGAAATGTTGATTTCTGTCTCTTAGATTGGATGGAGGATCAATAAAGTTTGATGTCATCGCTTATCTTTAAGCTGGAAGTCTGACGTTTATGTCTGAGGATTTATATGAAGGCACTTTTCTAAATCTTGTGTTTCCTGTTGACTTTCAGGCGGATGTTGCTCGAGCCGGTCCCTCAGGAGTTCTACGTGTGCTTCCACGACTCTGTGGCCGAGGTTCCTGTAGAGATGGCCTTCAGACTCTCCTTCGGCCTGGCCTTGTGATGCATCACCCCCTCCTCCCCTCACCTCCTCTTTGTGGATCGTGACTTTTCAACAGCTGAAGCTTGTGTCGCATTCTCAGGGAATAATACAAACTATGTGGAAATGATGGGATCTTACACAAGCTGTCACAGGAGCTACGAGAAGTCTGAACCTTTGGCGCGCCTACATTTTCCTGCTGATAACGACGGACAGTGACGGAGGTTTTTCAGCAGTGATAAGAACGTAGAAAGGCAGAGTGAGTTTCAACCAGGTCATTTTGTGCAGAGATCTTTTTGTACAGACAGCTTATACCTCAAAAACTTGATAAAAACCTCTGATAAGAGCGGACGAGAGCTTTAGTTTCCAAAGCTGGACCAATCAAATCGTGCTGCTGCCTCATCAGACATTTCTAATAAAGCAAAACAAGGTGTAGAGATCAGTTTGTGTGCAGTGTTGAGAAAGCATTTCATTTGTAACTTATTGAAAAATGTACAGTTTTATATTTACACGGGGTCACTTGTTACCAACATAAACGATGAGATTAAAGAAGACGGTTTCTTTTCATTCTTTCTTTACAAATCAGCTCGTAAATTCATGGAAGCCCTTTGTCAGACTCCAAACATAATTGTGACATTATTGACTCAATGTAAATCATAAATACTATTCATAACATTTACAATGTCCATAATTAAATCACTGCAGGGGGAAAAAAAAAACATTATTGTTGAGCCAATGACAAAGTAGGAAAAACAAAAGTTCACATTTACACAATCAAAGAAAAGGATGTTTACGGTGTAAACTTTGGGACCTCACACATCTGTGCAGCCACAGGCTTCTTTGTAATGTATGTTTTATTACAGATAATGAGCTGTGTGCTCCGTCTTCTTACTGGTGTATAAACCAAACGACATCAGCCTTCATTGAGGATGAATCATTTATCATTCAGGCAGCGCTCTCAACCACCAGCAGGTTCCTCTTGTAGCACTCGAGGCTGCAGAGCGGGACCCCGGTCTTGGAGCACGCGTACTTCTTCAGGTTGGTGCACCCGCCTACTCCACAGTTCAGAGGGGCTGCAGGTGGACTACTGGAGCGTGCTGGGACTGGAGTGGGGACTCCCGTGGGGAAGGAAATGGCCATGCCCTCGACTGAATCGCTGTAGCGGATCATGGGGACCTGACTCTGCTTGGACTTCCTCTCTCTCATGCTCTTGATCTTGGCCTTGCTGGTTTTTGTGAGTCTCTCTATCGTCTGGTTCTTGCTCTCCTCCGCCTTCTTGGCGGCCTGCAGGCGGCGCTTCCGGGCTCGCTCCTCCCGCTTCTGCATCATCTCTGCGGTCATCTCCTTCTCCTTGTAGCCCATGGGGAGCTCCAGGAGGGGCTGACTCTGCTGCTTGTGTAGCAGAGCTTTCTGAACACACACACAAAACAAAAACAAAAACACACTCAGGGCTTTTGTGCTTGTTTAAAGCTGCATGAAACATTTCCTATTTGAATTCTTCCTCACCTGTCTCGCTGTCAGCAGAGACTCGTCGACCTCCTTCTTCAGCTCTCCGTTGTCGTCTAGCTCGCCCTTCTCCAGAGCGTCCAGCCACCTCTCTTCCTCGTCCACCGGCCCGACCAGCAACGAGTCCGAGTCCATGTCCGGCATTGGGGATGTGGCAAGGTTGCTGTCCTCATCTAATACAGAACAGACAAATGAAGACGAAGAATTTATTTTCTGACCAAGACCACAAAGCTGTCATAGAAGAGATACACATTGTATAGCAACAGATAACCCTACAAAGATAAAAGAAAGATAAAGATAAACTGTATTGATACCCCGTGGGGGAAATTTGTGCATTACAGCAGCTCCAGAAAACAGGGGACGGGAATATACTTATAGAAGTTAAAAACAGATCAAAAATATTAAGAAATTACAAATATTAAGATTTCATTTGAATGAAAGACATTAAAAAACAAATCCACTTCAGATGTAAGCTCTAATTCAATCCCATCGAGGTACATTTGTCTGCCAATCATCAGAGACGACTCTAAGTGCATCACTTATTGACATCCTAAAAGAACCACACCAGTGCTTTTAGACAGTATATGTACTTTATATTGATATAAATCATGTGTGCTTTAAAAAAATGTCAACATTGTGATGACCTCACAAGGTCTAAGAAAACTGACTTGTTCCCAGTTGCCTCAACTTGAACCTCTTGTCATTTATTTCACTTGATCAGATTGTTGATTAAAGGTGTGTGTGTGTGTGTGTGTGTGTGTGTGTGTGTGTGTGTGTGTGTGTGTGTGTGTGTGTGTGTGTGTGTGTGTCAGACAGTTCTAACTTACTAGCCTTCGATTTTTTCGACCCCTTTTGATTGATAACTGAGGCGCCTTGTGTTGTTGTGTTGTTGAAATCATCTTAGTACACACTCACACAATCCGTACCGGGCCTAAGCTGGTTCACTCCCAAAGTCCAGCCTGTTTGACTCAGTTAGTGTGAGTGAGTGTCTAGTTACTTCCTTGACCCCTGCACGTTTTGGAAGCAGTGTGCTTCGGCAAGGAGATTATCTCTATGTTAAATATATCTAATGGGAATATGGATGTTATAAAAGCAGTGTGGGTAAAGGCTCAAGCAGCCCAAGCTACACACATTTAAGTTGTTTGAATGTAATGCCTAACCCTTACACCAATAATAAGATATTATATAAGCTCTTTTGTTTAATTATGTTCCCTAAGTATCAAACAACGTCTACTCTAATAACGGGATGTGATTATAAACAAGTGTCTAGTGTCTACAGACTGCACTTTAACTCACCCAGCCAGGCTCTGTACTGCTCCAGAGGCACAGAGGGCTCATCATCGTCATCATCATCGTCATCGTCATCATCAGTATCATCAACATCATTATTATGAATTATCATCAGAGGAGACGGAGGACAGGCCACACCAGGGTGCACAGTGAAGGTCGGAACACTACAAACAGGAAACAGAAGCAGTGAAGGACTCGTCAAGTGATCCGGTGTTAGTGAAAGTAAGAACACCCCACGTGTGATCTCACCTCTTAGTCCCCAGTGTCTGTCCTCCCAGTTTGATCTTGAGTCTGAGCTGTGGAGGTGGAGGAGGCCGAGGAACCACAACGGGCTGGGGCTCCGGGACCTCTGCAAAGCTGTGATGCTTCTTCTTGTGCTTCTTGTGCTTTTGTGTTTCCGTTTGTGGACGCTGTGCAGGCTGGATCCGCCTTCACCTTAGAGCCACAGAAGTCAAGTTACCATCTACATCAGTGGTGTCCAAACTTTTTTTTCTTGCGGGCCAAAATTGTCGTGTTAGAGTCGCTCGCGGGCCACAGGTTTTGTTTTTTAAAATATAGTTGAAAAAATAGTAAGGCTTTGTAGATCAGAATCAAAAGGCTCGCTAAAGAAACCCTTTAATGAAAGGAAATCAAATATTTTGATTTCTTCGTTTTACTTCATTTGTTTTTTTCTCAGAATCAAGCCTGTAACGTGGTTCATTTAGCTCAGGTCATTAAATGGTTAAACAACAGGCCGCTTGTTTGCAAAAACTTTGCATACGTTTTTTTTCATAGTTTACAAAAAAATGTGGAAAAATAGTAAAAGCTGTAGATTTAAAAACAACAACATACATGTTACTGAACATTTTCTGTTTTAGGAATATTGTTCAGCCCTGGTTAACATGACAAAAGAAAAATAAGATAGTGTGCCAATCTTAATCAAAATCTTCTGATTCTTCAATTGAAGTCACAGGCCGCAAAAAATCCCCTCAAGGGCCTCAAATGGCCCTCGGGCCGCACTTTGGACACCCCTGATCTACATACTGTTGAATAAAAGGTGTTTTCAGATTGAAACACGCATTTCCTACAGCTCCACATCAATAACCAGAATATATGTGGACTGTTACTTTTATATAACTAAATATTAAAGAGCTGTTGCGGACAGTGAATTATTGTTCTGCTCAGAGCAAATGTAAAATCAGTTTAAGAAAATGTACAAGAACAAAGTTATCAGACGGTATGAAAGTGGCAGTTAGTGTGTTTTCCTTCTACTCTCTGAGGATGTAAAGACTCAAGTGTCAGATTTGTTTCACGTTGGCGTGATATTCATTCACTGACTGTAATTTGGACAGAACCATCCAGACATTTACTGTTTTGCTTTTTGAGTAAAGGGGGGGCGGGCAAAACAAGACTTACTCTTCTCCCTGCTCCTTTCCGTACATGGGATAAAGTGTGAATTGTTTTTGTCCTTTTCTGTTGTGTGTTTTGACATGTACAGAACAAATAAACAAAATAAGCAGCTTCACTTAAAATAAGGACAAAAAGGACAAAAACAATGTTGCATGGGTCATATTCTTAGACCTAGAAAGAATTCAGGAGTTAATAAAGTGAGTGTCAGTAATGTGGCATACTCACAGAGGAACCTGGGGTGAATCATGTCTTTCCTTTTCCCCATTGAGACGATGACAAAGTGGTAAACAACAGGACAGTGTCTCTGCAGCTCTACATAGCAGCAGGAATCTCACATGTCTGATAGAAAACGAAACTATTTCTGCAGAAGAGAGAAAAAAAACATGTTGTAAAACACACAAATACTTCTTTTTTTAAATATTCCATCGTGCCAAGATACAAAACATTGTAATGCATTTATTGTTTATTGAGTTTTGTAAACATGAACTGTACCTCATGTAGCTTTTAGCATCCTTCACGTCTTCACGTCCAACACTCACAGTTTGAGTTCCCATTGCAACATAAACGAAGGTAAACCAGGTAAAACAAAACAAAATACGTAGAAAATAATCCGCTTTTTTTTACTTTAAAGGTTATAATTGTTATAATGTTTAACAATACGGAGTGAGCGCAACCAAGTTATGCCAACGCGATAGCGCTGTTCCACGTCATTTCCGGTTTGTGGCAGCCGGTTGACTAGCGAGTTAACGATTAAAAAAAGAAAAAAAGAAACGTCGTTGGAGCAAAAATGTTTTAATGTCCGCGCAATGTCACAGTTTGTTTCTAACTTCCGTGTGAAAAGCGTTTAAAACAATAACATGTGAATGTAAGCGAAGCAGTTCGGTTGAAGAAAAATGTCCGGGTTTTTTTTTTTTTTTTTGCTTTACAGTTTGGGTAACGTAGTTCACGTGACCATGACGACAGTTGATTTTCCGTATGTGAAGAACTACATTACCCAGAAGATCGAGCAGCGATTCGCAAGGTCAGTTACACAGCTGAATGTTGCCTAACTAATGCCGTAAATACTGTTAAATCCACTTTATGAATCATGCAGAATTTATGTTGACCAGTTTGTTGTAGTTTCATAAAGACATTGTTCTCCTGTAGGTGTCTCTAGTTGCACACTTTTAACACAATTTATGTTGATTTAAGCTGTACAACCATGTGTACAACTTGTTGATATGTAGCTTTAGGTAAAACAGTCTTGAAAGTGGGGATAAATGACATTTGAAGTAATCTTTTTTTTTCTCACACATAAATTATTTAATAAGTGTATATGTTTAAAAATGTATGTGACATATTAAATGGAAAAACTACGTAAGCTCTCTTCTTCACTTTTATAAACAACAACAACAACAACAACAGGTGGCAGATAAAGACACAAACAAACTGTATTAATCTGTGTGTTTATGTGGCTGGATTATTTTATATTTTTATTTATTCAACATTTATTATTATTCAACATTTGGCAGGAATCATCATGAATTACGCTCGGTTTCTGACAGCTGTCAGCGCAGCCAGGAAGCCTTCCCCCATCAGGATGCTGAGTGAGTGTTCATGAAAGTGTGTTTATCTTTATAAATGTTTATTTTAAGCTCCACAGAAATTAAAAGAAAAACATGATAAAGTTGTGTGACTGAATCACCTGTTTTGGCCCCTGAGTGCAAAATCTTCCAGCCAAGCGTCATTCCTCCTTCCCCTTCCTAGTGCAGCATTTAACTCATGTGAAAGCAAACAAATCACTTTCTGAAGTCACAGTTTCTCAGTTGAGTGACTTTCTGCTTTTTTTTTTTTTTCCTTTTATCTGATTTCTTTACTGAACTTATTGTCTCTGATGTTTGTGGTGTTGATTTGACAGATAATGCAGTGTGTAACCATGATCGTGGGCTTTATGGACTGGTGATGAATTTTATCTCAGTTTTCTGAATTATGAAAACCACTGGCATACAAATCTTAAAGTTGTAGTTATATACCTGAATTAAAGCTAAACTGATGAAGGTTTTAAAGAGGTGCTTTTCTAAATCAGATACTATACAGCTAAAACTTCAAAGCTTTATAGGGGGATATTTTCTTTTGGATGGTCTTGATTAGCATTTATTGTGAGACACTTTGGGGCCAAATTTGATTTAAAAAGTTGAAGTTTTCACATTTAAAATCACTGTTTCAGCTTTTCTGTTGTATTATCTCCCATTTAGTTACAGCTACCAAATCTTAAGCGTTACAAAACATCATTAAATGGTGTGTAATGTGCCTTGTTGTTGACAAATGTCTTGTACGTCTATTCTAATATTGTTATCTTTTAATGTTGTGTTTTTATCTGTTTTGTCTTCACCTGTGTGAAGCTGAGCTGCAGCAGCGCTCGCCTCCATCCCTGATCTCTTTGGCCGGAGGAGCACCCAACCCCAACACCTTCCCCTTCCTGTCGGCGTCCATCAAGGTGAAGCACGGAGAGACTGTAACGTTTGACGAGGCGGCGATGAAGAGGGCTCTGCAGTACTCGGCTTCTAATGGGTGAGAGATAAAAACAGGATTCCTGACGCTGGTGGCTTCATGTCAGCCTCAGTGACACTGAAGGAAGAGTTGAATACAGACCCGTCTGGATGACAGTTCAGACGGAAAATAACTTTTCTTTTGAATCACGACTTGAGCCTCACTTTAAATGATGTCAGAGAAGCGTTCAGCAGCACTTTGAGGTTATCTTTGAGCAGCAGGCTGTTTCTTTTTATGACCACTTCTCACCTCTGTAAACATCAGAGCTTCAACTGACTCGAAGCTGGAGCTTTGAGTAGTAATGTTAAGGTATAAGTCATTAAAGATACTACACGTAGGGCTTCTTTGTTGAGTTACTGTTTGTTTTGTGTGGATGAAAACCCTTTCTGTGTGAAAATCAAGTTGTGTGTATCAAAAGAAGAATGTCACAGTAGTTGCAGTAAGTCATTTAAAAGCCTTTTTTATTTGTTTCTTCTCAGAATCCCTGAGCTGCTAACGTGGATGAAGAACCTCCAGAAAAACCTGCACAACCCTCCGACCGCCAGCTGCACCCCAGAGAACGGCCAGATGGACATGTGTGTGACCACAGGGAGCCAGGAGGGGCTCTGTAAGGTACTGCAGCTGGTCATGAAAAACAAGAGGCTCACGTAAAGACGTGAAGAACAATACATGGGAAGTCATTTATTTATGTATTATTTTTTTTTACATATTTAGGGATCTAAAACACAAATAGGTAGTGAAAGTTTTGGAAATGCTCCATCATATTGTTTCAGCCAGCAGCTGCAAAACTATTATGGTTGCAACCCATTCTTTGAGGACAAACACACCCAGTCAGAGAAACGTTTAATACATGACAACTTAGGAGACTGATCTTTTTGTTCAGGTAGCATGCTAGCTTTGGAATCAAAACAGTTGTTAAATTTCACCCTTCAAACCCACCAGGGGCGTGTCCAGTATTTTAGGACTGGGCTGGCCAATCACATTTCAAGGGTAGCCCATGCGAACCCCTTAGCCGCCCCGCTGGACACATTCCTGAAACCAAACACCTAGCTGTGGGAGTGTCACCCACTTTGGGGGAGGGGTTACTGCCCTTTGTGATGTCATGAAGGGAACATCTCCAAACGGACTGTTTGAGCACACATTTTCTGAAAAGTGGAGCAGGGAGAAGACGGAGAGGATGGGAGGGTTTGAAGACAGACTAGAGACACATATAAGTGAGAAACATGGTCAAGTGTGTTTTTCACAATATGTTACTTTTAATGTTTAGCTTTTGTACGACAAGGTTAAGTTTGTATCTATAAAGAAGAAATATGTGTATGAACCTCAAGAGCTCTTCTATTCAAATCATGTTGAGATCATGTTTGTGTGCTGTTTGTGCTTTTGTAGGTGTTTGAGATGCTGGTGAACCCCGGAGACAACGTTCTGCTGGACGCGCCCACATACTCAGGCACACTCGCAGCCGTGAGAGCCCCGTCTTTTTTTTTTTTTAACATAACGCATATTTACATTTTTTACCTGTGACCCTTTAACCCCCTCTGACCCTTCTCCTTCCTCCTGTAGCTCCAGCCGCTCGGTTGCAACTTAATCAACGTTCCCAGCGATCAGCACGGCATGATACCTGCAGCCCTGAAGGAGGTTTTGTCTCGCTGGAATCCCTCAGAGGTCCACAAGCCCGACAGCGACGCCCCCAAGGTCCTCTACACCATCCCCAACGGAGGAAACCCCACCGGTGCCTCCATGACAGCTCAGAGGAAGCAGGAAGTGTACGAGGTATTCACACTGTGGAATCAAATAGTACAGTTGTGTTTCATCAGAGTGTTTTTTTTTTTTAATATACATTATCAAGAGAGGGCCAACATGAATACACCAGGAACTGTTGTCACTTACGTTGACAAGTAGAAATCTTAAGCAGAATCAGTCTTAGTAGTGGACAGCCATCTGCTGTGACGGGCTTTTCAGATATGAAAAATAAAATTGTGCCTTTAAACAATCTCAAATCAAAGCAAAACTGTCAAAGAAGGGTTTGTTGTGAAGCTGATTTCCTGCTCACTCTTTCTGTCTTTTTGCTTCCACATCTTTCTAACAGCTCGCCCGACAGTATGACATGCTCATCATCGAGGACGACCCTTACTACTTCCTGCAGTTTGATAAGGTAAGAAAAGAGTTTTCTCACCTTCTCAGTTTAAAAAAAAAACAAAATGGGTTTGTTAGTATTTATTTTAGTCACGTATTTCGGTTTACAGTCCAGACTGATTTATTGATTTTTCAGCCGTGGGCTCCCACGTTTCTCTCCATGGACGTTGACGGAAGAATCATCAGGACAGACTCATTCTCTAAGATCCTGTCTTCAGGGTGAGCATCTTTAAATCTGTGTGTGTGTGTGTGTGTGTGTGTGTGTTCTTTAGATGAACTGCATGTAAAGCAGGACTGATACCACTGACTGATTTATTGACTCTGTGTTGATTTAGTCCATCAAGCAGTTTCATTTTTATTCCCTATTTTCATATCTATTGCGTGTGTGTGTAGTAATAAAGTTATAGCCAAATGTGTCTTACTTTACTAAGTCTAAATACTGTAATATATTTTATATTGAAGAGTACAGGGTGCTTTAACTTTTCTGTAGAAAGAAATAAAACATGATGATTCATACCAAACAGACATTTAACACTTTTAAGATTAAACACATTCACTTCACAAACATCTACTTGAAATGTTAATATAGATCATGATTTACATCTTCAACCATCTGTAGCTTTAAATACACACTCACACACACACAGATCCAAGTGTAAAAATATGTACTGTAAGACACACTCTATGAGACACACTCTATGAGACACACTCTATAAGACACACTCTATAAGACACACTCTATAAGACACACTCTATGAGACACACTCTATGAGACACACTCTATAAGACACACTCTATAAGACACACTCTATGAGACACACTCTATCAGACACACTCTATGAGACACACTCTATGAGACACACTCTATGAGACACACTCTATGAGACACACTCTATGAGACACACTCTATAAGACACACTCTATGAGACACATTCTGTGAGACACACTCTATAAGACACATTCTATGAGACACACTCTATAAGACACACTCTGTGAGACACACTCTATCAGACACACTCTATAAGACACACTCTGTGAGACACACTCTATCAGACACACTCTATGAGACACACTCTATAAGACACACTCTATAAGACACACTCTATCAGACACACTCTATGAGACACACTCTATGAGACACACTCTATCAGACACACTCTATGAGACACACTCTATGAGACACACTCTATCAGACACACTCTATGAGACACACTCTATAAGACACACTCTGTGAGACACACTCTATAAGACACACTCTATGAGACACACTCTATGAGACACACTCTATCAGACACACTCTATGAGACACACTCTATAAGACACACTCTATAAGACACACTCTATAAGACACACTCTATAAGACACACTCTGTGAGACACACTCTATGAGACACACTCTATAAGACACACTCTATAAGACACACTCTATAAGACACACTCTGTGAGACACACTCTATAAGACACACTCTATGAGACACACTCTGTGAGACACACTCTATCAGACACACTCTGTGAGACACACTCTGTGAGACACACTCTATAAGACACACTCTATGAGACACACTCTATAAGACACACTCTATGAGACACACTCTATCAGACACACTCTATAAGACTGTTTTCTGTTCAATTTTGTCTTTTACGTTCGATATTATAAAATCAGGAATGTTTGACTGTGAAAGTTGAGGTACAAAAACAGAAACAGAGTCTGAGAACATGAAGCAGTTTATAAAGTTAGTCATGTTTAAACATCAGGTTAAATATGACCCTCCTTTCTGTGTCATAGAAATATGTTTTTTTTTGTTTTTTTTTTGCGTAACTGCTCTCCTTGTTTCCATCTTTGTCGGCTCGTCTGCGTCTTCTCTCTCTCAGGCTGAGGATCGGTTTTGTGACCGGACCCAAACCTCTGGTAGACCGGGTGGTGCTGCACATCCAGGCCTCCACGATGCACACAAGCACCTTCACACAGGTAAACAGCACTCCCTGCTCGCTCAGCTGTTTGCACTGCAGGTTTATACACAAACAGCTTCACCAATGATTCATCCTTTTTGATTCTTCTGACAGGGAGACTGTCGCCTGTTTTTATTGGATTAGACTTAAAAAAGCATAAAACCTGTTTTTGAATGCAGGATACCTTAATGATTTTTTTGGGTGGCAGCTTCAATCAACTTGTGAAACCTGGAAACACACACACTACATAAAGTAGAGTTCACACACAGAGTGCCAACTAACAAACAGAGCGTCTACACATGGAGGCACATAAGACATCACGTTGTTCAGCAGCTACACACGAGGTTTAAATACGAACGGAGAGGAGCGATGAATCCTCCCCTGAGTTATTCCCCACCTTCTGCTTCTTTCTCTGATCTGGACTCAAATATGGAGACAGGATGAATACAGCATGTAGGACTTTATGAAGTGTACTAACGTGAAGCAGGAAGAGGCCGAAACCAACATGTTGGGCTCATTTTACTGTCAAATACTTTTTTTGAAGTCACTCACTGTTGAACCTGCATCGTGTCATCCTACAGCTCATGGTGTCTCAGCTGCTGCACAGCTGGGGGCAGGAGGGCTTCCTCCAACACATCGACCGGTACGTCACCTTCTTCTTCTGCCAAGGAATGGTTCTTCTCTGTGATTTTGAATTGTTTGTTTTACTGATTTTTCAATTTTCCATTTTAATGTTTCTTTTCTTTCCTCTGTCATGATGCTTTTGATGTCCTGTGTGAAGCGATTTGAATTGCCTTGTTGTTGAAATGTGCGACATTAAAAAAACTTGCCTTGCCTCTGCTGGTGTGACTGGTTAGGAAGACGATTAAATCCTCTTCAAACACTTAACAGTGACTATAAAAGAACATGACATCATCCTCTTCTCTCTCTCTCTCTCTCTCTCTCTCTCTCTCTCTCTCTCTCTCACACAGGGTGATCGAGTTTTACAGAAAGCAGCGTGACGCCATGATCGGCTCTGCGGACAAGTGGCTCAAAGGTTTGTGGTTTAAAAAAAAACAAAAAGGTTAACAAACACAGACCATCACTTTCACATTCAAATCACCTCTTTTAAACCTCTGCTACTGGTAAATTATTTTCTAATCTTCTAACTCCTCAAAGTTCTTTTTAACATTACATGACACGATCCCTCGACCGCCCGGTGGAGAGCCGGCCAATCACAGCACGGTCTAAGGGGAGGAGTCACAAAGCTAGACGCAACAAGTTTGCTAAAAAAAAAAAAATGTATGAAAACCATCTTTGTAAATGTGTTGTGAGCGAGACAGTGCGGTACGTGTGAATTCTCAATGAAGGTAAACTCTCCTGCTTCCTACTTTACAAAAACATTTGAATCGGAGGGAAATCCTGTTACGGGTCACGTGGTGAACACACAAACACGTTGTCAGCTGTTCCTCTTTTCTTCCACTTTGTGTGTGTGTTTGTGTGTGTGTGTCGTGTGCAGATGTAGCAGAGTGGCACGCCCCGTCTGCCGGCATGTTCCTGTGGATCAAAGTGAAAGGCATAGCCGACACCCAGCAGCTCATTATGGAGAAAGCCCTGGAGAAAGAGGTCAGCACACAACTCCACTTCATCCCCTTTTTTGATTTCTTAACACGTAACCACGGTGCTGCAATGTTCCAACTGTAGGTTACCCACAATGCATTTTTGGTTCCTTTTCAGCAGACGTTTTGCGCTGGGAAGAGACGGGTTCTCTGTCTGAATAGAGTGTAGGATGTGTGTGTAAAGGGCCTATTGTGTGCACTGTGAGTGGGTTCAGAAAATGAGCGTTCACCCTCCCACACACACACACACACATACACATATACACACACACACACACGCACACATATACACACACACACACACACACACACACACACACACACACATACACATATACACGCGCAGCATTTGCAAATCCCCCCTTGCAAATATCTGATTAGACGAGTATGAACAAGAGTGGGTAGAATCAGGCTTTCCTAACGTCTGCGCTGTAGTCTCTCCTGATGTTTTAAACGTCTACTCAGCAGATTTTAAAAAGACCAGAATGTGCGTCACATCAGAGGAGGAAATCTTTTCCACAGAGAATCTCTCTGCTAGCACTTCATCTTCATCTCGGGTTGCTCTTAGTCTTTCACCATGGTTGGAACCGACAGAACCTTTTAGGGCGGCACATTTCTGAAAGATGCATTTTGAAATATGCTCATACATTTTCATCTGTTGGGTATTCATCCATCTACTACCTGCAGTTTGTTAGCTTAGCTTAGCACACAAAATGAAAACAAATAACCTGTTTTAACCTAGCGATGATTTGTGTGTGTGTGTGTGTGTGTGTGTGTGTGTGTGTTGAAGGTGTTGCTGGTTCCTGGAGGTGTCTTCATGATCAACAGTAATGACCCGTGTCCCTACGTCAGAGCGGCCTTTTCACTCTCCACACCAGAGCAGATGGATGAGGTATACACACACACACACACACACACACACACACACACACACACACACACACACACACACACACACACACACACACACACACACACACACACACACACACACACACACTCCTGGATGTCGTCTAAACTCTCCATATATGTCAACAGGCTTTCAGAAGACTGTCCTCGCTCATCAAAGAAGCGTTGTGATCAAAGATTCATCTCTACCTGATACTGTGTCAGTGTGTGTAATGTGTCAATGAAGGTTTGTCTGTTAAAATGTAAAATAAAACTTGAATTTATTTTATTTAAACTGCTTTCATTTGTCACTTTATCAAACCAGAGAGTTCAAGTTATTTTTAAAGTGTTTGTTTGGCCTCGTGTCTGTTTCTAAAGATCGGCTGCTCACCTTGAAAATCTGTTCTGACATAATCAGTTTTTTAAATTCATCATTAGCGTGTCGCTCTACATCGTGAGGAACTCTGAATCTGTTCGTGTACAGAAAAAGCTAAAAAAAAAAACATTTTTATCATCCTTATTTTGTTTTTTTTGCCAAATGAATGATTGTGTCTGCTGCTCAACTCAAACCTCCAAACTTCAAAATCACCGCGCTGCTGCTGTTGATTCATTTTGAACATTCAGCCCAAGGGTTCAGATTTATTTTTCTTTTAGCAAGAAATAAAGATGTGTGTTCAGTAGCTGTGGATAAAAGTTGGACCACTTGATTTGACTCAGTTTTTTGTATGAGTTACATTTTTGTTAAAGTGTGTCTGTTGTTGACGTGACTCGAGGAGACTAAAGAGCTCTTTTAGATTTTTTCTGTAAGCTTTGAGGGTTGTTTTTTCTAACAGCTAAAAAAAACCCGGAAATATTGAGAACAACAGAGTGAGACCAACACAGGGTGTTCCCTCTCTGCATGCGTGCTGAAACTTGACAGATCACATGTGTGAGGTTTTTTATTTTATGAGGCTGTAGCCACAAGTTAATGATCTAAATATGAAAAGATTTAAGTTCATTCTTGAAGTAAAACAGGACAGAAAGGATTTTTCACTGTTTTTTATTTAAATGTTTTTGTAAAAAAATGTCTGAACATTACCTTTACATGTAACAGTCTGACTTAGTGCAACAAGTTGCTCATGTTTCTCTCTTTACTTCCTGATGAAGTCAGGAAAACTGTGAGTTCAAGTGAAGAAAAAGAGGGCCACAGCTCGTCTTTATGTTTTTCTTGCGATCACATGACGGCACCTGCTGATAACATTCGGCTCTTTCTGTTTTTCTGTTTTCTTCTTTGTACAGACCCCCCCCCCCCCCCCCTGCTGTGATAATACGCAGAAAACAGTGTTTGTACAAAGCTGAGACAATCATCTATTGAAGGACAATGGGGTCAAAAGGGAGCGGCTTAAAACTCAGGCTTTTGCTACATTACTTATTTACAGTGAGGAGACACAACACCAAAGTGCTCCAACACATCTGATGTCCTGACTTTGCATTAGAAGAGTCAGGACACACTGCTACAATAGACGGCCCAGTAGACGACCCAGTAGTGGCCGTCTACTGGGACTACTTTCACAGATATCACTAATGCATCATATTTACGAGTCTATCTCGTGGTTTTATGTAAAACTAACAGCTGTTAAACACAGGAGTGATACGACCAGTTTCAGTGCAGTTAGGATAGCCACACACTCGCTCCCTGAAATGGCCATAGTTTTCTATAGAGCATTATTGACTCCTGTATTGACTGTTTGCTGAAGCCTTGGCACAGAGAGTCTATTTCAAACTTTATCCAATGCTTCAAGGTCAGCCAGTCATCAACTCAGGCTTTTAAAATTTACAGCACAAACAATGCAGATGACCTGGATGTGCAACAAATGTACTTTATATGTTAATCAAATGTAATAGGTTTACTATGAATACATCGGTTTCCTACATCCACCGCACTAAACCACATCCTTTAAGCAGACATGCTAATAACTGCACCACAGAATGAAATGCACATTCACTTTACATTGAGTGTGGAAGTGTTGAAAGCATGTGTCTGTTTTCAGCACTTGATGGAAACAGAGGCTGCTAAACGAGACCCTGCTGCATGTCCTCCCTCATAGGAGAGTCAGGAGCAGGCTGCAGCGTCAAAGTCGGCGTCACAGAACAAGTACTGTTTAGTCTTCTGGCTCACAGTTCATGTCGAATCAATAACGTTTCCACCCACCTACTTAGCTTAAAGTCTGCAGATACAGGCGAGATGCTCTGGACCGCAGACACTGGTGTCTCTATCTCTGAAGTGGTTTAAACCATTTTAAGCATTTAAACTTCATTTAGAACATCTATTTTCTTTGTCGTTCTGAAACTTGAACTGTAAAGATAGCCTTTACCAATCTTTTACAAGGACAACCGGAACATTAATGAAACGATGAAGCAGTAGCAAAGTGGAGTACCAAGCAATAAGGAGTTGGTTGAGACCAAAATAGAGCTTAAAGGGGGTAAAGATTTGATTAAAAGCTGTCAGGTGACCAGGGACTGGGTCAAAATGAAAGGAAAACTACCCTCTATGTCGGTGGTTCTCCACTCATGGACCCGCCATCAACTCGTCAGTGAAAATCCGACCCAAATTTCTGATATTCAGATTGATTGATTGAAGAAACTGAATCAGCTCAATCAGATCAATCAATCAGATTGATTGACTGAAGAAACTGAACAAAGCCCAGACTTGTTTACACTAGTTTTTTTCCAGGCACACATTGGTGACCCACTGAAAATGGCTCCATGACCACCTCTAGGCCCCGACCTACAATCTATGGTCCCAATCCGGTCCCGACCCACCAGTTGAGAACCACTACTCTAGGCCTATTTGTTTATTTTTGTTTTTTTAAAGCTTGTGCTGCCCCTTGTGGCCACAAATTCAAAAATAAAAATAAAAATGCAGTTTAAAACCCAGGATCAGGATGAGTAAAGCATGACAACAACAATTATAAAAGCCTGTTTCTCATAGTGTATTTAAAATGTCTGCTTGGTAAGTAAATGTAGGCTCCTCAACAGTGCCGGTTCTGGACCACTTTTACTGAGGGGGCCAGGCTGGGGCCAGTTGTTTTGTCAGAGAGGCACAATCACCCAGGACAAAAATAGAAAAGATGATCTAGCTTTAAAAAAAAACAAATGATTCTTGTTGCTTCGGAGCTGGCAGCTATCGTCATGAGTGGATGTTTAGAGTCAGCGTCAAGTGTTCAGCTCTAGAGGGTCTCACAATGTTGAGACCCACACGGAAGTAGAATGGATAGAACTGGCATTCCTTTTCATGGGTGTTGATTTGAAGTGGTGGACCAATCTATTGATTTAAGATCTGTGGTTGAGCCACGACTGTTCCACCTTTTGATTTGCATCAGTGCAGTATCATCAACATAAACGTATTGTTTTATTACCTTGCGCTTCGTTTTGGAGGGGGGGGGGCACGGGGGGACCAAGCTGGCCCCTGCCTAGAACCGCCCATGCAGTCCTCAAAATGTCCCCAATGGGCCCCTCTGGAGTGTTTACAAACACATTGGTAGACATGTTATAACTATTTAATAACAGTATCATGATCCATATCGATGTTTCTAATATATATATTCATTTATTGATCTTAATCTGCTCTTACAGAAGCAAAGAAAGTCGTCTAGGGTTCGGGTCTAGCCTCCCAGTCCAACCTGCATGCAGACAGACCAGCTGCTTGTTTGAGGCTATACAGCGGACGAGCAGCAGCAGCAGCAGCAGGAGGATGATGGGGATGGGTTAGGGTATCAACACATCGACTCAAACACTGGAAACGACTGACCATGCTGTGAGTATGAAAGCGGACTCTTCAAAATGGAAAAACGTGACATGTTTTCTCGGTTTTAAGGTCAACAGTGAGCCGCTAACGTCGACGCCGAGCCGGCCGCTTTGCTGGACCCACAGAGGAGGCGACGGTGCTGCGGTGACTCGGGCTTAGTTAAATTCGGGGATTTAGACTCATATCCCCGCTTGTATTTCGCGTTATACGGTGCCAAAAGGTGAATGCTTTGTCGTTTAGTGGATGTAACTGTGTACACACACTTTGCAGTGACTCAATTCTTGGAAAAGGGTCCCGTGATGTAAAACCGCGGTCCAGGGTTTAGCCGGGTTCCACGCCCTTGTTTTTTTCCATGTAGCGTTAAAAACTGCACTACTGGGGGGGCACTTAATCTATTTAGCAAGTAGAAAATCCGACTTATATATGCAATTTAGCACCTGTAATGTAACGACTTGTTTAATTATTCACACTAGGTGTCTCTAATGTCCTGTTAGGAGGCTTCATGTTTGGCAGAGAAGCGAACCAGGAGATAGACGCAGCCCATGCTGTGCTCCGTTATGTTGGCTTTGTGTGAGCTTTTATAACAGGCTAATTGACTAAATGTGACATTATTAAATATATTTTTCCGACGTATTTCAAGATGTAGATATGTTTTTCTTCATCATTATACTATTATATTACTGTTTTTTTTATTTTTTATTATTATTATTATTATTTTTTAGCTGTTCGCAGGATTTTGCAGGATTTGGCTTCCCTGGCTTTTTGCTTTGAGAGCAAACAGTGGAACAAAATCACTGGTGAAAAGAAAGCAGCCATCTGTCCGGAGTTATGTGGGAGGTCGACTAAAGACTTAGGGAGATTTCGCCCCGAATAAAAGTCTCTTTCAGCTCAAAGATGTCCAAACAGTCCTGCAACACCTTCAAGGAAATAAACAACCAAAGTGTTCACCTGCTTTGTTTATCACCTGATGTGATGTTTCCACAAATCTTCACATATGAAAAGCAACTGTCTGCATTAAACAATTAATCCCTTTTCAAGCTGGTTCTAGGCTCTTGTTGCCCTCTGTTTTTTTTTATTATCGTTGATTCAATGTCTCAAATTTGGACCAACATTTTAAAAAATAAATAAATGTAAAGTTTTTAGTGTGTGATTAATTATGAGGGGCATATTTGATTTTTATTCTGATGCCGAATGCATAATAAAGAATGACTTAATCTTTAGTTGCAGCCCTGTATTCCTTATATGAGTAGTTATTCCGCAGACTCCTTATCAGTCTGTTCCAGCGGTTGAGCGTCACCAGGCTTTATTTTGTATATCTGCTTAATACATGACGTCCGCTTTCTTGTCTTTCAGTGAGCTGTTTGAAGCCTCACAGCCGAAAACCAAACTGACTTGTCCTATCAAGAGATAGCCAGTCTGCTGGATGGAGTCTCGGGAGGAATGACAGCGTCTCTTCCTGCTTTGGCGTCGCACCAACAGTCAGAGAAAATGCACCGGGCAGGTGGATACGTTTTCCTGCTCCTGGTGTCCCTTATCGCCTCTCACACCGCCGGGGCCTTATCACCTGACACAGATGGAAACAGTACAGGGAACGGCACTCTGACAGACTACGGGTTTGTCCCTGCTGCATTCACCAAAGTTAGCCAGATAATTGCCCGGGAGGGGAGCTGTGCGCTGATTGATTGCAATCTCACCGGAGAGCCGTTCCCCAGTGTTCAGTGGTTCAACTCCCATGGAGACCGCCTGGACACCGAGAGCTACGGTGAGAGATATGTTACTGTTACTTTAAACCTGGTCTCCTGTTCGTTCCTTCACTAGCCATGTACGTCACTCAATTATAATTTAATTAGCTGCAAATCTGGAGGGGTGTCAGGTTTTTTTTGTGTTTACTGTGAATAGTGGATTTCTCAATTAGAGGAAGTAAGTCTGTACAGGCTGTCCTCTCAAACACGGTGCAACAAAGACAGAACACTTCTCAGACTTTTTAAATGTGCTTAACAGCGTGAACAATATTCAAACGTATTACGTGGTATTCGTGTGAAACAGCAACTCTACCTTCACAGTGTGCTGAGGGAAACTGCACTGTAACCTGATTACTGTGAGTAACAAGATGCAAAGATAGACTTCCTGATTTTGTTGTTTTGCCACTTACCCTCCCCCCCTGCCCCCCACAAACTACTTCCCCACAGTCAGTTTAGTCTGGATTAACATGACTCACACACAGTATTTCAAAATGTAGGGGTTTAGCTGGGAGGCCGTTTTGAAGATGTGGGTTCAGCTTATAGAAATAGCCACTTTATCCCCGCTGGAAAGAAAGGAAACAATCGAGTGTGTGTACTTGTAGATTGTTGCCCTGCTCGGTTATATTTCCAGGTGGAGTGAGCAGTATGCGTGGTGATAATTAAACTCCAACCGAAGGATGAAAGGTTCTGCATCCTACTTCATTTTATTTCTTTTCAGAGAGGCATACTTTTTTAAAGGTCACATATTATACAAAATACTCTTCACCATGTTCCTCTATCACTAATATGTGTCCATAGTCTGTCTACAAACCCCCCAACGATGAGAAAAGTCCGTCCTCTCTGTATTTTTCCTGCTCCACTTTTTAGAAAATGTGTGCTCAAACAGGCCGTTTGGAGATTTTCCCTTCGTGACATCACAAAGGGCAGTAACCCCTCCCCCAGGTGGGTGACACTCCCACAGCTAGGTGTTTGTTCTGCCCTCTGAGTCTAATTCTAACCGTAAACAATAGGACATGGAGCAAGAAAGCCAGAGCCACCTAAGCCCTTCCAGAGAGGGGGCGTGGTCAGACACAGCTCATTTACATATTTAAAGGTACAGACACAGAAACAGCCTGTTCTGAGCAGGGCTGAAATAGAGGGGTTTATAGACATGATCAAATATAATTCTTCTTTTCAGTAGGAGAAGCTTAAAGCTCAATAGAGATGTACAATAAAGATGAAACATCTACCACTGTCAAATTAATGTGATCAAAACAACATTTCCTGGAAAAACAATAAATAAATGGTCTGATCCCCCCATCACCCCCCCCCCCCCCCAAACTAATCCAGTGTAACAAAAACCAGATGAATAACTGGCGCCTTTGACCTACTGAACATGTGTTATTATTATTTTGATAGGTTGAGTAAAAGATTTCTTATCTAGTGGGTAGAGTCTTATCTAGATTATGTAGACGATCTTCCACTTCTAGCAAAGCATGTTCGGTTGTCACAACAAAAACAGAAGTGGTTGTTGTCTGTGTACAGTCAGCAGGATGTTGTGATCGGAAAAAAAAAAAAGACAAGTCTGTCTGTCTGTGCTGTTTAGATGTTTGGAAAATGGGTCGGTGGTGTGTTCTTGATGATTTGGGGTTAGGGTTAGCACACAAAGACACAGTCAGTGTTTGTGGGCTTCGAGACTAAACAGTAGTCACAGGTATTTGAATGCACACCAGAAGCCCCTTGTGTGTGTGTGTGTGTGTGTGTGTGTGTGTGTGTGTGTGTGTGTGTGTGTGTGTGTGTGTGTGTGTGTGTGAAGCCTGTCAGCTACAGAGCTCTAATCAATCATAGCCAATGTTTAGATTCTACTCTATGTCTGATCGGACAAAAAGGTACAGTTTCAATGTTCTGTACAGGAAGTCAACCCACCTAGACTGGGTTTTAAACATTTAAAAGTAAGTGTCTGTCGGAGCTTGAACACCATCCCGTCCTGTCGATTAGTTGAAATAGTCTCCACCTGGATATGTTTGACTACCACAAGAAAATAAAGATGCTATTAGTACAGCAGCAGGGAATCGCAGGGTAACTCACAATATGATACGGGTTGCCCATGATTTTTTAGGGGGGGGGGGGACTGCCTGGCATAATCCCCAATACTCAATAATCACGTTTCAGGTAGTATCGTAAGCGTACACAGATGTCATAGCATGCAGCTTATAGTTAAGAGTTTTCATGGATACTCGATCGATGTGATGGAAGTGTAAACTGCAGGGTTGAAACTTCCGTTCCTTCAAGTGTTTCACTAAGAGGATTCTGACGGCCTTGAGTTCCTGGGGAGCAATTTCTTCTTGATTAATGCAAATGTCGTCTGGTAGCAGTACTTATGTTCTCTCAGTTAGAGTCACACTCATTCACAGAGTCTAGTCGTGTGCTTGTGATTTCCATTCTCGTCCACCGTGTCTGAATATGAGGAATGTAGAGTGAAGAATTTTGTTGTTGAGCCGACCTGTTAAAACCTGCACGCAGAGAACAGGCAGCTTTGTTTTTATGACCCAAAAACCTCAGAAGAGTGTTTGAAGGAGCATCACAGAGCCCCCCCCCCCCAGAAACATGACTACAATTGGGAGGGTAGACTTTCACCACAGTTAGCAGTAGTTCTCTGTGTAGTAAGACAGGGCCGGTGTTACTATCACTGCTTTCTTCCGCCTGCTCTTTTGCTGTAGTATTGGGCAGCACATCAGTTTTTTTATCACATGACTCGGTTTAGGAGGTAAAATTAGAAAAATGTTGCTCTGACATGAAAAGGCGGATGGGCGAGGAATTTATTGTCTGCCAGGCTTCGTCGTTTCCTGACCGCCCATTCATCTCCTCCAGAGGATGCACACTGAACTCAAGTGTAGGAGGCAGCAGACGTGTTATTTTAAATTCTCTGCTCGACTTAAGACGAGAGATTTACGTGTGAAGATCGTCCATTTTGCCCTTAAAGGGGGCAGCTCGACACACAGCATTAAGGATTCTATTTATTTAATACGCTGTACTTGTTGAAATGAAATAGAGTAGAATCGTTTTTTTTCATCCTTTGAAGAAATACATGAAGTCCTACCCACCAGCTCTAAGACGGAGTGAAAACCTTTGAGAATCAAAAGTGAAACCTTTGTAAACTTAAGGAAGCGTTAAGTGAAGCTAATCAGCTGCTGGCTTTCACTTTGCTGTTTCCGTCTTCTTATCTAGCTCTCCTCCAGAAAGCAAAGAAGTGTCACACTATTTCTTTGAACTGTGCAAAGAGCCGTGACGTTGACCGTTTCAATCCATCCGCCAGTCGGTCGTAAACTTGTAAAAGGTCGATAAACAAAACAAAACAACCAGAGGGGACGAGCTGCAGTGCTTAATGTCTTACTCACTGAGGAGCAGTTATTGTTGCTTGTTTTGATAAATTGAAGTTATTCAACTGGTTTACAAAGTGAATGGAAACACTGCAGGGTAAGACCCATGGGGAGCTGTCGGAAAAATATGTAGGAAAAGAACGAGTAAATCCTGTGGGTGCCTGAGCTCTCGGAGCAGCTTCAGAATCTGATGCTGTGACTTTACTGCGGCTGCCAGCTGAGATAGTTGTGTACTACTGGTTTAACTCAACCTTTAAGAATACTTAACTACACAATCATGTTTGGTCAAATAGTAAAATGATAACTCATGACTGTAGAAAATAATTCAGTTTCTTGTATGAACATCTCTTGAAATCATGTTAGGACAGTCCATGTCTGACTCAACAGCTCTAACATGTAAATAAAAGCTTGTTCTTTTGAATACGCAAACCTCAGCATGCAGAGCAGTCACGCCACATGTTTCAATATTGAAGGCACGGCAGGGACGTTAAAGTCGCTGCTGCTGCTTTACAGCCGGCTTTCACCCGGGCAGATTAAAACCAGGTCTCCTTTAAAAGCATCGACTCCTCGGTCACAGCAACACAACACACATCCTGCTGGAACATACTGAATAGAAAAGTGGTGAACGGCTGAGAGAGAGGCCCAGATGGTGGCTCAGATACGAACCACAGCTGCAGCTTTCAGGACGTGCAGTGACAAATAGCTGCAAGTCCTTTTTTTTTTTTTTTCTCTTCATAATTTTATAAATCTGTGAGTCAAGACTGCTGTCACACTCTATAAAATAGAAATAGAGCAGCGTAGAAGTAAAACCTGAGTAAGCAAGTTCCTGTTGGAGAGCAGCAGCAGACAGGGGGGGGGGGGGGGCTGCAGTGATGCTGCAGAACAGTCTGGATTCAGGCAGCACACAGGCTGGAGCAGTAAGAGGATTGTCAGGGTTTAGAGTTTGACCTCAGAGGCAGTCGGTGGTCAAACTGAGAATTGAATGTGTTATGATGTGTCAGTGAATAACATGTTTACAGCAGGCCAGAGGAGTCTTCACTTTCTCCCTTTATAGCTGCAGTGTGTGTGAACTCTGTCCACAAAGATTTGAAGAATGAATTTATAAGGGGAAACCATCAAGTCAAACTGTTTAGCTTTCACTTCCATCTATTCGTAAGCTTCAGTTATTAATTATGATATGGTTGAATCCCCCTGAATAATTGTTGACCAATGAAAACACCGTAAAATGACATGACAGCATCATGCAGGTAGTAAACAGGAAGTTAAACTAAATGTAAGATACAAACTTAGAAAACAAACACAGGCGCTACAAACTGTTTCCTTATTCTTCTTTCAATTACAGATTTCTCAACATCCTTTTTGTCTCTCTCAGCACTATTCACAATAGCTAGACGCATGTAGATACTGAGACTGATACTAGAGATGGCACACATCCTGGATGTCGGTCCAATCCTGACTCAAGATAGCTAGATAGGTTTGACCGATCCATGTTGCTAATCAATCTATACAACCCATTTCTATGTTATTCTGTGTTAACGGCAAGAAATACCGGTAGACCTGTGCATTTTGCTGATGTATTTCACGCTCGTTACACCAACAACTTGTAGGACTACGAGCTATTTCTGCACAGCTCGTGTTTGGAGGGCGACAACTTCAGACAAGTCAAGTTTATTTGTGTTGCACGGTTAAGACAGCCTCAGCTGACCAAAGTGCATAAAAACAACAACAACAACAACAACAACAACAACAAAGAAAGAGAAGAAGTCAGACGAAATGAAACGAAGCTTTCCCTCAGGATGTTTTGAAAGACACATTTGAGACCATGGTTGATTAATCATTTGTAAAGACAAAGTTAATGGATGTGATGAGCCTGACTGTGGGGTTCACTGTGACACCAGAGGGTGAGTGACGCAAGCTGTTCACAGACCGTGGGGTCAGTTTGTGTGTATTTAGTTTTTCCAAGTTCTTTTACATAGTTAAGAAAAACCTGATGGACAAATGGTTTCCAGTCTCGGGTTACTAATTTAAACCCGGTATCAGATTGGATCTGAATCAGCAGATACCCATAGCCCAGGTACTGGATCGGTTCGGTTCGGTTCTGACGGGCCGGGCCGTTAAAATGTTTCCAGTGTTAAGTATTTTAGGCGAATTTTACAGAACAGCAAGGGATTAAGAAATTGAGCTACTTTTTTCATTTTAAAACTATTTATTTGACTTTGAAGCGAAACAAATTCAGGTGCTCTCCTTTCAGCCTATTGCAAAGGTCAGGTTTGATTTGAACATGAAGTAAACTACAATTAGCTCAATGAATGTCAACAAAAAAAGTGCATTGGTGGCATACTGTCATATTTCTCTTTTAGTTACGATTATTGCTCCTCTCTTATTCATGTAATGCTCAGTATTGTAAATATTTAGAGTATTAACAACAGCTCAAACGATTTAAGAACACTTCCAAAGACATCAAACGTCACACTGAAGGTTCAGACGTGTTTCATGTAATAAGAACAGTGAGGGTGAAGTGCACACAGAGGAGCACTCAGTTAGTTAACAGACAACAGCCTGTTATGTAGTTCACATACTTCACTGGTTAACATGGAAACTGTGGAGCAAATGATCAATTTCACTTCTTGTTTCTTGTTCGTCCACTTATATGCGTAATGGCACGTTCCCCGACTCTCGCTCACCCGTATAGCTCTCTCTCTCCCTCTCACGTTCGTGGACCCACAGTTATGTTTTGATGCATGTTTTTGACATAATGAGGGAGAGAGGCTTTCGGGAAAAAAAGGGCGTTTGCAGTCGTTAATGTTAATGTACCACCTGGACGAGTGGGAAACACTGAGCAGTACATGTTTTCCATCAGAAACTGGTCTGTAGTGAGCCATGACTGCAGCCTGTACGATCTATAGACTGTCACTGTATTGTCCCGGTTCTCCCGATTAGCCACTCCGGGCCTGGCTGCTCCTCACTGCTCGCCGTGCTAAAAGTAATGCTGTTGTCAGTGTCGCCAAACTTAAGCGCGTGGTGATTGGCTATTAACTCACTTGGCGGGCCGGGTTTCCTCATCCCTGTGCGCTGACTCACAGGCACACACAGACGGAGCCAATTTAGAGAGAAATACAATGTGCGGAAACTAGTTAAACGCCAAACCGTTAAAACCGTTAAAACCGCAATTCACAAGTCAGTATTGAACCGTGGATGCCGTACCGAACGGTTCAATATCTTATTGAGAATTGTTGCATGCCTAATGCTAACTAGCTTTGACTAACAACATTCATGAAAGTTTTCTGTTGTTTAAAGGGGGCGGGGGCTTAACTGGTGTTCTTGCCTGATGCTTCATTGTAGAATCTTTATCAATGACTTGTCTCTCTCTCTCTCTGTCTCTCTCTCTCTCTCTCTCTCTCTCCAGAGGGGAAGTGGTGGCTGCTGGACGGCGGCATCCTTAACATCACCAGCATCGAGTTTGCAGATCGAGGGAAATACACCTGCATGGCGTCCAACGCTCACGGCAGCTCAAACTGCACGGTGACGCTGCGCGTGGTGTTAAACAAAGGGGACATGGGCGTGTACTACATGGTGGTGTGTCTGGTCACCTTCACCATCATCATGGCGCTGAACATCACGCGCCTCTGCATGATGAGCAGCCACCTGAAGAAGACGGAGAAAGCCATCAACGAGTTCTTCCGCACCGAGGGCGCCGAGAAGCTGCAGAAGGCGTTCGAGATCGCCAAGCGGATCCCCATCATCACATCGGCCAAGACGCTGGAGCTCGCCAAGGTGACGCAGTTCAAGACCATGGAGTTTGCGCGCTACATCGAGGAGCTGGCCCGCAGCATCCCGCTGCCGCCGCTCATCATGAACTGCCGCACGTTCATGGAGGAGATCCTGGAGGTGGTGGGCGTGGAGGAGATGAGGCACACGTTCGTCAGACAGGCGCCCGAGGGGTGTCAGGATACGGACGGCACGGTCGCCTCTATTCGGGCAAGAGACGTCTTCACCATCCTGCAGGAGAGGGAGAGGGGGCGAGAGAGGGAGAGGCAGCGGAGCGAATCCCCCACCGCCGACTCCGACAACTCCTCCGTGCACGAGCAGCCGCAGCACATCGCCATCCAGGTGTCGGTGCACCCGCAGCTCTCCGTCGACGGCTACTGCAGCATCGAAGCCCCGCCTCCGCCGGAGGCCCCGCCCTGCTCGCCGCCCCCGTCCTCCACGCCGCCGCTCTCCCCCGCGCACCACGAGGAGCCGGCGGCGGAGGAGAAGGAGGAGGAAGTGGAGGACAAAGACGAGGCCGCGGCAGAAGAGACCCCTCCCTGCCAGGTGTTTTACGAGAGCCACGTGTGACGAAACAAACGAACCCTGGAGGAATGAAGCGTTCAGCTGCTATGCATTTCCACTTGAAGACGAAAAAGAGGTCAAGACATTTTTAATTTCACTTCCTTTGAGAGAAACAATCACCTATTATTTATCTTTTAGGATAGGAACAATCTTAAACATGTTCTAAGAATACATTTTTAGACACTTGAGCGTTTTCCTCACTCTGGACTTTCATGCTTGAATGTACACGGGAGGGGTAATCAATATTATTATTCATGTAATAAGCAGTGAATTGTAAAGGGACATTTCCTGTGTGGAGATTTTCATAGCTTGGACTTTCATTTTAAGAATTAGGCACCTCACTCTCGAGGGCGGCGACGATTTTTTCCAGTTTTTTAAGTTTCCTTCCAGAGATCGGATTTTTACCACCACACCCCCAAAAAAAAACCTGCCTCGAGTTTTCTTTAAACGGCCCCTTCAACTTCTCACATCCAGCTTCTGCTCCAGCCAATCCGCCGGGATTGTAAAATGTTGTGCTCATCTGTAGATGCATGCTGGACTGACAAAAAAAAACAAAAAAACAAAAAAGATCTGAGAGTTTGGTCAACCTTTCATGATTGTACGGCCTGTTACATTCTACAAAGAAAACTAAAGAGAAAACATGTGTGCTGTATACTTCCTGATTGGATCAAACACCTCTGGTTAGAGTTTTTGTCTGTTTCCTTTTGGAATCTTTTTAAGAGTATTATTATTGTTATTATTATTATTATCACCCATAGTAGTGTGATTTCTAAGCTAGTTTAAGCTGTCTATGAAATAGAGAAGAGTTGCTTTTTTTCCCCCTCTGCCGCCATTTGCAGTCGTTAGGTTTTTTCATTTTAACTCCCGACCTGATCTTAGCATCGTCTGTCTTGTGCAGAGGCTTTGCAAGTAAAGTCGTGTCTCTGCTGCATGTGAGAGAGGACGGTGGAGGGAGACGTCTGACATCTTTCTCTGGGACTTAAAAAAAAAGGACTCTTGTCTTTCTTCCTTTTCGCTTGGCTAACGCTCCAGTGTGAGTGGAGGATTAACTGGATGCTGTTCTGCTTCTGCTGGTGCTCTTGAGATGCCTCTTTTTGGTAGTGTAATAAAATGGAAGTGCTGTGTATAAAGACATCAAAAAAAAAAAAACGTTCTCACGCTTTGGTCTTTTTGTTTCACAACCCTGGTCAGGACTCTTGGCTGTTACTTGTTTTAGACTAACTCTAATACGACTAACACTACTTCATTTATCCTTTTCCTTTTGAGGTTTAACTTTAGAAACTATCTTGCTCTAACATAATTCTTGTTAGTGGTTCTATTTGGTATTGATGAACATGTTTCCATGTTTAAAATGATAGTTTCTTTGGCATTATTTTGGAAAATTTAAGCTATTTACATGAAATTTAAATTCCACCAGCTGTACAAACTGATTCATAAAACCTTTTTTTTAAATGTTTTTTACATCCAGAGAAAAGCTCCAAATAATAAAATCATCTGTCATATATTTGAAACAAAACAACTATTACATCCATGTTGAATATTAGAGAGTATTTTTTTGGATTACAGCTTTAACAACATGATCTGTCTTGAGTATATTTTGGTGTTTTTCACGATAAGGAAAACAGGCTGATGAGAGACAGAAGGTGAATAAAAATAATGAAAGTGTCGGGTTGTCGAGGGACGACAGCATGAATGATAGATGTCCTGTAACAGTACACTGACAGACTGAATGGACTACTTCTAAACTCTGAACACTAAAGAGACGTCACACAAAGGCCGCTCTGTTTGGGAAGCGTCGAGAAACTCGGCCTGAAAATCTCTCCTAGTCCACTCCACTCCCACCCCCGGGTGCCCACAGTTAGGCCACTGTTATGATGATGATGATGTACACAGACGCTGCACTGTTGAGCACAGAGACCACTCACAGAGAGGCAGCGCTGAGAACACAAGGAGCACAAAAGGTGTTGTGTAGTCAGGACTTTCTGTCTTGTGTTTTCATTTTTCATATTTCACATCACAGGAATGCGGTTACTTTTTACATCGGCTGATTTACTGTGACATTTAGTCTTTTCTTCCTCAATGTGAAGATTTCCCTCTTCAAACAGGATGTAAGTGATGTGGACAACACAATGAAATGGAAACTAGCAGCAATGGAATGGGAAACAAGTGAAAAAAAAGACAGCAGGTCCCGACCAATATACATATTTCTGGGGCTGATACCGACATCGATATTAGGGAGAGGAAAAAATCAGACGCCGATATGTGAGGAGATATCTCGAAATATATGCACATTTATTGCATTGATCCCTCAAGTGCAGTTATCAAACACTTGTGGAAAAGATATATGAGATGGTCACTCAACTGGAGAGTAACTGAGCATGCACTTGACACTCTGGAGGGTGATGATGTTTGTTGTAATCCACATAGCGCCCTCTGCTGGTGAAAGAGAGCTGCTAGTGTAACACAAAGAAATCAAATGAAATGCTATTTGACTGATGAATAAATCGAGTAATTTCAGAGCATTACTGTGATCAAATTAGCCGATACCGATAGTCACTGGATAAGATATTATCGGCTGGTCGATTAATCGTCTTAAAGTCTAAAAGGCAGAAGTCGTGTTCTCAGACGTGCAAGTGTAAAGGTTTTCATTGTATAGGGAAACTTTTGGGGTCATTGAATTACACATTATTGTGCTATTTTTTTTTAGACATTTGAAATGTGAAAATGTTCCATATTATAGCTGAAAGATGAAGACTTTGGTTTGAGAGAAAAGCAGAATCATTGACTGGCTGTTTAGTTGAGGAACTTCCAAGAGGCAGATTTGAACATGTCAAAATAACATTAGCACATTCCCAAATGTGCTTGTTTTGATAAGTCTCTAATAAAACACGTTTATTGTGGTGTATTAAAAGGAGACAACCTGTAGTAGCGTCTAAGTCAAAATGAGTAAAAGTCAAAGAATCCAGAAAGCTGTGGAGAAATGAAACACCACGACCCCGCTGTGCAACTCGAATCTTTTCTCTTTTTAATTAAAACAAAATTTAATCTTTACATATTTTGTTTTTAAATGTACAATCAAACAATCATGTAATCATACGTAAAAGTTCTTCGTAATAATGCACAACTCTATCGACACTAGCCATAAATAAAAAACAAAAACATCAAGATCAGTATGAAACAAAATGTTAGGCAACATCACTGTTAACACAGACGACGCCCTGCAGGAGCAGTCACTGCAACGATACAAGTACACAGGATGAACCCGACCTCTCTCTCTCACACACACACACACACACACACACACACACACTGCCACCACTCAACAGGTAAGGTGCTATTGTTTTTCTACGGTCTATCAGTCATTTCTTTCCCCTTCCTTTTGCTCTTAAAGGACCAAAACGTTGATGTTATTGGGGGCAGAGAGCGGGAGGTGAGAGGGAGCTTCAAGTCTTCCTTATTTTTGTATTTCTGGATTTAAAAAAACCTCAATAATAATAATTACTAGTAAGAATTATGCTAGGTACTTAGAAGAATTAAGACGTGATATCAGTTGTTTTTTTTTCAGTGTTATGACGTCATTAACAGCTCACAACTGTTCAATAAACATTTACTAGACATCTTAGCATGAGAACCTGACTACTCTGTGAGCTCATGTTTTAGTTTTAGCGAGGTGTCTTTTATGACCCACAGTTCAGCGACTATCTCACATGAGATGGGTTTAAGATCACAGATTTCTCTGTATGTAAAAAAGTTCTGAATTTAGAAATCAAGTCACTTAGAACAACCGAGACTGTATTTCACTTTATTCACAACAAGTTAGTGTCGGCTACTTCAATATTTCATACCAGGCGGCAACCTGCGGTGTCGAACAATGAAGCCAATGCTGAAGTGAAAAAGCTCGCAGTTCCTCCTGTCACCACTTGAGGCTGGCTGCAGAAGCTCTGGAAGTCACATACACACCCATTCAAAAAATGCCCATTCGTTTTACAGCAGAAATACAGCAGGCTCATTTCTCTATCGGCACACTTCACAGGGAGTGAATTCTTTAACAATTGATCTGTTTTGATGATGAAACAAATAATTATTCATAGAAAAGGGCGTGGCTGATCTTCCTGAGGGGCTGGCGTGCTGTTTGTCAGGAGGCTTAGGGCTGAGCTCCAGCTCTGTTACTATGTTTGAGACATCATATCCAATATGGCAACGGCCATCAATGAGCTTCAAAGTCCACATCAGAGAACAACTGGTGATGTCACTGACGTCCATGTTTTAAAACTGGAACAGGAACTCGCTAACTAGCCTTGAAGCGAATTGCTATTTCACATTATTATCCCGTGTTTGGGAAATACAACTCCGCAAGAAAACGAGGTCCACTTCCAGTTATTTCAAAAAGTCTGAACTCTCCATCATTATCAGTGTATTCAGAACTGATTGTTGTCTCTACTAAACCTTCAGTGGAGATCGTTTTTCAATACGTTTGTGTTACGGACCAGTTGTGGAACTAAACAAGAGATGTTCTTTGTGATTATTTGTCCATGACTTAATACAATCAGACATTTTTAAATGTTTGAAGTAAGAATTGGCTTCAATTTCATTTTTTAATTCAAGGTGTGTTCGTTTTGAAATGTTGTGTTCTTGCCTTTATCTTTGTGTTTATCATTTTCCTGCTTCAAAGATGGATGGAGTGTTAAACAGTGTGTGAAAGGGTTTACAGCAGAGATCATATTATATATAACATTATTATTCCAAAAGATTTCAGAACATAAAGAAAAACACCATCAGATCACTTTGAACTTTGAAGATTTCCAGTTATTTTGAGAAAAAAATGAAATGTAATACATTTATTTTAAAGTAACGACAAACACAAAGTTAACAGTTTTTCCTTATTTCAAGTACACACTACCTTCTTTCTCTATGAATGAACTGACGGCAGTGACGCACACACACACGCTCACACACACACACACGCTCACACACACACACACACGCTCACACACACGCGCACAGCTCAAGCTGGCTCAGAAATGAAAACACACTCTCACTCAGGTCGTACATTTCCCCACATTTTCAATCTGAAAGGGTTCAGAAGATGTTTGTTTTTTTAAATTCAGTACCCATCTATGTCTCTACTTCCCTCTTACACACACACACACACACACACACACACACACACACACACACACGTTACAGCCATTTCATTTAGACTAACGTGTGCCATGCGGTCATGAGACGCTGCAGCCTTTTTTTTTTTGTAGAGTAGCAGTTGCACTTCCTCTCAGTTGCCATGGTAACCTGGCTGGAATGTAGTAACGCGAGACACACACACACACACACACACACACACACACACACACACACACACACACACACACACACACACACACACACACACACACACACACACACACACACACACACACACACACACACACACACACACACACACACACACACACCACAGGTAAACAATGTATTTCTCTGCAGGACGGACGGGTCTGGTGCGTGTCTGTGTGCTGGGGTTTTTTTTTTTGTGGGTTTAAAGAAAGTTTTTCTTGTAAGCGAAGCCTGGAAGTTTAAGGTCCCTCATCGCGTCCTTCATCAGCGTTTCATTCTGACCTTTGACCCCCCCACCCCCACCCACCCCCAGCCAGGTGATGTCTACCATGACCTCAGCGGAGAGAGCAGACATAGGGCGAGGCACATGAAGAGTGCAAAAATGTGTGTGTGCCTGTACAGATTGTGTGTGTGTGTTGAGAGAGAGCATGCATGTTCGAGGATTCAGTGAGTGCAAAAGTGTATTTTGTGTGATTTTTTTCGAGTGTGTGTGTGTGTGTTTAGGTAAAAAGTGCATTCCTCATGTGTGTGACCCCCCCTGGGTGTCCTCAGCAGCCAGAATGATAATAAAGTGTTGGTTTTTTTATCAAGTCTTTCCGTCTCACGGCAGGTAAGTCTCTCAGTCGGCAAGGTTCAGGGTCTACAAAGCTTCAAACTAAAAGAAAAAAAAAAAAAGGTCCGAGTGTCAAAGGTCGGAGCCGTCCAGGAGGCACACCACCTCGTCCTCCTCTTCATCGTGACCTCCCCCCCGGCCATCCTGGAAGGAGCGGATCAGTTGAACATGATGGACTCGGGGTCTTTGTTTGCCATTTGAGCCATGTGACGGAGGATGTCTTTTTTTGTGATAATACCAAGAAGCCGCCTGCAGGGGGAGACAAAGAGGAGGGAAGAAAGGGAGAGAGACAGAAGAGGTTTAGATGAGTGAGGAGGGGGCTGCTGGAGCAGAGAGAGATAACAAGTTGCGTGTTTTCGCTGGCAGGTTCAGTTTGAAGTCATGATTTATCTGATTGGAGACTTTATTCTAAATTCAAAGTGCATGAATTTTTTTTTTTTTTGTTTGTTTGATAAATAATTAAAAAGAATGGACGTTGATTGACGAGCCAACAAAAACAGAAGTCCCTGAGGAAGAAAAAGTCAGCAGGAGGAGAAGAAGGAGCAACCAGAGCAGAAAAAAGGGGGAAAAAAAAGAGAAGCAGATCTGAAACAGCACCCGACTACCAGGAAGCAGGGTGTCATTTCAGGCTCTGCGCCCGGTTGCTTTGAGTTATCTCTACAAAATGAGCCATGAGAAGGAAAAAAAACTGGATCCTACAAGGAAGGAGACGTGGAGAAGAAGTGAAGAAACATCAGAACCTCGAAGGAAGAAGAGAGGACGTCCTCCTCATCACAGGAGTCAGAAACCATGTATGAAGATTTAAGACTCTTTTATTTTGAAAGGATGACCTCATTTGATTCATTATTATAAATCAGAACTTCTCAATCTCTTTTCTCCTTCTGTTTATTTATTTTGCGGTAAACATACCTGACAATACAAACTTGTATTGAAGTCTATTTTTCTAAAACAGAAACTGAACCTCGTACTGTCTCATAATTTCTTCAACAAGCTCCTTCATATTTATTAGTCTTTGATTCTTTTCCTCTTCAGTTCATTTGTAGTTTATTGTGAATAAAGTTCTTTGACTTCTGGATGAATAAAGTTACGTCTCTTGGGAGAAACCAAACGGTAAATGTTGCTGTGTCATGTAGCATCTTAGCATTAGCCTAGCTGTGTTTTGAAAGGGTTAAAGTTCTAAAAATAATATAAGACAGTTTATTTGTTTTGCAATACTACAACACTTATGATACTTAAAGCATTACAAGACAGTTAAAGAGAAAATGTTTGAACTGGCTTTGCATTTTATGTCTTTTATATGTTTGTTTCTAACCATTAAGAAACTGTTTTAAAGGAGCTGTGATGTAATGATTATTCTTTTTATCACAACATAGCAGAGTGAGGTTAGAAATATTAGAACTAATGAATTCTGTGATTTATGACACCTGCTCATACGAACTACAAAGCTGTCCTATATTAGTTCATAACTGTAGTATTGTTTTTTCTCTTTAGCAGAATGTTGCCACTTTTAAACAATCTTAAACTTTTCTTCTTTGTAAAACCATTACAGCATGATCAACTCCCCCCCCTTTGTTTTTAGACATTTCTGACTCCTGTGAAAAAGCCTCCTCCTCCTCTTCTTTAAAGAATACTCATGGCTGGATCAGACTTTTTATCAAGCTGTGAAATATTCACAGTTTTCCTGCTGACTCAAGAACACATCACAAACTAAATGTTCTTGATTCTGTCATTTTGAAATCTCAGAAACAAAGTCCAAGTGTTGATATTTTGAGACGCGTGCTCTTCAAATCAGCCATGAGTGTTTGTCTGAGGTCGGGTGAAGAGAAGCATCAGAGGACTAATGGAGAGCTACAGAGAGGAGAGCAGAGCTGGGTCCCTGGGTTAGATGTTCAGCTTCATTTGAACCCTGGAGAGGTGGAGAACATGTGACCAGAGTGAGTGAAAGAAACATGTGAAGCCAGGTGTGAGGAGTCGGGGGGGGGGGGGGGGGGTAGGTCAGAACTACAGCTACAGAGCAGCAGGAGACGTCACAGATCAGATCCTGAATCCCCGACAGCCGAGCTGACTGACCTACAACTTGTCTTCTTCATTCTGAAACCAGTGAAATAAAAAAGACAAAGTTGTGGAGACTCGGAGGACCAGGTAGCCTTGATCTGGAGGTGGGAGGAGTCAGGGGGGAGGGGCTACTGTAAGACAGCTGTGTCCTGCTCTGTTCCACATTTAAAAAAAATCAACATATTGAAGACTTCTTATAAATGTCAACTAGAACCTAAATTTAGATCTGTTTTTGAAGACACAAACATTAACAAGCTAAAGTCTCGTTCGTTTCCCAGGACGACCAGACTACCGTCAGAACAAAAAAGGTATGAATGCTTTAAATTAGAAAACGCTGTAAGAGAAAGCAACGGTGTGTGCGTTACTTAGCAAACAACCTGTATTATTAAAAATAAAATGTTAAATAATGTTCGTTGTTAAATGTGTATCACCGTTTCCCAAGCATGTTTAACCAAGCCTGCTCCCAGTCGGCCACAAAACACACACACACAACCGGACAATTCACTCTGACTCTGTGCAATAATAATGTTATATTAATGTTATATTATGTTTACCAATCCACTTTATGTGCATGTCTGTGTTACACGGAATATTACAGACTACACTTTTGTCAAATAGCTGATCTATTTTTTAAATCTATTTTTTGTACAATCTTAATTTTTCTTTATTTAAATTGTACTGTGTTGACTTTTTGTCTGCAATCTTTGCTCTTTGCTGCTGTAACAATGTAAATTTCCCCGTTGTGGGATAAATAAAGGATTATCTTATAAACACCTAACAGTTTTTCTATAGGCTACTTGTCGCGTCACATCTGGGCACGTTGCCTAGCGACGAAGCGTGGAGGTGTGACTGGAAGGTGATAGCTGTCCATCATCCAGTTGGCTGACTACACTTTCAAAACGCACAAAAATGACGGATAACTAAAACATTTCCTCGCAGAGTGGGAGGGGACTGCTTGTTGTTTATGAAAGATAAAGCTCTTAGTTAGTTTTTTTTCTTAATGTGTTTCTTGTCTTGTAAAGAGGACGGGACACAGCTGTCTGAGAGGAAGCACGGGCAGGTTAAAGCACAGGATTAGTAAATATGTCATCGAGGTTATTTCATCACCACACGCTAACCAGCTGACTACAGGCAACACAACAACGTCACGCCAACACAGCAATCACTGCGACTACAGCATGAGGGGAGAAACGGGAAAGAGTCACTACAGGACCATCTTCTAACTAACACCACCCTCCAAAAACCATCACAACCACAGAGAGCCGCTTTCCCAAGGCGGCCAAACTACTCGCCAAGTGCTTGTTACGGCGAGGGGTCAGATGTCGTCAAACTGTGGAGACCAAGCGGAAAACGGTGGGTTCGAGAGGGGAGGGTAAAAAAAAAAAGATAAATCAGTCATTAATGAAGGTAGAAAACATTTAATGAGATGACTGATGTTTGAGAGGAAGATGTGGAAACACAACTGTCGCCATGGTTACATGACTGCACAACATGCTGAAGGGTGATTTTCTACGAGTAAATCTGACTGCTCATATAACACAAAGTGACTAAATACATCTTAGCTACTGAGTTACAATCAATCAGAAGATCAAAGATAAACATGTGATTCAGGAGCTAGCATGGTGCTGCTAATGCTACGTCAAGCTACAGTGTGGATGAACAGGGAAGAATCTACTGAGCCCCTTTCAGACATGGAAACAGAAACACTGCAGGCTGTATGCAGATGATATAGTTATGTTTTAGTGACACACAGTGGATCATTGGATCAATAAGAGCCAATCAGATTTTGAGTTTTTGGCTATAAATCACATCTGTTAAGCTCTAAATTTAAAAGAAAGACCAAGAGAGCGCACTGAATTCACTTTTCAGTATCGTCAAAAGGTTCTCGCTTCAAACATCCGTTACAAAGGGAATGTGGAGCACTCCCCATCTCTTCCAGGATTACTCCGAATTTTACTATGCTCTGTTGTGAATATAACATTTCATGTTGTCTTTAGTCCTGAAAACTTCTCTAGAAAACATCAATCTGTTGATTTGTTGACATGCAGATGGGGTTGCTTGTGATTCTATCAGTAGCTATATATTTGTTGTTGATTTAAATCTTATTTGAACCTCAGTGCTTTGTGTAATAATCCTGATGATTCAACTTTTATTTCTTTACAGTGTTTAAAGAACGCAGAGCGAGATACCTTTTTGGATTCTCAAAAGACTGCTTATTTTTCTGATTTTGTCAACCTGCTTTTATTTCTTTTTCTCTTTTTTTGGCCTTTTTTGCTAAATTCTAACAGATCTGGAGTCGATCGAGTAGATTACCTCAAACAGCAGCTGAGAAACGGCTGCAGGAAAAAACATCAAGTGACTATGTTAAAAAAAATATGAACGTTTCCTTTCAGAAAAACTAACTAGTTATAACATCAGCTTGACACAGTAGGAAATAATGTGTTAGCGAAAGTAAGAGTCCACCAGAGACTTAGCAGTAAAAACTGTCAAAATGATTAGCGCATGTTTTCATCCATCAATCAATCTAGATTTGTAGAGCGCCACTTCATAACAAACGTTTCTCAAGACATTTGAAGAGCAGGCCTACTCCTCATCGTACTCTTCGTGATATTTATTATAATGTCTGAAAGGGGCTCTAAACTGATGTGGGTGACAGTTCCCATGGAGGTCCAACATTACAGGACCATCAAAACAAAGCTTTTCTAAACGACTGCAGCCATGAAGATGACGTTAGAGATCTTCTCTCTACAGATGAAGTTCTTCATTAAAGGTGAATCCAAACCAAAACCAACAACAACAACACAGAGCCGACAGGAAGAGCAAGAAGAAGAGAAAAGAAGGCTTTTTGTTTAGCCGGGAACTGTCAACAGCTTCTCACACCAAGTTTCATGCATCCCTCTAAAGAGGCGGAGCCTAAGAGACAGGTGTGAAAGTAAGGGAAGGGGGGGTCAAATGTGTAAAGGGGCGGGGCTAGTCACCAGGGGCTCCTCTTGCTGCTTGAGCTCCTCCAGATGCTCTAAAATATTCTTCTTTGTGATGATGCCCAACACAATCCTGAAACACACACCCGTTACTCGGTAAACGTCAAAACAAATGAAAACAACAAAAAACAACAAAGAAGAGAGAGAAGAGAGAGAGAGAGAGAAGAGAGAGAGAGAGAGAGAGAGAGAGAAGAGACAGCAGCACAAAACATAAACAACAGGTTCAAACGGAAAATAATCAAACTGAGATCAAACAGAAAGAAAACTGTGACATAAATGTGACATAAATAAACTTAAAATACATGAACTATAGCACTGAGGTCTATAGTTCTGCCCTCTCGTTCTGCGTCTGTTCTTAAGACAACAGCTGGAGCGCCACCTGCTGCTTTTTGAAGTATATTCACAAAATAGAAAATTGAATTCATTTGCATTTTGTTTTACAGATTTGTGGAAATAAGTTTTAAATTTGAACAAACCTTTGATTGTAACTTTTAGTGAAAATGTCAAAAGGTCTCCACTCTGCATGAAGATACATTACCAACAACATATTTTAGAAACATTAGCCCCCATTGTTATTCATGAACTACTGAACTGTCCTTTAACATCATGATAATAAACGTGGAAATTTTGTTATTATAAGTCGATCCCACTCAACCCAGCATGCTGTTGCAAATACTTTGAAGTAGGACCCGACATCGATATTAGGAGTGAGAAAAAAATCTGATACCAATAAATCAGCCAATATCTCGCTTTGATCTATGTTTAGAGATAGATATAAATGTACACATGTATTGTGTTGATCCCTCGGTTATATAATACTCGTGGAAAAGATGAAGAAAGTATGTTCATCACTGTTTGACACTCTGGAGAGTGATGATGTTTGTTGTAATCCATATAGCGCCCTCTGCTGGTGACAGAGAACTGCTAGTGTAATACAATGAAACTCAAATGAAATGCAATTGGACTGGTGAATAAATCTAGACATATCGGCGCAAATCTAAGATAAAATTAGCTCAGTGTATAAGCTAATATCGGCTGGCTGATTAATCGGTCAGGCTCTACTTTCCAAACACAAAATGTGTATTAATCCAACAGAAAGTAGTTCCTCCTTTTAGAAATAATTTAATATGAAATAATCTTTATAACTATGACAGGATTTTTAGGTTCACTTGTTGAGGAGGCACATATGAGCTTGTGACACATTTCGGTGTTTTCATGAGATTTTTGACTTAACGGTAAAAAAAATAAATAGAAAAAATAAAACCAGACTGATCCGTCTAAAACGTAAATGAAATTTGTTGAGAAATTGGGACGTGAATAAAAAAGGAAGACTTGCACAACTCCTAGTTATCCGTGATCCGTCATCTGTATTCAAGCAAAATCTGTTTATCGATGACAGGATCACACCAGCAGGGGGCCGTCTGCAAAACCCCTGAAGATGTAGAACCTGGACTCCTGAGCGTGTTACATTTATTTCTCTAAACATAAATAGATACTCCTGGTCACATCCACACGTTATGTTTCCCATCCTGATAGCTGTTATGTGGTTGCAGCCGTTATTTTCAGTAGCTCAGTCTCTACTGTTATTGCTCAGTGGGGGGTGAAGGGAGTGCAGCACAGCTGTTAGACCGGACCATGCAGATTAAAAAAGGAAGCCCAGGGATCAGAGAGCTCATGCAGAACACCAGTCAGTGTGTGTACATGTGCAACGTGTCGACCTCAGACGAGTTAGACAATCAGAACGCAGATTGGGTTTCCTACTCACCCGTTGTGAGTGACCAGACACTGACGCAGGCCGAGCTTCCTGAAGATGTCCACCACGATCTCCATGGGGGTGTGGTCCGTGACGGTGAAGGGGCTCATGTCCAGGATGGAGCGCAGTTTGAGGGGCCGGGGGCTGTCGGCCGGCAGCGTGGGCGCATGCTGGGTGAAGTACACTCGAGAGTTCAACATGATGCCCTCCTGCTTTCGACGGGCGTTTTCTGTCGGGAGAGAACGAGAAAAACACAGATGCATCATTCCTTCACAACCATTAGATTGATGTAAATGTTGGAAAGGGAGGAAGTGAAGTCGTGCTCCGTGGTCGTACCGATAGCGATGGTGATGTCCCTACGCAGAGCTAAGCCCACCAGCCTCTGGGACTCCTTGGACACGATCACGGGGAAACCATTATAACTGGTCTCGTTGATGGTGGCCTGCAGCTCCTCCACCGTCAGGTCGTCCTGCGTCAGCACGGCTAGCGGCGGGTCGCTGCGCCGCGGCCTCATCACCTCCCGGGCCAGCGTGGTGTGCGTGAACTCCTCCTTAGCGTCCAAGAAGGGGTAACCGTTCAGACGGATGTGAGCCTCGTAGATCCCCTCGCGGCCGAAGGCGTCGCCCACCCACTTGCTGGTCATGACGGCGGCCATGAGGGGGACGATGTACTCCAATCCTCCGGTCAGCTCGAAGACGATGACCACCAGGGAGACCGTCATACGGGTCACACCGCCTGAAAGAGAGAGAATCCAAGTGTCACACCATCACGTCGCCCGCACCGATAACTTTCATAACAAACAACATGGTCGACCATTTATTTCCTGCCGACTCACCCAGACAGGCGGCGGCCCCCACCATGGCGTAGAGCCCCGGGGTGATGCAGTCGGCTCCCACCTCGCACCACTCTTTAAACAGGAACCAGTCGTGGTGATAGTAGGCGAGCTGCTCCATGGCGATGCCGACGATGCGCCCTGCGATCGCCCCGATGGCCATGCTGGGAATGAACAAACCTGACGGAACCTAAAGGGGCGAACGGAAAATGTTTTTAAGGTGCTGATACGTGTGTGTGTGTGTGTGTGTGTGTGTGGGGGGGGGAAGAGTGAGGCTTCACCTTGAGTCCGAAGGTGAAGATGGTCATGATGATTTTGAAGATGAGTGCCAGGCACAGCTGCCACATGGCGGCGTAGACTCCGGCCCGGCCGGTCTGTTGGGGTTGTCTGAGAAGGCCTTGCTGCCGTTCATCTGGCTGCGGTACTGACAGAGCTGCGAGGACTCCAGCGGGCCGCAGTCTGTGAACAGCTCCTTGATCAGCTCGCTCGTGTTCTGACGAGTGTACGGGTTCGGGAATGCGACCACGGCGGTGATGGCCGCCACAAAGATCACTTCCAAAACCGGGTACTTTCCTAAAGAGAGAGAGAGAGAGAGAGAGAGAGGGGAGAGGTTACAGCTGTATCGCTTCCTTACCTTTTCATTCCTAGGTTTAAACCCTGAGTGTATTTTTTCCCTCTGCGCTGATAAATCAAAGTTCTTACCGAAGCGCGTTGACTTGCGTCGTCTGCACCACGCAATGTTCGCTTTGATGAAGAAAGCGCCCCAGAGTCCTCCGAACACTCCCAGCAGGATGAAGGGGATGAGCTCAAACAGGTACCAGGGTGTGTGGTACTCCACGTAGAAGAGCACCAAGCGGCTGTTGCCGAACGGGTTGATGGAGCGCAGGACGAAGGCGGCCACCAGGGCGGCAAAGAAGGAGCGCCACAGCGTCTTCAGAGGGAAGTAGTAACTCACCTGGAGGAGAAAAAAAAGTAGTTTTTTTTTTTTTTAAGATTGGCTTTGGTTTAAAAGTGTTCAGTTTATGAGTTTGTTAAAGAAACATGTGACTGTACCTCCTCCAGGCTGAAGAGAACTCCTCCGATCGGCGCTCCAAAAGCAACAGAGACTCCGGCGGCCGAAGCAGCCGAGAGAACCTGAGGGAACAAAACAACCAACCTCAGCTTCAGCCTTAAAATGAAGTCTGCATCTTAAGACGCTTCAACTCCGTTCAAAAACAACTCAAAAGATCGTGTTTTTATTGGCACACACTGTACGGGGGTTGATTTTCTAAATCCGTTTTGATTCTATGAAAGCCGAGAGTTTTGCATAATTAGGGGCTTTGCTGAGTTGACTGACAGGTGGACGTGTTGTAGTTGTTGTCCCGCCTCTTTCTTTCTTGCCTGTTTCTAGGTTGACAGAAAGTTAGTCTTGGACAACATTATAAATATGGTGACCGCCATCGTTAGGCTTCAAAATGGACCTTTAGAAACCAATGAGTGACATCACTGAGAAAACATCCATGTTTTATACAGTCGTAGGTCCTCACCCTTTATATTTTTTATACTGTAGGAAGCAGCCGTGGTTTAATGTTGTGTCTAAACTGTAACTCAGCCACCAACCAATCACCTGAAGCTCCGGTTAATGACTACTGCCATAATACTCTACTAACTGAGAAAAGGGTAAATCATGCAGATTTAAGAGTCTTTTAAGATATCCTCTAAAGGGTGAAAGGCCTAAATGTAAAATCTCTCGCTCCTCTCTCACCTCTCGCTTCTTGGCCTCGTTCTTGCTGTATTTGGGGAAGAGGTAAGAGAAGATGTTCCCACAGCAGCAGGCCACGTGGACCAGGGGTCCCTCCTTCCCCAGACTGAGACCCGACGCCACAGCCAGAACCAGGGTGATGGTCTTTATCATCAGGGTCCACTTCCCCAGGTAGCCCCGGATAATGAATCCACTCAGGATGGTCTTGATCTGGGGAGAGAAGAAAGAGGGGCGGGTTTAAGAAATGACACAAAGACATTTTTAATCCACTGTGTTTTTCGTTAAATGACTCCACTTTCAGGTGATTTCAAAGTAATTATCTATCTACTAATTAACCAACTTGGATTTAGAGCATGACTGCAGATCAATCAGATTAATGATGGAAATGAAGGCAATAAAAAAATATTTCTAAAACCTCGAAACAGCTTCTTTCTCAAACTTCTCATCCCTCCTGCTGAACACTAAATTCACATTTTGAAGCCACTTTACAGGGGGACTATGTGGATCCTGCAGAGTGCACATGACTAACTAGACCACTTCCATGGAGTGGTAGAGTCAGCTGCAGAGATTTATACACTCCAGTTCACATGCCACTACATGTTTCTGACACTGTGAGCAAATCAACAAGACAGGAGAAAATGAAAGAGCCGAGGGATAAAACAGAACATCGACAGTCTGCAGAAATCCTGCAGAAGCTCCTCCACACACTCTGAATCACAGAGACAGAGACCGCATGCTGACCTTATTCATATCTGAATGTAGCAAAAACTAGTTTAACATAGTGCACCATTTTCTATGTTCACTTGAACTGCTTTGAACCTCTTCTCTGAGGTGCCTTCAAGTTCTCCTAGGAAACCCCAGCATCCAAGAGAATCGACTTTAATGCTGCAAAATATCAAACTTCTTTATTCTTCATTTGAGAGGTGGAAAAGTCACAGAGCCAAAAAAAAAGAGTCAGATATTTAGTTTATCAGGGGATTTGTAAAAGCATCATTTTTGTCTCACCTCTGGGATCCCTGAGCCGCAGGCGTAGGGAGCGAACACCTTGACCAGACAGACAGCGAGGAAGGCGAAGGACAGAGCCCAGTAGATGTACATGAAGTAGTTCATGATGTACGAGCCGGGGCCCTGCAGGGAGGGGAGGAAGGAGGAGAAAACAAAACAGGGTTTATGCCTGGTTCATGATCGCTTCTACCACTCCGCTCTATCAGCTGTGGAGCATTTCAAACTTCAACTCTTTCAGCTGTATACATTTATTTTATTAACAACAAAAAAGGCAAAGAGACTAATGTATAATTATTTTGCATGTTTTATAGTCATCTTACATTTTCTTATGCAAGCAGCTTGTTTTGATTTCTTCTCATAAAATATTCAAACTCTGAATACGTCGGCACATTTCTGACAGCTTCTGCTTTGTTTTCTAGCTTTAATGTTTTCAATTCCACAGCGGTCTCATTTGTATTCACTACACTCGATTCATACCTACATTTATCTCAACACTTTCTGCTAATTATTCCACTTATAATATGAGTAGTTACTATATATGTCGGGGAAAATAACAGTGTATTAAAGTGAGGGCCTTTCACCAGTACACAAAGGCAGCATATTATTAAAGCTCTGACAGGAACAGCGGTCAGAGTGGATTAGCGTACTATGGTTAATTTAAAAATCACGTACCTTTGAGCAGCCATTCATACAGCAGCATTATCATTTACATTTAAAGCTACAGGGCTGAAATAGAGGGGTTTATAGGCATGATCAAATACAGGATCAGAGGGGAAACGTCACAGACATGTTTTAGGGAGCTCTGAGACTTATTGAAACTGTTTTAAAATTTGAATAATAAGTGACCTTTAAGTAAATTTCAGATGTTTTGAATGAAAGCTGAGTTGTGTCTCTTGTGTTACTTTCAGGATAAAACAGTAACTTGTGTTAGGTCTACCTCAGCCTGCCCCAGTATAAGCTCCGCCCAGCTCTTCCACTGAGGACACTTGTCTCGCTCGGCGAAGGTGGTCTCGTTGGACGTCCAGCAGCACTGCTCGTGGTTGAACCACATGGCGCTCAGACACACGCCCTCCTTCAGGTCGTTCAGCCAATCAGCAGCGATGTCGATCAGGCCAGCCAACGCACCTGGCAGGGAGGAGGGAAACGAGGGAAGGAAGACAGGTTTGATTATTGTTCCAATAAGAGCCGCTGAACGATGAACGAATGCGAACAGGAAAACAAAGTGAGCTTGCATTAGCCGCAGCTCGGCTAGCTGCCCCGACTGACATCTGGTGTCCTCTCAGGCAGAAATATATTACTGCTTTACTTTGTGATTTGAGCGTTTTTATGGAATGTGTTGAAAATAAACACATTAAAATATATGATAGGAAACACTGATTGCTAAATATTTGTTAGCTTTTACTTTTTGTTTTCTGAAATCAGTTGTCACTCAAACAGTAGATGTTAGCAGCAACCTTTATATATTCATAAATTGATGTGTCAGTTTGTGTTTCGTAGAAGCAGATACAGGTTGTGCTTTTTTTTTATAGAGTGGGCTTATTTATTTTGGATATTGGTTTCAGTGGTAAAAACTCCAGTAAATGTTGCTTATAAGATGGTAAAAAAAAGGTTATTTTGCAAGTCAGTCAAATAGAATCAGCTGTGAGAACGATCCTGCTCGGAGAAAGAAGCAGCTTCTGTTTGTGGATGAGTGAGAGAAAAAACAGAAAGAGAGAGAGAGAGGAGAGAGAGAGAGAGAGAGAGAGAGAGAGAGAGAGAGAGAGAGAGAGAGAGAGGTCAGGATAGAGAGTAAGCGTGAGCTGCCTGAGGTGAAGCATGTGAGAGTCACCAGCCGAGGAGATAAAAGCTCTGCATGAGTGAGTGAGTGAGTGAGTGAGTGGTGTGTGTGTGTGTGTGTGTGTGTGTGTGTGTGTGTGTGTGTGTGTGCGTGTGTGTGTGCGCATGTATGTTACCTGAGGCCAGGCCAGTCAGTGTCACCACCAGCCACCCAGACCAGGCGTCGTACAGGCTCTTCGTGAACTCCCATGCTGACTCCTTCTTCTTACTGTTAATCTAAAAAAATAAATAAATGCACTTTTTAATTAAACACATAAAAAGCTTCAAAAGCATCAGAAAATGTCTTTAAATCAATAAAGAAAATTAAAATACTGAGGCAGAAAAATGAAGTTTCTAAGCCTAATAATAAGAAGCTTCTTAGCTGATACTGTAAATGGGCTGTCATTAAAATAGAGGTGTATTTATTCCAGCTTTATTATTTATGCAGCTGATGAAAGTGACAGTGGGTTATAAATGTATGATTCATAAAGTCAAGAGATGGTCTTCTCAAGCTGTAATGTTTGAGGAGGATTATTAACAACAACTGGCAGCTTTACATAAATACTGTGTGTAAGACAGAATCCTCTTTGTCCTCACACGTGGCTCCTTTTAAAAACCAACTCACTGAGACCCTTAAATGTGGTTTTCGTTTTGATCCACAGTCTCCTCACCTTCCGATGCCTCTCGCGGTCCTTGCACTTCTCTCGGACCCAGTCGATGGTGTGGAAGTCGTCGTAGGTCCCCACACCAGGGATGGGCTCCTCCAGGAAGTCCAGCAGGTGGGTGGTGCTGCTGGGTGCCCCGCCCCCGTTAGACATGGCGTAGTTAGACCCTGACGAGAGAAGAGACGAAAATAAATCATCGAGCGTAACTCACTCGATTAGCATCTTATGCTAAACGCTGCCTAACTAAATCACATTTTTATTACATTAAAATTCCTCTTCATTTCATCAAGACGAACTATTTGGATGTCTGACAGTCTCGTTAAGGCGGCTCTGATTGTATCGGCCAACAGGCTGCAGGACAATGAAACGTCATAGAGCCCGGATCAGCACGAGTTGGTTTAGTAAGGACTTCAACATGACCATGATTAGAGACAGCGTTGTGGTTTAAAAGCAACAAATACAAAGACAATGTTGTTGACTGCCTTTAACAAAACCGAGCTTTTACTATAATTAGATTCATTTACTGACCTTCACATTACAGGACACACTTCATGTTACTCTTGAGGCTCAATATAGTTCACTACACATCCACACACAGAGACATTCAAATGAAGGGAGATGAAGCAGTTAAAGGCTAATTCTCTCCTCCTCCTTATCTTCCCATCGTTCTCATTATTTATTAAGTCAATGCCAACATTCAAGTCAAGAGGGCCCTTAACGGCCTGCCAAATATCCAGGGTGCAACTTATCTGTGTTTTTGGGGCCGATATCTGAGAGAGAAAATCAGATACCGATATCTTTCTTAGCTCTATCTTCGATCTGTAGAGAGAAATGTAGTGATATCGGCGCATATCTGCGATAAAATTAGCCGATACTGATAGTCACTGTATATGATAATATCGGCTGGCCGATTTATCAGTCGGGCTCTACAAATATCTAATCTGCTACAAAGTCTGTTTGCTAAATGAGGTAAAAACCCAGACCTCCCTCGTTTGAGAGAATCAAAGAGCAGAGCCAAATCCTCCCTCTAGTGACGACAGAAGTATGTGACTTCTTCTGCAGCACAAAGGCAGAGCAGTGTGCGACCAGGACAAAGGGGAGACACAACAGTTAATGCTTCTGTCAGAAGAAGAAAGGAAAGCATGTGGAATTACTCACAACAATAATGTGGTACATTCAGCAATATGAGAATAAACAGGAGGTAAAACGGGGACGACCTTTTTCACAATGAGGCTAAATGTAGACCACTCAGCGGAGAAAAAGAGAGGAGTAAAGGGGATTAAAAAGCAAACAGAGCTCACGCTCTAAAAACTCAATATCGCATCAAAATAGAGTAACTGTGGTGCTGCTGGCTGCAGCAAATAAGACATGTTGAGCATCTTTGGCTTCTGTAATGAAACTCACTTCCTGCTGAGACGGAAAAACACAAGCAGGTTATCATCAGTCGAGATCATGAGGCGGGGGAAGAGTTGAAATTTAGAGAGAGACAATAAGCACCACCAAGATCAGAGATAAGAGAGAGAATCAAATCGTGTATTTTAATTATGAAGCCAAAGGCTGAGAGGTTTTTTCACATGGTGTTAAAGTAATGAAAATGTACTGAAGGTCGTTATTCCACCAAACTATTTCATCTCCCTCAGATATTGATTCGTCCTTTGAAAACAATCTCAAAGATAAACTCAGAAACTTCCTCCTGTGTTAGTATGCACGAAGCATCGAGCTGAGCCTACAGGAATGCTGTTACATGGTTAATTTGTTTCAGTCCAACTCCACCTCCCTCCTCATTCAGTCACACACACACACATCAGTCAGACGAGTCGCTGCTGCAGCATCCAATCGGAAAGAGTCGGTCGCAGCAGAGGATGTTTCAGAGGGTAGATAACAGGGATGTGCAAGTTTAGTCAGTTGTGCAAAAACTGCAACCCATCCATAGACTGACTGAAGCTTGGGTTAATGGGCCTTCACTCCTATCTCTACTACCTGGATGTAAAGCAATGGTGCGAGCAATGCTAACGTCAGCCACACTCGGCCAACCAAAGTACATTAAATATATTGTGAAAAAATAAATTGTGCTCAATTTTGGATTGTTTTCTGAGTGTTTTCTTACCTGTGGACAAGTCGGTTAAACTATATTTGATTGGAAATTGGAAATTCAGTGCAGAAGCAAATAAAAACGTTTCCCACACTGCATGTCGTCATGTCACAGCTGTGTGAGTTGTAACTGGATGTCAACATCGATCTCTTCATGTCTGTCTCTCACTTTGTTAAATATCATAGCAGGAGTTCAGCGCAAACACACACATTCCAGTCTACAGTACATACATAACCCTACATTTTTAATCTCCTGAGCACCACTACAACTGGGGCAGGGTCGTGACTACACAACAAAGCCCCATTCATGGGGGACAAAAAAAAAATCCCTCTGATGGATCTGCTTCTTTTTCAGCTGTAAGTACACAGCAACTGCTATAACAATGACACGGTACTACCATAAAATACCACGATGTTATCCACCAAATAATGAATCAAGAACAGATACAAAATGGAAGTGGTAAAAATCCGACCATGTTTTTGACAAATTATACACATCTTCAGTTTATAAAGAAGCTGTGGCGCCATTGAACGTGCAGCTTATTGGATGGGAACACGGCTTTTGATGTGTAATTGGATAAGGAAGATGAGAAGTTCCGAACTGTGGGATTTTCTGTAATCCACCGGGAGAAAGTGGCTCTTGTCCAAGCACAGATACATGTCCAGTCCAGAGAAAGAGAAAGTGAGAGTGTGAGCTTATGGAAGCTGCAGTGGAGTCAGATTTAGATTTCAGAGTGACTGCTTTGGTCTGGGCTGTACAGGGACGGTCTTGGTTTGTGACTCGAGTGTTGACTCAACAAAAGCAATAAAGAGGGCTGATTTTTATTTATGGAAGTGGACTGAAGATTTGACCTTTGTGATGTAATCGACAGTGGCATTGGACACCTGACGACACAAAGGAGATCAGTAACATTACAAGCTGTGGGTCGTGTTTAATGGGAGTATTTGACATGGGCTTTCCTTTGAGCCTTAAATCTGAACAATATACAAGCACAAGAGAATGAGCTCTTACACAAACAACTACAACCCATAAAAATATGACACGTCTTGTGACTGGATAGGAGTGTATTGTGTAGAAAATAAAGCTTTCTTTCCTTCATATTGTGTGTTTGTTGAACCACCAGCAGTTGGGTTCTTCCTTTTAAATAACTGGATATACTTGACAAGTTGAACATGGAGGTTCAAACTTCTTCAAACGTTCATGGGATGGGAGCACAGCATGCTCAGTTTTCAAATCAGACAACACATTCATGCTGGATTTAGCAGGTCAACCTGTTCTAATGTAAACACTACATACAACACGTTTGTAACGGTTAAAAATGATGTTGATTCAAAGGTTCACTTTGATTTTCAGACCATTTAAACAACACTCTCCGCTGTAATCACTTCATTACATTTTAGGACAGCAACTATTTCTCAGTTTCAAATGCTAAAGACTCAGAGTGCCACTGTTGGACTACCATCTGTCATCCAGGTGATGGTATATTCGAAGCTTGATCCAAAGGCAACTGGACTCGGTTGAAGATCTTGAAATGCAAGTCTTTAACCAAGTCCAGCTGCCTTTGGATCAAGCTTTGCAACTACCATCAGGTTTGCTGACTTCAGATGACGAGTATGACCAAAAAGGAAGTTCCAAAGCCAAGTTTTGGTAAAGTACCCTGGAATGCTTTCCTCATATGTGCCAACATGTACCTAAGCTTTTAGATATATTTAAAATACTGAAGAAAGTTATCTCAAACGTAGACAAGGGTGTTACTGAGTGGTCAAAGCAGCGTCAACAATGTGGTGAGCATCACATTTTGCTGCTAACTAGTGTGACACAGCAAAGAAAAGGAATGTTTGCACCTCGTTGGAAGGGGCTCAAAGAACTTGAAGGGGCTGTTTATTCTTTAGGGAGGACTGACATATAATGGAGTGGTCAGCGGGGAACAAGCTACATCTTTTACCAACCTGCAGATGCTCACACTTTAACAGATATTCAAGCAAACTACTTTGACTTTAAGCATCATGGTCGATTTTTATCCATTTTGATCCTTTATTGGAAAGAAATGTCAAAACTAGATCTGATTTCTTAATCCTGCCATTCAGGCTGATTGATGTCAGTGCAAGCTCCGACTTTAAGTCTTTACCAGAAGTGTGTTGAGCGCAAAGGAAAGCTGAGTACCTGGATATAAAGTGAGGTCAGAGGAGTTGTAGACTTAAGATATTAGGGATTTTTTTCCAGAGCATGTTGACCTCGTGCATTCAGCAGCTGGGAGGGTTTGAGTCCGTCTGCTGTGGAGGCGTAACAACAATAAATCTGTAACAGACGGGATTGGACAATCTGTTCTGCTCAGATTTCTCAGGAGACAGAGGGAGTGAGATAACTATTTTCAGTTCTTATCTTAACAGGCCTTCCTGATCTCTGGATGCCGTTGTCATTCTATAATGGATTATTCAGGTTTAATTTACTTTACTCACTTTATACTGAGCATTTTAAGCTTTATAACATTGTAGTTAACCTGAATAAATCTTTGGTTTATGCAACAAATTATTCTACAATTCATTTCGCAGATGCTTTTATCCATTACTTGAGCTTTAAGTCTGATTGGACACACAGGTGCTGACAGGAAGTGCAAAGAGGCAAAGCACAAAATCGACAGCTGTTCTTCAAATTTCTAATTAGCATCAAAATCCTCCTTATTAAACAAAACCATTGTCATCATTATCGTCATCCATATCATCATTAAGTGCTGAGTTGTTCATGAAAGAGCTGGGTCTTTAGCTTTTCCTTAAAGGTGCATTACAAGCTTTTGGGGGAAATTAGACGTTTATTCCGGTGCTTGATCTTAGATTGTGTGCACGTCTTTCTGTAATTTATGATTCAATTCCAATTCAATTCTTCGGGTCACAAATCGATTTCGATTCACAATAAATTTCTGGTATGTTACAAAGGGTTACTTATTTCAGGATCTACTCCAGTCTGCTGTGCACCAAGAAGCTGCAAATTATGATTAAGAAGACAATAAAATGTATTTTTAATCAGCTGATTGCAATAATGTCAACACACAGAGGAAAACTTTAAACAAAGATACAT